GAATATTTCAGTTATTTTTTACTACTCAAAGCATCTGTTACATCTTGTTAAACTAGTTTAGTATATTTCGCGTTTTAAACCGTTAAAAGAGTTTTATTATAATTGATTGTCGTAGATTTTAGTTTTATAGAAAATATGTTGCCGCAATATCAAGATTTCAACAAGCGATCGGAAGAAAATGTATTGTATGTTAATTTAAAAAATGTTTATTATTTCTGTATAAATGACATCATTATATTCAGGGGCGAGGTCATGGCGTTTCGCACCTTGCGTCTTATGATTACCCGAATTTTTAATGATTTCAACAAAATAGAGTACCTACAATTACCTAAGGTATAATATTAATATACCCACAATAGGTCCACAGTGCCTCATAGATACATCTTTGAGGACGTCTGTTTGTTTGTTCTCTGATTTATTTCGAATATTTCTTGTTTGAAACGCGAATAAACTTCAGTACTTTTTTTATATCTGGAGCGTGCGGCGGTTGTTGATCCGGAAGGATTTTCTTTATTCCATTCGTTTAATATGCACATTTTCCAGGCGACGTCTAACGTTTTTCAAAAATATGTATTGTTTGGAAATAAGTTGATCTCGGTGGGAATCAAACCAACAAATCGTAGATTAGCAATACGTTGCGACCATTAGATCAACGAGTCCGTTATAGTTGACTGTCAGAAAGTGTTCAAATTGTTTTTAAAAACTACACATTTCATTAGAAGACTTTTAACGGTTTAAAACGCCAAACAAAATCCACACGAATTAATATTATAATATACAGAAACTTGTTTACAATTTATTTTGGCTAAATCTACCATAGTTACAACTACATTTATAATAGTTCCTTTGGGCATCAAAATTGTTTTTGTAAATCTCGTCATTTGTATAAATTAATGTCGTTTTCTACAATAATCAATAAGTGAGTCATTTATTGAGGAATCATTATTTCATACATTTTGGCAGCGCAGGGAACGGAAACTCCAAGGATGAATATTTTTTTGCCGTTTTTACCACAGATTCTCCTGTTTCCTCGCTTCTATTGGTCGCAGTGGGATGTTTTATTGCCTAAAGCGTAACCCGATAAATTTTCTAACCAACACAAAAATATTTTTCTACGGTTTAATATACCAGAAACTATGGACAAAAGATTTAAGTCTTCTTTAAATAATCTAAATAAATGTCTGTGCCTGTATATCTTTTGGTATTAACTCAACAAGAAGAATTTGTACGGTAGTCAAATTTTGTCGAAATCCTTCTTAATGCAAAATAACGTTTCCCGGATCAGCTAGAAAAATATATATATTTTGTGTTTAAAAGTAAGTGTTTTATATAAAATATTTACAAGTCAAACTCACAACACATGATTTTGCAAATCCAATGAGTTTTCATTTTCTTTGTACCGTTTCGTTCAATCTCAAGGAGTCAGTTACTCGAAATCTGAACCCAAGTCGTGACCAAAGCTGGCCTGACTGGTTTCATATAAACATCTTTGCCCCTGAGAAAAGCACTCTCTTACTCACTCTAGTGTATGGGATATGAAAGAGATGGTAATACCGTTAAGAGGTAGCGAATATTAGTATCAGCTGCATAAAATTGTATAGTTTTAGGGTGAACGATCAGTGTACGTACTTTGACGGACTAATGGCAATGTGTGGCTAATAATCACCGGGTCGGGAATTCGATCCGCACCGCGCACAACATGATACTCGTCAGTTTATAATTTATCTAAAATATTTCGCCCTTCCTCTGGCTATTAAATGAGTGGTATAAATATCGAAATTCTATCCGGGTCACGAACCACAGTTCACAGATGAAAAGGCGTAGTTTCGTTCGTGTAAGTAAAGTATAGTACAGTTCGTGTTTAGGTTTCAGTTTATCGAAACTCAAAATAGGTAGCTCATCTTGGTATTTCACCTTTCGTCATGTGAACCCAGGCTACACTCCTCTATAATGAAAAAATTCACGTAGAGAAACCAAAAAACGTATACAAACTTCAATATGTTTTACCCTTAAAAAGTAAAGTAAATACAAAGGCTGAAAAAATATTCTTTTTGGCTTCGAGATTCAGAAGATAACATTACATAATACGTCAATAGAACAAAGCTTATAAAAGCGGCACCTACAAAAACTTTGACAAAGAACAAGCTTTATGTAACGGTCGGACAGTCGGATTTAAATGTTTCTAAGATGAAACAGATAAACATACAAGAAGTGAATTACACTTAGAGCCTTACCGAGGAAAGATCTGGTAAGACTCGCTTTACGAGTGAAATCCAGAAGTCTAACGTGTTTCAGAAAAATTAGAAATATGCTGGGCCAGTGGGGATCGTACACACAATCCGTTGATTATTAACCATAAATTGCTGTCAATGAGCCCATCTAAATTTAGTATTTAATTTAAAGTAGAATTTGAAGTAAAATTTAATGTTTCTTTCTCTGAAAAAACCTGCCTTTCTGCGAGCTATTCTGACGTGCGCTGCCATAAACGTTAGTTACATATGATTATGTAATGTATGATAATATGATAGACATCATTTATGTTAAATGCGCGATACTACGTAATCCAAATCCTAATTCTGCGTAGACAAAGTCGCGAGCACCAGCTAGTTGACTATATAAACAACAGTATACATAATTTGTACAAATGTATATGGTGATTTATGAAATATATCCAGACAGACAAACATACTCGAATTATAATAGGGTTATGTTTTTTGCCTTTAAGTACAGAACCTTAGAAATTAACGGAAGTACGACGTAAAACATTTTTGGTAATTCAATGTAGAATGATTAACTACAGCTATTTGGAAGGCAGAGGCGTTTTTTCGAGTTTCGTCAACTTATTACTTATAAATTCAGGAACTGGTTTTATATTAGTAGCATCCAACTTTTGGCGATGATCTGGAATGACTAAGCAAGAGTGACGTCACACCAAGATTACGTTTACAGTTCATAGAACGGACAGTGGGGAAATTTACTTTCATATGGCTTTTTAAGTGTAAATTATGAAGGCTTTTTTACTATATGTTGCATTCAGCGCCACTCGCTAACATAGTGACTTGTTTCCTAAACCAGAATCATGATTCAGAACTATTTAAAATATTGCGGATTATTTTCACGACTTACTATGAAAGCTGTAGTATACTTAATATATATTTTTTATTTCGATTGTATAATTAACTTCTAATGAATCAAATCAAAGAAATTCGCAACTGAAAATATGTAAACTGTACTATAAGTTTTTGTCTTTCTATTTTTGTTTGGCGTATTCCGCTAAGGTTATATTATTATTAGGTAAATACGTTAAAGTTCGAGAATCAAATCATAACTTTGTAATAATCGAAAAGGAGTCGATTTTTTTAGACTTCTAGTACATACATTAATTAAGGTTTTCCATTAACGTAAAAAAGAGATTTATTTCTCTAATGGACTGGTTATAAACAAAATTTTTATTTTTTAATAGTCGCGAATTTGTTATTTTAATCAAAGTAAAAAGCAACGTTCCTGCCTGCCATTCCTCATACATAGTATGACTAAAAGAAAAGGTAGTGTTGTCAACGAAAACCCAGATGAATATTTTGTCCCGTTTTCTCTACATTTCCCGCTGTTTCTTCGTTATATAGCCTATAACCTTCCTCAATAAATGATCTAACTAACGCAGAAATAATTTTTAAATCAAACCCGTAGTTCCCGAGAACAGAGCGTTCAAACAAACAAACAAACTCTTCAGCTTTATTAATTAGTATAGATTCGTTGCTACCATTAGACGAGTGGAAAACCCAATTTTATTTAATTTAATTCTTTATTAAAAATTGTTCGTCGTTTAAGTTAGAACTATAACTGGTCAATACAGTCTCTCCATACTCGTGAACGACCTTACCAAGTTTTCCATATAAGTAAAGACATTGAGTTTGGCATACTTTAAATATCTTTGCACCTCATTAATCTAAAAATTATCGTTTTTAATATACAATCAAATTTAGGATTAATAAAAAATACAAACAAACTTTATTTGAAAATTGTTCTTATATTATAATTTATAAATATACAAAAATAACATTGACGAATATACAAATATAATAAAAATTATATGTTTAAAAAAAAAGTTTGTATACAATATCTTATAACCGTGTAAATAATGTATTTTACTTAAAATTAGGTTTTGTATAATCGAATATATGTGTAAATATATATCTTAAGAGATAATGAACACTAGTATACCCTAATCAAATAAATATGCCATGTGTTCTAAGACACAAAATATATTAACTAAGCCATATTATTCTACCAACCATACGCGCCTTGGTATTTGTTTTAGCAAGACAAGGAGATAACTTAAACAACGGAATCTGCTATTGTAGTTGGGTTCTCATTCTTAATTATTTTTTTTACGTATATATCCAAATAGATCTAACATACGGATGTTAAGCGGCCATTTTGCAAAACTACTTAGTTTTTCGAGTTCAGCCGGTGAGAAATGGTCATTCTTCGGTTAGTCGAGAAACGCTCAACATTTGATATTACAAATGAACCCCTTTTAAAACGCGATATTTTGCAATATATTTCACGTTTTAAACAGTTAAAAGTAAGATAATATATTTCGCATTTTAAACTGTTAAGAGCGAATTAATATATTTCGGGTATTAAACTGTTAAAGATGAACTAATACCTTTCGCGTTCAAACAATTAAAAGTGAGAATATTTCGCGTTTTAGACCCGTTAAAACGGAACTAATGTATTCCAGGTTTTAAACTGTTTAAAGTTTTGTTTTATGTGTACTATTTCTGTTTACGACATACATATTTAATCTCCTGATGATGTCATCTTTCCTACGGACAGATAGCTCGAAAATGTAAATAGCTTTACTAATTAGTATTTGAAAGCATATTTATTTTGTTTGTTTGGTTTTGGAAATTCATAGGAGAGTAGACAGCGAATGCAGAAAGTAATTATTACTATTGTATTTTATTCTTGTGAATCTCATCATCGTAATGAATCTACTACGTGATAGATACAGTTCCTCTAAACCTAGTGTCGAGGCTGCCATAAGTGGGTCTGTATCGAGGGGTTCGCTGGCTCCAAGGGCTTTGACGGTTTTTGTAGCTGGAGCAAGCTATAAGACTGTTCATTGCCGGAGGACGAGACCGCTCCAGGCTGATACCGTAGCGGCGACTGAAAAATGTCCATAAGACTTAGATATCTGATATTACTGTTTAACGAATCTTAATTTTAAGCTATCACAGAGACATTTTAGCTCTACCTTTACTTACAACAAACCACTTAGATTGAAAGAAGACACAGGTGGGACTAGAACCGGCGTCCATAGCAAGAGGTGCATGTATTAATAGGTTGAAAAAATTACGTGTAGAATACGGTAGCGTAATTGGTTAGAGCAACAGCGCTGTGGATGCCAATTCATGTCCCGCCCGTGTCATATTTCTTTCTATTTCATCGATTTTTAATTAATATAGTATCATGACGAAAAGCCCCAAAAATTAAAGTATTTAAATAAAACACAACGGTTTAAATCGCAAAACCAAATCACATTGTCCCCGCATGCTGCAAAACATCCGAAATGTCGAGCCGTAGTTAACTAATAATTTCACGTTTTAAACCTTTAATTTTTTTTATTTGAATGCACATTATATTTACCTTTTAGGCCTGGAGGTTGGTATGAAGTCCTCTCCGGTGAGCACGCCTTTGTCCAGAGTGCCGTCCATCTGTAATAAATCACCAGCAGACACGGAAAGATCCATCTTCGAGCGGTCACAGGTCCACATGAAGACGAGAACCATTAGCATCTGGAAGGAGATAGGGGATTTAAGAATAATAATAAGTCAAACTCACACAGAAATATGTCTGCGAGCCTCACAACTATGAAATGGGTAAGTACGAGCAAATATAGATTTTTAAAAACACACAAAACATAAAACTTTATTGTCACCACAAAAATATTACAAATATAAGATTAAATTTGCAGAAATAAAAAATGTAGTGACAAACGGCGGCATTATTGCTAAAGAGCGATTTCTTCCAGGGAACTTTGAAGATAGAGATTTACAATAATAATTTATATTTTAAGTAGAATGTGTCCCAATATTGTTACTAAAACTCATTTCATGGACTGTACTGACAAGTGACATATCTCGTTGAGATGAACCGTATCACATCAAGATATATGTATACTATATATATATCTATAACATTCACAACGTTGTTCTAATGTTAGTAGTGTATTGATTATCATATCACACAAAATTTGTACTTTAAAAACTTACTTAACTAACTTACTTAAATCTTTACTAAAAAACTTTAACATTTTTCTCAAGTTATTGCTCATGAAGGCACTAACTATATAATATAAAAATCGAAAATATATTTAAACATTTTTCGAACCGAGCATAGTGTTAAGTATAAGAGGTTCTTAATTTGAATCTTCGAGAATGTTAGACACAGAAATATGTTCGCCCTATGCCCTACCATGAAAACATTTTTTTTATCTAGTAGTATTAATAATAGTAATACGAAGCAACTAACCACAACAATATGTAGAATAACAACGAAGGCTGTACTGTTACGAAAACCGATGGAGTCAAAGAGTACTCCAGACACGGTGGGCCCTATAAAGGCTCCCAGAGCGAATGTAGACGTCCACAAACCAGATACAAGTCCATATGTTTCTATAGAATTCGGGAACCCATTAGCACTGAAAGAGAATAACACAATATTATGTTACTGACTAGCAGATCAAGCAAACGTTGTTTCATTGTTTGCAAGACATTATTGCAAGATATTATAATAAAGCATTAATTTCGACCAAAATTGATTACGGTTCTTGTGAGGTAATCTTAAAAGATAGACATATACTGTTGCGGAGATTTTAAATCTAATTTTAATTGATTAAGAGAAATCATTCTTTCAAACATATTTTCTGGTTTCTTGAACCGTTTAAGTAGCGCACGCAATGGACGCCCTCCTAGATTAATAATGTTTCCCCCTTTTTTTCACATTTTTCGTTGCTCCTATAATAAGACTTGTTTGGTTTTTCGAACGAGAAGTTCCTGAAATGTTCGCGTTTAAACAAACAAACAAATAAACTCTTATGTTGTATTATATTAAGTATAAATAATAACTAACCTGTCCAACAGAATTGCAATAAACATAGTTATGTTGTTAATACGCTGTATTGTATATAAGTTGTACTGCTAATAAATATAATAAAATAAGCCTTACATAGCCGTGCTTAAAGCGTCTGAAAAAGAAGACACTAGAAGACTTCCCATGCCGAGGCCGTGCAAAATGAGGCCTGTTATCGTAACCCACAGGATTCTGAAAGAAATATGTAACTTAAAATATACATACGTATTGTATGTAATTGAATTTCACACAATATAAGAAAATAGAAACATGTTAGTCTATAAATAAATAAACTACAAAATTAGCGTACAACGCGAGTAGTACACATTTATTTGAATGTGTACTACTCGCGTAAACTATAGACAGTATTTAGTACACATTTAAATAAAACAGTTTAACGGTTTAATATATCGCGTTTTAAACCGTTAAAGTGTTTTATTTAAACTACAAAATTATGAAAACTTTTTGTTTACAATTCTCTGAACAGACTAGCTGATCGAGCAAACTAATGTTTTATTAATATTATTATATTGATACAACTAATGAAACAAATTTTATGATTTTATTGATTAGCGTATTCTAACAAACAAACTCTCCTTTAAAGCTTTATAATATTAGTATAGATTACCTGAATTATAGTCAAAAACTCATGCGGATTGTTACTCACGTGGGCATATTAAAGAATGGCGCTGGCCCGATAAGCAAGAAAGCGGCGATCACAAACATGTGGCCAATGCTGGAGATGTATTTGGGTTTAACAGCTGGATGATCACAGAGCCAACCCCAGGCTGGTGCCGATACAGCATATAAGCCCCCGTTGATGACGAATATGAGGCCTAGTACGACTGGAGAGAAGTTGAACTGAAAGAGACGTTGCTAAGTTTACACTTCAAGCTCGCTTCAAATAATTCAAACATAATTTAGATATTGCTACCTAATGTGTACCTACCTATTTAGTAATACACATTCAAACAGAACACTTTAAACGCCTGGAACAATAACTAACAAGTTACATATGTTTCCGTCTTAATTAACAGATTGTTTATTAAGGAAGTAGGTCTTTTTTGCCATTATCCAAATGGCATATTTTCTATTGGGGTTTTAATAACGGTCTTCTCATGCTAAACGCATCGCTAGGCGTCTAACAGGCCTATAGACGCAATCAGATTATTTCGATACTATATTTCGTATTACATATATAAAAAACTTACATGCACTTGACGGAAATGTGGTTCTAATGTCGCCTGAAGGAACCCGATGCTCATACTGGTCGAAATAATACTCAAGGAAGCTAGGAGCACGCCAGGCACCCGCAAGAGAGTCCACATTGAGGCTGGATATATTTTTATTAAAACAATATAAATTAATTCTCATAATTAGTTACTATGCTTTGGTTTTTAACAGGATGGTAATAAAATATATAAGAATTTCTCTTTAAGATTATTAACTTTTTAAAATCGTAAATTGATATATTATGTAGTGTAAACTAAGATTTTCTTTAGTAATGCAAGTTTAAACCGGTCGAAACAAGATTCAGTTGTGATGTAATGAAATTAAATGGTGCCCGGGATTGTTCACGGCGAACCGAAAAATCTTAGATAAATTCTATAAATAAATCTTATGTTATGTATCGTTAGATAAAAGTTTACGTTAAAAAAAGTTGACTCCATGGGCGAGATTTGAACTAGAACCCACATCTTTCCGGGATGCTGCTCCAACAACTGAGCTACCGTCTCGTGTACCTACTATATTTTATAAAGTTCGTACGTCTACTTACGGCCGGTGTGCTTATAATCTTCGTCATCAGCGGACTTGGGAAGTGTGATGTAACATAGCAATGCTGTGCAGAGAAGTGTTGCTCCAAGAACAGCGAAAGGCAATGAGTAACCTCCAACACTGTACAGAGCTCCTCCGATCATGGGACCGGCTATCAAACCCAGACCGAAGAAGGTTTCTAGAGATGCCTGAAAAAAATTAAAAGCCATGATTTTCTGGAAAACCCTTGGTTTTGCAAAATTTTGTATTTAAAATTTAGACGTAGATGAGAAAAATCTACTTTATATTATGTGACAAGCAAAGGTTGATAGGAACTACCTTGGGATAATGCAGAAAACGACAAAGAATCTGTGGCAGTCTTAACGTACTGATCCCCCTGTGGGGTATGTGGTTAGCGTTTTAGAATTGTACTGTGATTTTACGAAAGCCTGTCGGCCTCTGTAGCTAAATGGTTAAACGTATTGCCTAGCCATGCGTTAAGTGCGAGAGGTTCTGTATGTGTATAACAATAATACAGCAATACTTACAAACATAGTTGCTACATTGTTAGGAAACTCTTTTGCAATGATAGCGAAGGAAGCCGTAAGGAAAGCTGCGTTTCCGAGCGCTTCCACGATTCGGATGGCGAAGGCCAGGGTCACGAACGGTATGTGACCGTCCACCTTGTCCAACAACCTGAAAAGTTATATGATATTGAATGGTTGCAAATTATTTGTTACTCTTGAAGAAGAGAAGAGTAGAGACTTCATGAGAATCTCTCGTCACCTCTTTTACATACATACACCTATCTTAACAGTAAAAACCAAATAATACTTATATTGTAAAATACACATTGCACAATTAAAATACAACACTTTAACGGTTTTAAACGCAAAATATATTAGTTTAACGTATTTGAAAATGATTTTTCGACCCCACGTTTCGGATGTTTTGTAACAGACACGGAGGGACTACAGATTTACAACAGGTGTTAAATGTTAAAGTTGTCAAATGTTAAAGTAACAAATGCTACGCTAGCGCCATTTATTCCGACGTAGTTAGTATTAGGCGAATTATACATCTCGCGTTTTAAACAAATAAGGTCACTTATTTAAATTTCCACTACTGTATGGGTATAATCTTTAGAAGAGTGATGGCCCTTATAACTTAATGCTAAAAGGCATCTCGTAAAATGGGTTTGAATTCCGGAAAAATCACATTAGTTTTTGTTGAGAACAGAATGGTCATCAACTTCTTTCCTCTAAACAGGGATACATACCAAGCCTCACGTAATAAGCGAAAATTATTTATTAATATTTATATTGATCAAAACCCTATATATTGTTTACAGTTATTTGTTTTAATGCTAATTAACATTTTAAAAAGGTCAATGCAACAAGGAAGCATGGGATACCAGAAATCTTATCTGACCCTTCAGCTTCAGTGAGATCCCGGAACTGAATTATTATAACACAAATGTATGTGTGCATCACGACCTCGATTTAATACAAACATTAATTTCATAAGACAATAAAAAAATATAAAATTAAATGTATGTAACTAGATGTTGAAGGGCTAGTTTGTGTAATGAAAGCAATAGCTAATAATCAACGGGTATAACATCTTAAAGCAATTTACAATTTTTTTAAACATGTTTTAATTTCGTCTGGATATCTAGATATTAAATTGGTGGTACCAATATCGACATTCCGTCCGCAGGTGAAAAAGCCGTCAAATTTAATCGCGTTTAGACTTCAGTGTGTGGATTTCCAAGTATCCAAAGCCAAAATAGGTCGACAGCACACCTTATTAAGCTGGAATATTTCGCCTACCATCAAGTGAACTGCATTGTCTATCCGCCTCTATCATAAAAATGTGGACTCTAAAATCATCATCAGTGGCTGTACAGCCCCTTGTGGGCCCTAGCCTCCTCTAGTCGTTTCCGCGATCTGTCTCGTGCTTCCTGCTTCCAGTTTTGGACGCCCAAGATTTCCAGGTCCTTGGCGACTCCATCCCACCAGCGGAGCCTCGGTCTCCCGGGCTTTCGTTTGCCACCTGGTTGCGAGTTCAGCAAGGACCTTGGTACTCTTTCATCCGCCATTCTGTGTACATGTCCTAGCCAAGTAAGTCTGTTGCTTTTAATGAATCGGACGATATTGGCGTCGCCAAGTGATTTGTATAGCTCTTCGTTATATCGGACTCGCCAAACACCGTCAACACAGACGGGGCCAAAGATCCTTCTGAGTATCTTTCGCTCGAAGATTAGGAGAGCTCATTCGTCTCTTTTGCTTAGTGCCCAGGTTTCGGAGGCGTAAGTTCGTACAGGCACAGGTACTTTAAAATATCATTAAAAATTCAGCTGTTTTCAGAATACAGAAGAATAATATAAAATACTACGTTTGTTAGGTGACTTACCCAAACAATATGGCGCATGTTGAAGTGGTTAAAATTCCAGTATTGAACACGACTTTAGGTCCCAGTCGATTCAAATGGGCTCCATAAAAAGGACTGATGATAAACACTACGAGCTCGAACACTCCGAATACAAGACCGTACTCGGTTGCTGTGCAGCCCTTGTTCTCTGCCTGAAACACAACAACATATTAGAGAAAGAGGGAAGGCACTATATTGATGGCCTCGTCGATTTAATGGTAACAATGTATGGTTAATGGTCAAAACGTCGCAGGTTCTACCGATCAATTCATAATTTGTGGATTTCTGTATATCCAAAGCCAAAACAGGTCGATAGCGCATCTTGTTCAGATGTTTTATTTATTTATTTTATTTATTTATTAAGGAAACTAAACAGTACAGTCTCTTATGATAACTTAAAACTAATTTTCTTATTGTCTAGGGAAAAATAAAATTGTATAAAAATCCAAATGCATGCAGGCATGTACTCAGAGACAGTACCTTAACAAGTTTCTCTGAGAACATTTGATTTTACATTGACATTACCCGATAATGTCTGGGGTATTTCGCCCTCCTCATAAAAAATGCAATACAGATAGTTATGGTATTTTAGTTTTTACCAAGTAGGTATGGGGTTCTATTGATGGAGAGGTACCATAACTGTCTTTTTTATGGCAGGGCGAGAACAAACGAGCATGGGGCTTTTGACATTCGAAAGTTCACTGACTACAGAAACACCGATTTACTTACATTTTGGGCTTTTTTACGTACATACTTACAAATGGGCTAGATGGGCTAGATTTTGTAGATTTTATAGAAAATTATTAAATAAGACTTTGGAAATTGGACTCCTTAAAATTTCTGGTTTGTCAGTCCTCTATCGTAAAAAGACGTAATAAATAACTTAAATATACAATTAGTCAATCATGTTTATAAATTTTAGTTGTGTGTTAGTGGAAAAATCAATTCACAGCTTAGTAAGCGACATAAGTGTATCATGCGCAAATGACACCGATAAAAATAACGAAATGATGTCTAGAATCGTAAATTTTAACAGACGATACAAAGTATCACTTATATTGACCACTTTTGTAGAGTACTAGATGTTTATGGCTACCCTTTGACCTGTGTAGTAATTAGTAACGAAAAATTTACGACACTTTTATCTTTAGATCGCGTAAATACAGAACCATGTGCTGTAAGACATGATAGCTGAACAAACATGCGCAAAGTGCACAATTAAATTTACGACTACAAATAAGAAACAGATATACTGTAATACTAGCTGTGCCTACGACGTCGTCGGCGTCCCGTCATTTTTGCAAGTTATAAAATAGAAATTTACTGTCGTGGGCATTTTTTACATCATTTGAAGAGGATTCGATCTTCAATATATATTTTTTGGTACCTTGAACCGTTTTGCAATTTTCTTGCGTTTGCGCACGCAACGTAAAGTCTCAAAAATCAATATATCTTTTCGTTTTTTCCACATGTCTCTCTGTTTATTCGCTTCCAATATTAGGTCTTGGGCTTATTATATTAGACTTTAGGGTATAAAAATGTATTCCTCTATAAATGTCCAAGACAGTTTGAATAATTACTTTCTGAGATTACACCGTTAAAACAAACAAACAAACTCTTCAGCTTAATATATTTTTACGCTACCTTTCTTACGCGAATCTAATATATGGTAAATCCATATTTACATAAATATACTATAATATAATATGCATTATTACTATTATTACTAATAGTAATATTATATCGTTGATTACTACGAGTCAAACCCTACAGTTTACTTAGTTTTTGACTAAGTAGGTATTTAGGTTAATAGGCAAATAACAAGGTTATTTAGAATATTAGACTCCGTCCGTATGGGACGTCCAATTAAATTTAATGAAATAATTAAGTTATTATTGCTAAAATAAACGTTATCGCTATATATGTGGATTATTTTCTTAATTAGAGTTTTTGAAACTCAAATCACGGTTTAAAATGCGAAATATATTTGTTAAACTTATGTAAGAAATACTTTAACACGGGGCGACGTCTCGGATCTTGAATCTCCCCTGTGACCACCGCTGCTGCACGCAATACTTCGGGTCGTAGTTAAATTAAGTTTTACGAATATATTTTGCGCTTTAAACCGTTAAAGTGTTTTTTTAATGTCTTTGTTTTTAACTATAGACAGTATAAAACTCGATCCTGCCAAAGTCTGCGCTATACTAAAACCGGTATTATATTTTACACAGGAAGCTATCAAAATGTTAACACTTAATTAACGAAATGAACAGAGAATTTTCCATTCTAATTTAAACCGAAGCGTTTCACGCTGATTGATATTTTGCTTAGATACTGTAATAGTTACAAAAGTTATTGTAAAGCGCCTGGTAATTACGTGCTGGACATGCGATAACCTCGCTTTTCTTGAGGTTATCAGGCGTCAGGCGTTTCGTCGCCGTCTCCGTGACGCATGCGCTGTATAGCATATTCACTCAAATCTATAGCAAAAATGTTATACTTTGCCGAGACTCGAACCGATTGTACTGTCACTCTACCAATTGTCTATAGCCTGACTATGTACCTGGCGATGTTGCACATGTTGGTAACAAAGAATTTTATGTTTACTTATTCATTAAACCATTCTGCATTCATTATTCAAATGAGTAAAAATGACAGATTCTTTTCCGACTACAAAGAAAGGCTAATAATGATTCTATCACTTTATGCATGCATGTATGTTGCACTATGCCTAAAATACTAAGCCAATTTTGATAAATGGTGGACAAACGATTCTTAGTAATGCTCAGGATATAAATAAAACATTTTAACAGTTTAAAACGATATATATTAGTTTAACTTATTTGAAAACAAAGTTTAACTAATTTATATCGCGTTAACTACAGACAGTAATTAATGGTCCGGATGCTAATAATAATTAATTTAAAAAAAAATGTGTAAATAAAACCACAAACATAAACTAACATATCACAAATGTTTTGCGTGCATGTTTTTCTAAACTTTATAAAAGTGACAATCAATAACTCTAATATTGGAAATTATTAGAAAAATCTTTGATTCTGTCCAAAAACGCCTTTTGTAAGAAGGAAAAGCCTAAACTGTAATTTTGATTTATAATCACCCTGTGCAAGTGCACTAAATACTATAACGACTACAACCTTTTAAATTTTAAAACACCTTGTACTCACCTATGACGTACGCATTGATCTTTATTTTGTTTCACAAAATGCGAAAGTACGATACGAATTGCTAAATTACTTTCAATTCCTTGTGCGTAAAAAGAAGGAAAACAATAACAAACGAAGGCCGTCCATAGACATCATAATATTAAATAATTATGTTTGGCCAGGTATTATTTTTTTAATTTTTCAAAACTATTATAGATGGACAGCTGATCTGCCAAATGTTCGTGAGGTTGCAAGTTCAACTTGAATCAATGATTATAACTAACTCTCCGGTAAACGAAAGCATTGTGAGAAATAAGGCTGGATCTAGGAACCGATAAGAATTAAACTAAAACCCTCATGTAAATTAGAGATTAGAAACTACAGTAAGAAAGAATCCTCTATATCGATAAAAATCATGAATCAGTTTATTCGATAATCCTATGCATCGATTGGGCAGCGTCTCGCTTTATCCTAAGTAAATTAATAGTACGCATTATTATGGTCGACACATACTAAACAAATATTTACTTATCAAAGTCGAGAATGTTATAGAATCTTGAATGACACCGAAATGATTGTGTTAGGCAATCAAAATGTGTCAAGGGAGAAACAAATCGGATTATTTCAATTATTTGTTTTCTATGATTAATTTTTATTCTTAATTTTTAACTTGGCAATAGTTTGCAAATAGTTTGTTCTTGACAGTAGAAGATGAAGATTGGATTTACGATCTTCTAGTATCAACATATAAAAAAATACTTTTAACTGCTTCAAAACTGTTAACCACGAAGCACCCAATCATAAATTAAAAACTGCGTTGTAACATTTCGTTTTAAACCGTTAAAAGACTTTTAAATAACTTCTACACCTGTGACATGGGCTTTTTTAACATTTCGTCTTAAAACGCTATTGACTACAAAATATTATGTATTTATTTAAATAAAACACTTTAACGGTTTAAAACGAGATATATTAGTAAGTTAGTATCGCATAGTTACTAATATATCTCGTTTTAAATAGTTAAAGTGTTTTATTTAAATGTGTACTACTCGCGTAAACTATAGACAGTATTTATGTATGCATTTATATTAAAACCCGTATAAGAGTTATAAAGAATTAAAACTACATGAAAAAATTACAAAACAATAATATAAAATAATATTAATATATTGTCACGAGACATTGGTCTTCAAGATAATCTTTAATTTTTTTTTACTAAGAACTGTTATTGATTTTTCTGCTAAGTTAAATAAAAAATATTAACTTAAATTTTTATATCTCCGTCAAAGGAGAAAATAAGCTTTAATTTAAGAAAATATATTATGTGTACACAATGAATTTAGAACCGCATCAACTGTAGGTGACGATAAGAAAACCAACCATAAATAACAATTATTCAGGTATAATTGATTACATAACAATAATAGTTTCAATTTTATCCATTTACCTTCTTTACAATCAATCAAAAGGCTTTACAATAAAACATTTTTAATTTTTCAGTTCATTCTTATAACGATATCAATGTATATGTGATTACTTGTATAGAATTATTTTTCTAACTAATTAATATTTTTTCTGAATCATTGGACTTCGTTTGGAAATCCGGATATCCAAATCCAAAATACAGCACACCTTTTCCATCTTATATGACTGGTCCTCCTTTATCATGAAAAAAAAATTAAACGTGACTAACCTCTTGTGGAAAGAATGGTGCCTGCAACGCGACACAAATGGCATTACAAAAGTCCGCTATGGAAATTACAATTATCGTCAACCACTGTCTCCTCGTGAATTGGAAACGCATCACGAACTAATATTCCCCCCCAATTTATCCCAGAAACATAACTATGATCACTGAATTTTCAAATTTAAATTACATCCAGAGCGTGCCAATTTTGTAGTGGCTAACAATTTACTGACCGGCACTTAGTTTCAATAATGATTACAATATCCAATTCGAACCTTTGACCGCTCTATCTACGTGCTCATTATACATATTCTTTTAAACAATGAACTCTGAGATACGCAGATTCGTCTTTTCTCTCATTCTCATAGGAGATAGGGTTTTAAGAGCCACCCATCGTGCTTCTCCGATGCGAAGTATTTGCTATCATAACTAGGATTGTAAGATTAAAGTCGATTATAGATTGAAAGAAATTGGATAGGACTTGATTTTTAATTAATATAGTGCCATCATGTGAAAAATATTCAAGTTGTCATTAGGATTAGAAGTTTGATGTAAAAAAATCAGAAAGCACTTAACTAATTGGATTCACGAATAATACAACCGTTGACTTCGTGGTCTACAATAGTAGTTTTAAATAAAACAATTCTAACAGTTAAAAATAGATTTTTGATTGGAAAAAAACTATATCACGGGCGGGATTTAAAATCGGCGCCCAGAAAAACAGCACGGAACACTGTGGCTGCCAAGTCCAGCCTGTGCCACATAATTATTTCAATTTAAAATCGATTTTTATTTTGTATAATGCCATTGTGTGCAATAACATGTACAAAATATTAGTTTTCAAACTTTTAACGGTTTATAACGCGTTAGTTAACTTATTTTAAGTGTATTTTAACTATTGCCCGAATCAGATGAAGCTGTGGTTAGGGGGGGTCAAGAAATGGAAGCTGTCCCTAATGTCAAAGTCAAATCCGCTGCGCTAGTGCCATCTGTTTTTACGTATTTGGTTTTTGAAGAAACTGGGTACCTTCAGAACTGACTTGAAAGCATGCAAAACATTCACACCATAGTTAAATTAAAACTAAATTAACTAATATCGCGTTTTACACGTTAACAGCACAGATTAGTACACATTTATAACCACTGAACCAACGGCGCAAATTCCCAGATACAATTATGATCTCTTACATAAATGCGTTTTCAGATAATTCGTAACATCGCCACTGATAACTTTTGCTATTATTGAATGTTTAAGTTTTTAATTGCTAACCATATTATAAACATCTTCATACATTATCTCGTAAGTACTTATGAAAGTTCATTGACAGCGCATAGATTACAATTTCTTACTTAAAGTACGCAAATTAAACTGAATAGAAAATTTTAAAGACTGCCTTTGAACTGTCGCTATTTTTGAGCTTACTTAGATACGTTTAAATACGGCCTTGTAACGGTTTAAAACTCGAATGACCGATGTTTAAGATGGTTTGCAATAGCCGTGGTCACGGGGACCCGGAGGAACGAACACCGACTTCGGGTAGTAGTTAAAATAATTAAGTTAACTAATATATTTCGCGTTCAAACCGTGTGTTTAAAAGTGTGTAATTTAATGGTGTACTACGCGAATACTAGATATGTATAAAATTAAACGCTATTCAATCTCACTAAGCTATTTCGTTTCGTATCTCTCAAAAAATACTTCTTTTAGCATCGGGTCTAAATTTTTCTAATCAGCATGTTGGACTTCGTCTGAAAACCTGAATATTAAATGGGTGATAGGAATATCAAAATTCCGTCCGGGTCAAGAACCAACGTCCACAGGTGAAAATGCCGTGAACAAAATAGGACGTCGGCGCATCGTGTTAGATTTCCTTTATCATTAAAATTGATCTATAATAGATTAGTTAACACAGGTTAAAAAGAAATATTTGAGTTTTAATAATGGTCACTAAATTATTAAAAGTGATATATAAACAAATATTATTTAATAATCATAGCAGTTCATAAACCCGGGATATCCTTAACGTCGAAGGACAGAACTGCCCGCGTCTCCACGTGGAGTTCTCTCAGGCCTCCGGGTGGGGAAACGGCTGAGGGATGACGAAAATCGCAGCCAAATAAAACAACATCCACGCTTTCACTTCAAACAATATGAACCGCGCGCCTGCCCGACGCCCGACCGACATAGCCCATTGTGCTTTAAACTTGACAGCCGTCGGACGCGAAAAATAAACCAATTCGAAAATCGAACGAATAAAAAATTACTGTGTTCTTAATGTTTTAAGTTGATTTGTAAAAAATGAAAATGTTCGAGAGTTGCGTAAAAATGTTGTTTGTACTGTGTTTGACGGTAATTTGTCGCACCGGAGAGGCGGCGGATGAAATTATAACGACTTTGCGTAAGTACTATAATTAAATAAATTATATATGAAAAAACAAACAAAATTTATTCCATAAAATTGAAATTGAATTGAAATTGAATTCCAAAAAAAAAAAAACAATTAAATCGTTTGAAAAAAAGTTAACAACATTTTATTTTCGGTACGACACAGTACCTCGGTTGGAGTCCCGCTCATATCGCATTTTTTTTTTTCAATCTAAATAGATTTTTAGTTTATAAAATTAGATCGCTTCATATAAAATACACATTAATATCATATCGCACATTGCGTATTGTATTATATGGCAAATGGACTTGCAACACAGATGTGTCTTTCTGAATTCATCTCGACGTCCACCAGGTCTTCAATGTCGAAACTATCGTTTAGCAATGCTTCGAATTGTGATGAAAAGCGACCTTTGCCTTATTCCGCTTATTATTATACAATACTCGGGCATTGTGCAATATTTTTGACATTTTTCTCCAAATCCCTTTTTTTAACTAGAAAGCACTACTGGTTATTCAGGAATTGGCTGTTTACGCCAGTAGTTTCCGTTTAAATAAAACACTTTTAACGAATTTTTGTCTCTCCGTGACCACGGCTGCTGCAGAGCGTTCCAAACGTCAAACCATAGTTGACATACCTACATTAAAAATTAGATAACTGATATATGTCGCGTTTTAAACCGTTAAAAGTTATTTAAATCTATTTCTTATAATTAATATCCTTACAGTCCAAGAGTAACAATTCTAAAATCATTAAAAATGTACTGAACACTAAGATTATTTATTTTATATCAAGTAATTTAAGCAATTTCTAAATTAAACAAAATTTTACGATTCGGGCGGTACTTGAACCGCTATCCACAGCGTTCCTTGTTGTTGCTCTAACCAATTAAGCTACCGTGTCCTACACGTCATCGTTGAATGTTTTCAACCTATCTTCTATACATGCACTTCTCGCGCAAATAAAAAAAAATATTAAGTAACTTCTGTATATAGCAAATTTATCGACATTTGGCTTTATAAGGAGTAGATTTTATTAAACTAACTAACAAAAATAACAACACAGACGCGGAACGCGAAAGGGAAGACCCTTATGCAAAAATTGTTTTAAATTAAAATGCGCATGAGCAAGTCAATCCTTGCATGTTTAAATCATAGCGTTAAAGCAATCAGATTTAGCAATCGCATCGGTTTATTTTATTTTAATACGATTACAACATGTCTAATATTACAAACATTAACAAATGACATACCACAAGTAATTTGAAACGGACAATTTTTGGGTATTATTTAAGTAATTTGAGTATTTCGATAGACTTTAATGGGTCCGTTGGTTCGATTGTTCCATTGTATGGATAATAATCAACGGGTCGTGGGTTTGATGCTCACTAACATGTTTATAATAAAAAAAAAATCTCAAAAATGTTGGACTTTTGATAATTTGGATATTAAATGGAATGGTAGGAATATTGAAATTCCGAGTCACGAACCACCGTCCATAGATGAAAAAGCCGTAAACATTAATCGCGATTCGTTTTTAGTCTGTGGATTTCCGAATATCCAAAACCAAAATAGGTCGACAGCATTTAGCGTCTTAGATGTTGTACGGCTGGGTTATGTCACCTCCCATCATGTGAACTCCTTGCTTGTCTGTCTTCTTCTATCATAAGCTTCTGTGAATTCAAACCTATAGCGCTTAAAAGAAGCGTGTTAAACTTTGAACGCTGGATTTTTTTAAAGGGGTAGAAGCAATATGTCTTCGGTTAGTTATTCACTGTTTTCGTTAATTTGACCTCGTCTATCGAAATGGGCCTAATTTAGGCATAACGTAGATCCTAAATTGATAATGACCGTTTCCTGTTATACTTGCCATGTTTTTTCCACCTGGCAACAAGACGAAATTACTACACGTCAGTAATAAAAGTACTTCGTCATGTAGTTGTATCTGGAGATTACAATAATATAACCAAGTTCACATAGACTAGATCGTATGACGTCATATATACGAACATTTTCAATATATACTGAAGCTATCCTTAGATAGCTTAAAAAATAAGTTAGGAAAGTTTGTATGAAACACTAGCTGATCCGGCAAACGTCCTTTTGTTGTTGGCAAGATTATATTGATTTATATTATTTCCATGACCATGAAAAAGGTTATTGCGAGTTTATCTCAAATATAGACGTATACTGTCCCGGACATTATTTAGATAATTTGAAGAGGAGGCATGTTTTATATTTTTTAGTTTCCTTTTTTGCAACGAAAACTCTCTAAGGTGAATAGCTTTCCCCATTTCCACTGTTTGTTCGTTGCTATTGGTTACAGCGTGTTATGTAGATGTTATAGAGCCTAACGCTTTCCTTGATAAATGTTCTCTATCCAATACACAAATATTTTATTATTTCGAATCAGTGGTTCCTGAGATTAGCGCGTTTAAACAAACAAATTCTTCAGCTTTATATATTAGTAGATTTCACGACTCATATAATTTTACTACTATAGTTTAAAGTATTAAAATCGCCTGTCATCCACTTATTTGTAATGAATAATTAATTAAGGCTTACTTCACCGTATCAAATTAATTCCAAAATATGGAATAACTTTAAAAACCAGGAAGACTCAACGAGGTCACAGTGACATTTAAAATTCGCTCAAACTGACAAGCACACAGGGGCTTAAAAGAAAAACAAAAGGACGACACAACAATAGAATATTGGTCTACTTTATGTACCCTTGAAAAATTATATATAGGTGTGTCTGCCTTGAATACTTATCGCTATTTCCACTTCTTTTGGTGATAGATGACTGTGGGACCTTGCGTCTCCTTTTGTACTGCTATAAATTTTAATGACAACTTGACAGTCTTTACGTGCGGTGAATCAACGGTGCTGACTGAGCTATTCTGTTACGTGAGTGCAGCTTATAATGTAACTAACTGTGCCACAGACTCCGCGAGATTCATTATTTGGGGCATTATTTTGCAAACTCAAAACTGTAAATAAATAAATAAAAACCCGTTGTGATCGAACCCAAGAATCGTTGATTATTAGCCACAACTTGCGACCATTACACCAACAAGCTCGTCATAATGGTCGAGTGGTTCATACTGATTCCACGAATTCTCATAATATGTTATGTTACACAGCGAGCCTTTGGTCTGTACCCAGCATAAAAAAGAGATTGCTTTAAATATCAATATGAAACTATTCATTTGTTTTGCAATCTTTTATTTGCTCAACCAATCTCACGTAACACATCACTAAATTTCTGAACTCAATTATTTATACACATATGTATGAAATTAAACGAAAATAATACGAGTTTTCAAAGCCTAAAGCTTTCGACCTAACAGCGAATCTTGCTCTACGGTTGACGTATTTGTCCCTAGATCGAGTAAACCTCATTTGTGTACGTTTATCATAAAAAATAAATAAAATAAAATAAAAAATAATTGAAATACAAAAATCCCTTTGTCGTAACATCGAACAGTTTATAAATAATCATATTATTTCCGTCTTGTTGTGAATAACACAGCTTTTATTTAATTTTTTTGAAGCAACAAGGCCTCGCAAATTATTATGTATTCATGATATGGATTTGATTGTAAATTAATATAAACGATTTGTCGATAAATAACAAATATGTTTTTGTTTTTTAAATATTCAAATATAGAGAATGAATTTACATAAGATCTTAAAATAAAATGATTGCGTAATAATTGAAATTAATTGATGGATATACAATAGTTCCCGTGTCGATTATCAAAATCATCTAGATTCTAGGCAATGGTTTTTGTTGTAATTTTATCGAAACACAGCTTCCCTTGTCCCTTATGAGGAGCATGGGACAATAGCATTTAGGTTTTCGTTTACCTGATCGAAGTCATTTATTTATTCAATAAACAACAGAACCAAAATCATACTATTTATGGTAAGAGATGACTATATATGACATATAGATGCATCCAAAAAAAAATCACAAAAATAAGTTAAAACAAACTTATGAAAACTTTAATATTTCTTACTAGTTATTGCATATGATGGCACTATATAGCTAACACTAACATATCCTAAAAGGAGTGACGATTAATGCCCTGCCTGACTTTGTTTGTCTGGAATTCGAACGAGCACCGCTTGCACTTTTCTCAATACCAATGACATTTAAATAAAACACTCTAACCGTATAAAAAACACTTCAACGGTTTAAGACGCGATATATATGAGTAAAACTTATTAAACTTAGTTTCGCCAGTTTTTTACTTTGACGTCAGAGATTACCTCCATTGTTAGTGTCGCGCCGTAGTTAAAATAATTTTCAAATAAGTTTAACTAATATATATCGCGTTTAAACCGTTAGTGTTTTATTTAAATGTCCACTACTCTCGTAAACTATAGAAAATAGAGCTAGAGGAAAAGAAAAACTCTTCTCCCGTGTCGGTGAATTCGTGTCGGCATTGCCAAATGAGTAACTTGACCAGAACTGTCCCGCAATCCAGCCTTGACACCTCGTTGCGTCAGCTTACGAAACTCATTGGCAGTAGCCTCAGGAACATCGACATATCGACTCTACATTCGGTGAAGGCTTCGTCTAACCGCTGTGTCACTAGAGACTGAATCTTCTTCAATTTAATAAATAGTTGCGGTGATGTAAACCTATTAACTCGTTTTAAAGTTTCAATTCACGTGTTAAATTAAAAAAAAATAATTAAAAATCGATTTTAGCAAGCGGGACTTGAAACGACATCCACAGCGTTTCGTGCTATTCCTCTAATTCTATTAATATTTTCATTGATTTCTATGTCTGTTAATTCTTATTTTATTCAGTATTGTAAAATTATAACTATTACGAATTTTGTTTATTAAAACCTTATAGAAATGTTTTGCCTTATTTAAATAAAACACTTTATCGGTTTAAAACGCGATATATTAGTTAAACTTATTTGAAAATGATTTTTAACTTCGGCCCGACGTTTCGGATGCTTTGCAGCAGCTGTGGTCACGGGGAGTCTTAGGTTTTGTCTTATTATTTAAACTAAATATTTTCTTAGCTGTCTATATTAAACGTCCGTTTATTGTAGTCATCTAAAGTCCTGACATAAATAATAATAAATAACCTGACATATATAAAGATATTTTTCGTTTTTTCCATCTATATACCGAGTATACACAATTTCGACTTATATAAAATAATTTTTTATGTCTTAGAGCCATACTAATATTAACTACACAGTAAATGCATTTATTTGATCATACATTATACAATTAAATAAGACAACAGCAAACAAATTCTGGGAAGGTCAACATAAAATGCAATTAAATAAGTACATAAACTATTATTAATATTAGTAACGTAAATATGGCGTCAGTACAATCATCTTTGATGATTCTCTAAAAACCTAACAGAACTAGATAAATAAAATTAGCATAACTATATCTATCTATACTAATATATAAAGCTGACGTGTTTGCTTGATTGTTCAAAAGAGCTAATCTCAGAAACTACGGGTTCGAATTGTAAATTTATTTTTGCGTTTGTTAAAAGCATTTATCGAGGAAGGCTATAAAACATCGCCCCGTGACTAATACAAGCGAAGATACAGCGAGAAATGTGAAAAACAAAATTGAGAAAATTATTCATCCTTATGGGTTTTCGAAGAAAAAAAAGACGCTATATTATATTTAATGTCTATCTTGTAAGATTAACTTGCAAGAACGCTAGGAAGGCACGCGACGTCGTGCGTAACAGCTTAAGGTTATAAAGAGGTTTGCAAAAAACAAATTCGGATGACCAAAATAACGATTCCCACGGACGAAGTCGCTGAGACAGCTAGTATTATATAAATATTATTAAGTATGTACATTTTAAGTTGCGCATATTAAAATGAAATACTTAAATGTATAAATGGCGAAACATCAGTAAAACAAATTATCATATATATCTCGCGTTGTAAACCGTTAAAAGCGTTTTATTTATGTCAAATACAATTTTATTTCTCTCTAGTGAGTCACCTAGCGCAGTATGTTAAGCAAGATGGTTATTAAATAATATTTCAACTAAGTTTTTATGATATAACACTCGATTTTATCTTAAGAGTTATGTGAACATAATGTTGCTCTGTGTATTTCACACATTTGAATGCGTTAAATTGTTCTATTCTTATTTCCAACGCTCAATGGTAGAATGCATCGCTTTAAACATTAGAAGTCCTGGGTTCGCATCTTGAGGAAACACTGTACATTGATTTTATAGGCCAAGGCTAGTAGTCTAAAAAACTACTATTATGCAAATAAACTCGTTCAGAACACATATCAATATAAGACTTTTAAATAAAACATTTCTAACGGTTTAAAACGCGAAACGTTTTAGTTGACTTATTTACAATGTATTTTAACTACGCTGACCACGTCTGCTGCAAAGTATCCGAAACGTCAGGCTGTAGATAAAATAAATTGTAAATAAGTTCACGAATACATTTCTCATTTTGAACCGTTAAAAATGATTTGTTTAAACGTCTAGTACTCGCGTAAATCACAGACAATACTTGATATAAGATTTATTCGTAAATGTATTTAAGCTTTAAAGGCTTATTTCTAAAGTCTCACACACAGAGTAAGCAAAGTAAATTATTTATAAACATTGTATGCCATGTTAAAACTAATATTAGTGTCGTTAAATTTCGTCAAACTCTTAACATATACAAGAATTCGCAAAAGTAGGTTTATAGGTTGTCATTCAGTTACATAATCCCCGCGGAGGTGTTTACGACGACCTTGTATTGCGGGGAAACGTTCAAGTTCAAGTTATAACGAATTTCACGTAATTTTCGCTTTTAAACATTTACTTAGCCTTAATACCCCGAGAATGTCATAATTTTAAAAGCCCAAGTAGGTAAAGAATTCGTTAAGTTTTATTGAAAGTTACTTTGGGTGCTTAAAAATTGTTATCCACCGATGTTTTTTTTTAATATGCTGGACTTCCTCTGATATCTGGATAAGAAATGGCTGGTACGAATATCGCGAGTCACTAACCACAATCCACATATGAAATAGCCGTTTAATCGCGTTTGGATTTCGGTCTGCGGATTTCCTAATTTTCAAAGTCAAAATAGGTCGACAACACATTTCGTTTAGATGTTACATGCCTGGGGTATTTCACTCACCATTAAGTTTACCCCATGTCTGTCTGTCTATGTTAAAACAAAATGTGAAATCGTGGATTCAATCCCCGCCGGGTCCAGCATGTCTCAAAACAATATATATTTTTTTCTGAAATATGTTGTATATTTTCACGTTTTAAACCGTTCAAATTGGATTATTCAAATAAATATTTTCTTATTTTAATTATGAGAAATACAAATTTCACAAACGCAACGTAAAGGACATAAACTAAGTAGGTCTTTATCTCAATGCTTTCTAATTTCACTTTCCTTTGAATTGTGGTTTGAAATAAATATATTTCGCGAGTGAATTGGCAATTTTTCCTTTATCTGTCTCGTTTCAACTCTTTAGGTCATCGTTCACCCGATCACCTCGTTATACTGACCGCTTGTCACGTCATCTGTTATATAACATTCAATATTTGTTTCGGTACTTTTATCCACTAATTCATGATTTTGATCATATAAATTATGTATATTTTACGAGAAAATAAATTTATCAAATGAACACCAGATACTGCCTTCGTGACTCATAGGTAGAGGACCTAAGTTCGTACCCTGGTAAAACACAAAATAAAAGTTTTCGACTCAGCATAGATCTGATCAAAGCCTGTAAATTAGAATTAATCATCGAAACTGAGAGAGATGAGATCTTATCGAGCCCAATTAGCAGCTCATTGAAAAAAAAAAACTTTTTTTTGTATATTATTTTTCTTTTTTTTTACAATATTTGCTCTTTTCTTTTACAATAATTGTTTTTGTTTGCTGCATTCGCATATAATTGTTCTTCACGACCTATTGCGTCCCCTTAAACTTGTATCTCTGTTTAAGTATTTAGTTGTAAGAATGTTAGTCAATCTAATAATTAAAAAAATAGTGTAAAGTTTCAATACGAAAGAGGTGAATTTATAAAAATACTTAAGAATTTCGTTAAGTTCCTTCCTCTCCGTCATTTTTACCGCTTCGTTGGCAATGGTAGCAACAAGTCGAGGGTTCGATTCTACAGCGATAATTGTATTGTTAGTGATAAATACAATATAAAACTTTTACTTATATTAGTTAATATCAATTTTAATTTTCCTGCAACATTTTGTAGTTTTAAATCTCGAAATAGAGTGCTCGGTAGGAATACCCAAATTCAATTCGGGTCACGAAGCACTATCCACAGATAAAAAAGACGTGAAGTTTAATCACGTTTCGGTTTCAGTCTGTGGGTTTCTGTATGTGGATTTCAGTCTGTGGATTTCATATTGAAAAACAAAATAATTGATTTCAATTTCCATCAAGTGAATCCCATGCTTGTCTGTTCTACTCTATCGTTAAAGAAAATAACTAACGGGATAGTAACGGTGCGTTACTGGTTGTGTATTAAAGTCCTATCTAGATAGATATTGAAGATTCAATTGTTGTTGTTCAGTATTTCTAAAAAGATTTTAAATGTTTGATTCATCGTATCTAATCGTTGTGTTCTCGCGCTTTCAGCCGAATACCTGTTACCGTGCAGTCGAAGCGATCCGGAGTTAGACAACTGCATCAAAGGGTCCTTCAACCATCTGCGACCCTACCTGGCGCGGGGTCTCACTGACCTGGACGTGCCGCCAGTGGAACCGCTGCTGATAGATCGGCTGGTGATGGAGAATGCAGCCGGTGCTGTGCGGGTGACGGCAGCGTTCAGCAACATCACGGTGGTCGGGCCCAGTAACTATACTGTCACGAAAATCAGGTCAACATTTTTCCACTTTTCAACCCTGAGTAACTTTTATACGCAATTTAATTGCTCCATCTTATAAATAGTTTGACGTGATTCCGAGTCTCACTTCACCGTCTAGCAAGTTTATATAAATCGAATTCACGATCATTGTATTCTATAATTGCATCCATTGGACTTACAGACTCGGGTGACTTCGGATTTGGGTTCAAATTAAAAATATACTTTTAACGGTTGGTAACGTGAATAAAACTAAATTTAAGTTTATTTTAACTACGCCTCGACGTTTCGGATGTGTGATGTGAATATATGAAATGTGCACTACTCGCCTAAACTTCAGACAATTTAAAGTCTATTTAAAATAAAAGAAGCGATAACACGAGCAGGGCTTGAACCGTCATCCACAGAGTCTCGTGCTGTTGCCGTAACCAATCAAGCTACCGCGATATCAAATTCCTATCAAAGCCGAAAACATAGGTGGCATTGAAAATGGAAACTACCGTCAGAATTTACGTGACATTGGTCAATCGTGTAATAAGCAAAGACAGGTTGCGACACGGCACAAGTGTATGGGCAATCATAACACAATGGGATTCGAGTAATAACCACTATTAGCTGTTTCTACATGTGTGTCAAGACGAAACTAAATTGGGGACCATTATAGCCACCATTTGTTTTATTTTCGGTATGGCAATACTTGTCACTTTATTTTAATAGCCCCGTATTATCTGTGGTCGATGGGAGTAGGACACATTTAAATATTACTTTTAATAAAAACGCGAAATATTAACGTATTTTAATTTAATATAATTTAATTATTTCGGATGCACGGCTGCCGCATATTTCTAGCTTATTTATTTCGCGTTGGAAATCGTTAAGTGTTTTTATTTAACCCCCCCTTAATCTATAATACTTTTTTAAAATTTTAAAGATTTTTCGCTTCCACCCCTACCAAAACTAAGCAATCATTTGATATTTTTAATTTAATATCTCCTGGAGTTTGTTTATTTGTTTTACCGCGCGAATTTAAATTAATTATTAATAAGTCTTATTTCCTCGGTTTATCAAACTATAATTGAGAGACATGAGCGAGTTTTTAATTATTTTTTTAAATAGTGTGTGTTTACATAATTGTAATTGGGTCACCAACACCTTTCGTTTGATATCAAACACATTATAAATCAAGAGTTACATATTAGTTATATATTTTGAGGTTATATTTATATGTGTCGCCATTTTGTGTGTGCGACACTGTGAATCTTTGCAATACACACATTTACTAATAAGATGATTTTGGCTTGCCCATCATCAATTACCCATAACATAAAAAACCCAAAAACAATTGACTATAAATTTCAGATCGGACCTGAAGAAGCTGCGTATAGATATGGGACTAGTTCTTCCTCGGATCGAAGTAACAGGCCGCTACGAGGTAACTGGTCAGGTCCTTCTATTCCCGGTGCGGTCGCAGGGAGACTTTTGGGCATCGTTCAGTAAGTATACTTTAAAGAGATTTTGGAATCAACTATAGTATTTTTCTGTAAGAAGAGGAGAGACAAGCATGGAATTCAAAAGAAAATTTCAAAAACAAAATAGGCCGACAGCGCATCTTGTTGAGATATAGCTGGGGTATTTCACCTACCATCAAGTGTACCAGATGGTTGTCTGTCCCTCTCTTTCATAGAAAAATGGAGTTTACTTGATTTGCCTATCTCGAAAGAAATATGCTTAACGGCCAGCTTTGCGTCAAGCCAAAAATGTCCTAGATTCAAAAGCCGGGTATACAATAAATTTCGTTTGTGTGAGTGAATTTCACACACACACACATATTTTAGCCATGACATTAACGTTGGACGTAGGGAAATATTATGCGATATTACATATTTTGAATAAACTTTAGTTGCTTATACTACTTTCAAAAGACCTTTAAAAGTCCTTCCGTACGAATCGAGTAAGGAAGTGACATTTTAGTACATGAGAATGTAAAAGGAAAAAAGGCCCTCTTTATTAAATATCAAAGTGATGTCCCGCTTCCCCCGTTTACATTTTAGAGTGGACATATTTCTGTGTCGGTTACACTGATAAATTTTATTGATAAGTTTATCGAACGAATTTTAACCTCGGATCGATGTTTCGGATGCTTACGTAGCCTCAGTAGCCGTGGTCACAGAGGGACTGAAGATGTAGGATGTCCAAACTATTTATTATTTCACCTTATTTATAATTGAACCTTTCTTTCTTAACAAGGGTAGGCACCGCATTGACCGCCTCTGTAACTAAATGGTGAAACGGGTTGCCAAACATTGTGTAAAGCGAGTGAGTTCCCGGGTTCGAATCCCGGGAAAATACATTGTTCCGGCCGGCCAGACACAGAAGCTTCATCAGCGACTTGCTTTAAAATAAAACCGATTGTGCAACGAACACAGAATGAATGCCCCATGTCCCACGGGGGAAACGGGACAACTTTAGGCAACACATATAACTATTGAGTTAAGACACTGAGACCTTCTTATAATTGCTCTTGAAGGACATATACGTTGTTTTTATTAAGAGTCTGTAACTTAAATAAAACAATTTAACGGTTTTAAACGCGATATATAGAGTTGAACTTATTTGGAGATTATTTTAACAGCCCGACGTTTTAAACCGTAAGATGTATTTTATAACGTTTTAAACTGTTTAAACTTTTTATTAACATGTTTACTCCTTGCGTAAACTACAGACAGTATTTAAGGGTCTAATATTTAGTTGATATTGAATCCCTCCCTCGCATTTACAGGTGACGTGGCTGCTATCGTCAAGATCTTCGGAAAGGAGTTCCTTCGTCAAGATACAAAGTTCATGACAGCCGACCGCATGTTAGTGGACTTTAAGCTGAGAGGCTCCAGGTTCAAAGTGCGGGACACCATCAATCATGGCAGTATCATTGGTAAGATAAATGTGACTTACTACAGATTAAACATAAAACAACATATTTTGTGAACATGTTGTATCTAAATTTGACAAAGCCACATATTTACAGTTGGATATCCGAATGTCCTCGTTTTCACGTTTAAAAGGTGACACCTTCCATTACGTAAACATTTTGTCTGGCCCTCTATCATAAAAGAAGGTTAAATTTAAGTTTTTTGAAACGAAAGGACACCTTGTCAAAGTCAGTTCTGTAATTATCCAGCTAGTTTCTCCAAAGACTAACTAAGAGGAAACAGATGGCGGTAGCGTAGCAGATTTGATTTTGACATTAGGGATTCTGTCCATCTTCAGTCCTTCCGTGATTGTAAATAAGTTAGAATTTCGCGTTTTAAACCACTAAAATCTAATTTAACACACAATACGCATTCGTTTAATATTTACATTTTTAAATCAAATCTATTTAATAGCTACCAAAATAAAATAAAAACTGAATAAAACGATAATATATTAAAAATAATAGTAACTATTTATTCTTAAAACATGGCTTGACTATAAAGCTTGTTTAAATTAGTTTAAAGGTGTTTTATTAACAAGTACCATTCGTAATTATACACGTAACTTCGTGTACTATATAAAGATCAATTTTGAATTTTTTCTACCTTAAAATCTCAACGATTTTTTACAGGTGAAGCGATGAATCAGTTCCTCAACAACAATGCAGCGGAAATTATAGACGAGATGCGACCGGCAGCAGCAGCAGCCATCGGAAAACATTTCAAAGTATTCCTCAACGCGGCTTTCGAGAAAATTCCTGTCGATCTATGGCTGCAACCGTGAGCCAATAGCCGCCGGTGAGATGTACTTGTGATTAACTATAAAAACATTAATTGTTAATAAAAATACGACAAAGAGTCGTGCATTTTTTAGTTAAATGGATACGAAAATCGATATTGCTTATAATCACAAGTATATATAATTATTAACCCTGACTGTATACTAATTATTTGAAGTACCTTTTTATACAAAGTACTTGGTACAACATAAGAGTACAACCCGTTGAAGGACTTTCGATCTGTTGATGTCTTTTTTAAATAAGTTTTGTAAATAGACAATTGTATAATGCATGAAGTATTAGACAAAAGTATCGTAAATGTAACACGTAAAAAATTGTGAGTGACCCCACTGCATATATAAAAAAGTATTGGAATTATTATTTAGATATAAGCCTTATTATTTATTTATTTTAAGTCGTGTGTATAACATGTGTGTAACATAATTTTCGAAAGATCTGACTAGGTGTGTAAGTGAAGAATTTGATGACTACAATAAAAGTATCGTACTCATTTACACTTTTATTTTACAGATTAAGGGTCAAAGCTAAGTTACAATTACACATTGTTTTAGGGTTCCACCCCAAAAGGTAATTATACTAAGACTTCGCCGTCTGAATAAAAGAGTCAAAATTTTCACATATTATATTATTGGAGCTATAATAAAATAAAGCAAAAATTCTAAATAGGCAAAGGATGGTATTTTCGTCTATTTTTGCTCAATATAATAACTACTAAAAGGTGGGTCTTAGTAGAACCTCGTCTGCAAGTCCGACTCACGCTTGGCCGATTCTTTTAATTGTTCACATGGCTACGGCCCAAGGCTCTCCGAATACTCTAAATTACCTCACGCCATCTTTTACCTTGCCTAACAAAACTTTCGCCATCTTGCAATAAACTCATTTACAACGTATAATTTCGTTACCATCGCAACCATACAACCTAGATGTGAACTATGGGGAAATAGTGGAAATTAATTACTGTTACGACGCCCATAACATGAAATATAATCATTGTAATTGCTATTAAAAAATGTGCAATTCTTTCAATAATCTATACTAATATTATAATTTATCGAAGAAGGCTTTATAAAACATCACGCTGCGTAGATATAGGATATAGGGGTGAAGAAACAGTGAGAAATATGGACACTGGGAAAATTAATTATATTTAAGGGTTCTAGACACCCAGGTTGGACTTCTCAAATTTAAAACGATGCCAGACAATATTGAATCATTGTAGTATTGTAAAGGGATTCTAGAAAAAGCCGCAACTTTTTTAAATAACTTAAATTTATTCGTTTGGCGTACAATATTTAAATGTTAATATTCTAGCTTATATACAAATTGTATCCTAGATTATTACAACTAAAATAAAATATCATCAGCGCTCAATGCAGCAAAGGCATGGTCTGCTAAGGGTTTGAGGAAATCCCGCAAAGCTTCTTCGATGGGCACCTGCAGCTCACCAGACAAGCTCTGCCAGTTTTCGCTTAAAAACTTGTTAATCATGTCCCCTGAAACGAAATAATATTAACCATATGTAACTGCTGAAATATTTGATGCAAAACAACGAAAAATCTACCATTTCAGAAGTTACTATCATTCATACCTCAGGGAAGTACTTACTACTTTAATTAAAACGATTAATGATAATCTCATATAACACAGAATTATCGGTTTTAAACGCGATATATATTAGTTAAATCATTAGCAATTTAAACCGTTAAAGGGTTTTATTTAAATGTTTACTACCTACCCTCGTAAACTACAGACAATGGTGAAAACAAAACTGTTTCATTCAAGAGACAATAATCCACGTATGTTGTACAATTTTAATATTTATTCGAGTAATAGACATTTAAATAAAACGCGTATAACTGGTTAAAACGTGAACTATTAGTTGTATTCAGTTACAATTTATTTTCCGCCATTTAGGCCCTCTTTGACCATATCTCCTGCAAAGCATTCGAAACGTCGTGCCGCAGTTGAAACATATTTTAACTTATCGCGTTTTAAACTGTTAAAAGTGTTATTTAAAAGTAATTAGATACTACGTTAGTTTTAAATTAAACGATTGATTAAAAACTCTACATACCTAATTCCTTATCGTCCCCGAAGAGATGCTCCAAATCTACAGATACCTGCCCGACATCAAATTTGACATGCAATTTCTCACAAGTAACAGCGTCTGAAGCATTTTCTTTCTTTAACCTGCCCAGTGTTATGGTGACTGTGGCATTTATATCACCTGAAACGTTGATTTATTATTAAGGAACTTCTAGAGTGTAAGCATCTGGTAACTGGCATCGGTCTCAGCTCTACTCAGTGTTGTTTACTGGACGAGAAAGGGTGAAAATTTGTGTCTTTTATTGCCACTTTAAAAATAATGTCTAAAAAGATAATAAGAAATGTTAGGGTGCATAGTAGTTATATGGTAACCCATTCTCAAACCTATAGATTACGCATATAAAGTTTTATAAAAATTCGTCCAGCTGTTTCGGAGGTGTTATATTGACACGAGAATCCTGCTATATAATCGTATATTTTCCATTATACAGTAAATACTACTACAGACAAGATCATTATTCATAACAAACACTGTATTTTTTTTTCCTTAGATTCGAATTGAGAATAGAATCTCTTGTCTACTCTACATACGTGAACTATTAACATAATATTTTTTGCCGTGCAGTTTAAACAAGGGACTTACGATATTTCGACGTGAAATCCCCATTTCCCTCCACTGGTATCATCAAGAAATTTCCTTTGATATTGTACTGCCCTTTCATTCTTAATTCAGGAATGTGGAGTTGGGCAACTATTTCGTGCTTCTTTGTGTGTATGCTAAAGACAATCAACATATATACATAATAATATATATAAATAATGACATATAGAAATCTGTAAAACTTAAGAAGCTTTGCACAATATCCGACAAAACCCTACAAAATTTACAATTACGTCTTGTATAAGTCAACGACATATATACGTATGTTATATTATAAATTCTTCAAAAATCCTATTATTCAACAACAAAAATTTCGCTGAGTTAAATACTATTTAAAACACGAAATATAAGACGAGTTTCGTGACCGCTGTGAAGCACCTGTAAAATCAGATTGATATATTATCTATACTTAATGACATGCAATCTGCAGCTGTCAAAATGATCCCCCCTTGTCACTTGAAATCCGGGAACGAAGCCGCGTGAGTTTTGCGGAAAACAAGCGACAAAAAAGGCGCCTTCGTTTCTTATTTTAATTAATTTTATTAGATTATTTCCATTAATTCTACTAAAAGACAAACGTGCAATTGACAAAAAACCAATATTGAGTTCGTAGTTAGAAATAAACAAACGTATATATTTCGAGATTTCAAACTCCGGATAACTATAAAGGGAAAACCGACAAACAATTGATATGTGAACAAATAGTTATATGTGGAAATATTTCTTGAAAGAAATAAATACTTACTCGACATTTTTCACACGCATAGTGGAAGGTCCTCGTACATAGACATTTGAGAAAGAGGAAGACACAGAAATTGGACCAGATGTCTGCTTCACCGAAAGAGACCGCACGAGGAGTGGCTCGCAGGACGGTATATCATACTTGGGTAAGCCTAAAGAAATTTATATTTTTTATATTAGCCTGCCTTCTTGGTAGAGTGGTTAGTACGCTGCAGAGGTGTCGATTCGCGGTTTGCATGTGATTTTAGCCCAGTATTAGTTATTGAAGAGCACGTTAAGTTGGTGACTAGTGATATCATTAATTTAGTAACGGTAGTCAGTAAGCCCACCACGGCACATTAAACGATGTGGTGGGTCTAACTAAATCTCTGTTATGTGAGATCTATGCCCAGCTGCGTTGACACGAAACGATAGGATTATTGTTTTTGAACCAACTTGTCATTTGTTTATAATAAGACATATGAATTTTCTAAGTGAAGTGAAACATTAAAGAGTATATAATTTAGGTACCTGTTGCCAGTTTCGGAATGAATGTATTCAGAGCATCTCGCAGACATTTTCCGAGCGCCTTTTCTTCACGTGGGCAAATGAATCCGCCGACTAAATTAACAATGATTACATATATCAGCAAAGTTACGACATTTTATTATGCTCAAGATACGCTCATGGGCGTACCTTGAGCTTAAAATCGAAAAAGGCAGAATGTTGTAAATAGGAACTGGAACACGCCTAGAAATTTTACCGGCCTTTTTCGTAGGCCAATTAATTTTTTATAATCATTATAACAGGTCTCCATGACAATTTATAATTTTTCTGAAACATGTTGGACTTCGTCTGGAAATCAGGATATTATGATGGGCAAAATTCCGACCGGGACACGGTTCCAGTCTGTGTATTTCCGAATATCCAAAGTCAAAATATCGGGTATCACCTGGGAGGTGATCAATACATGAAAAACTTTAAACACGGTAACACGGGGAAAATTTTTAATAGAGAGGTCAGAAGCTGACTACGCCCAAGTCTACATATCTAAAGACTTACAGTTGATAAAACTTTTTTCATGACATAAAACACCACTACTTAAGGTTAAAAGCAAAACTATACTTGACCACATCTTGCACTGTTCTGCGCATGCGCATTCATCTTAATATTACTTTTTCTCGTTTTATCTTAGCTACGTGATGATAGGATTAAGATGAAATTAATGAAAATTTATTAGACTTATCGCACGTGTTGGTTGTAATCTCGTTGTTGCAACATTTGATGATGTCTTATATTTATCAATATTGAGTAGGTGTTCTTGGGTCCTGGGTTCGAGGAGTAGTGAATTTTTTGGTCGGCGTAGACACAGAAGTCAAGTACTTATCTATAAAAAAACGATTACATAGACAGAAATGTGTTCAGACTTCCCACAATTTTTCTTCTTTTAAATAAACTTTTTTTATTTAATATCAATTTATTGTTGTTCCAAATTTATATAGAAGTTTATCGTCGTAATTACTAGTCTACAATTTATAATTACATATATTATTGTGGCATGAATGTTTTTACCAATTTGGTTACTTACACATCTTTGATTTTTCAATCTAATATTGAATTTTACCAAAGTTAGTTATTTGATCTTGCGACGATATTTTTTATCATTAAAAGTATATTTAATTTATTCTTACACAGAAGTCGCAGTGACGATGCAAATAACACGTAGTTTGCAATGTCGTTAGATCGACCGATTTCGACCTAAAATCTCACTAGTAGGAATTTACACCTTACCTCCAATTTATAAAGTTAATAATCGAATGAACAAGTGCACGGTATTCGAAGTGCATGGTGTAATATTGCAATGACGTAAGTTTTAGTAGGTTAGCGACCGCCGGCGACTCGCTGGCCCACTTTTATTTAGCTCAACCGAACGAACGGCGTCTTCGACCGTGTTGACTAATCATTGTTTAGTAGCTCACGATGTTGACTGTAGATCACAAAAGTAAAACCACTAAGGAACCGCATACACTCTTATTAGTAAATCAAATCAATCTGTACTAATATTATAAAGCCAAAGAGAAACATTTTGCTTGATAGACCATTTACCGAGAAAGGTTTTAGGCTATATAACATCACGCTGGATATATATCGATTAATAGGAGTGTAAAACGGGGAACATTACTAATCTTTGAGGGCGCTGCGAAAAAGGTTCAAGAAACCAAAAATTAAGTATGGGTGGGTGTGGAATGAATTAGCAAGGATTACAAAAAAAACAAACAATGCAATAAATAAATAATTTATTAAATACTTTATGAACTTAACATTAATGGCACGTTGACTGGTATGATACGGTGTTTTATCTTTGTCTGCTAATTGTTCATAGTTTCGTAATATATTTTTGTGTCTTCCGTACTATATATCGTATGCTCATTGATAGCACCAATTCCGCTTTTTTATAACTATAAATAACGCGATGGCACATCCAACGAAGCACACGACACAGAAGGACAGAAAGACATGGCACTAAGCTGGAAAGACCATGTTCGGAGGGACGTGTTTCAGGAATTTATTCGCGATGTCTTCGAGGACCATGGCGAGTGCTGTCTCAACAGCTGGCTGCACTTCTTTGGTTAATTCGTTCGCATGCATATGCACGATGTGTTTTGTCACCATTTCTGTGAAAATGAAGTACTTGTATTACTCATATGTGTGAGTATGTGTGAAATCCCGTTTCCCCCCAAAAGCAAATACTTTTAGCACTTTCAAGTAGGATATGTATTATTTAAATGAGTACTTCGGCGTTAGGGATGTAAAGCATTCCTAATAAACTAATAATTATGTATATAGAGTGAACTTTAATCCGTCCAATTTGTTTTATTTCGGAAATTTTTAATGGTCCATCTTTGACCGAAATCATCTGTTTCAACCTAGGTACTTCTATAATTTTGATACTTTTAGTAGAAACTATAATTTTTCTGTTTATTCGGTTAATTTTTAAGTGTTTTATTTAAATGTGTACTACTCGCGTAAACTATAGACAGTATACGTACCCATTTCACCAGTAGTCGAATGAGCTTCCCTCAAACTTGCGTCAAGTGGTCCGGTACATCGTAGTTTTACATTTGCATCCTTGATGACGATTCTCTTATGTACTTTGGCACCGATAGCTTCAAGAGCGGCAGAGCATAGCGCTAAAAAATATTTATGGGTTATATGAAAAGTATCCCAGTTCAAATATTGCGGGATTCGAACCAACGACCAACAACTCAACGGGGCTTATCTACCAATTGATATATGTAACGATCACGCCTGTAACCATCTAAGTTCTCAACTTTGATACGTACGTCACTACCAAGATCGCTCACTATGTAATGGTTTTTAATTATTGTGTAAGATCTCAATAATTTGAATATGTTTTCTTGGTATAATGATACCGGTGTATGGCTAATAATCAACGGGTCGTGGTTCCAATCCTTATCGGGTGCAAGATTTTTCTAATAAATTTTTCTGAAACTTCATCCGAAATCGGAATCACGTTGAATGCGTTTCGATTACAGTCTGTGGATTTCCGAATTACTAAAACCTAAGCAGGTCGACATCTTCATCTGTCCAGCCCTCTTAATGTGCAGGTGTGTGCGTGGGTCACTTACTGAAGTTTGCATCAATAAACCCAGTTGACTCGACAGGTAACATCTGGAACTCTCCAATGACTACGTACTCGCCAGCCATCACCAAGTGTGGCAAACTAATGTTACCGGTTACTTTTAATTCTTCAGGATATACGCTAAAAGTAACAATTTCACTTTGAAATAGATTTTCACATGTCATTGCACATGATTTAATAAATTGTACGGACAGGCCTTGAACCAACATCTACAGCGTTCCGTGCTGTTGCTCTAACCACCACCGACACGGTAGCTCAATTGATTTTTAATTTTTTAAGTAGATGTGAAGATTTCATTAAATCTTTTGTTTACCATCTTTCTATCAAATATTAACAATAACAACATTGTGAACGCTAATTCGTCAAGTACACCATACAATTTTATCGCAATTAATACCAAACTAATCATAATTATAAATTTCTAACTCTAGCGGCAATTTTAGTAACGATACTTTCACGTACTCTAGTTTATTAAAAGTGTAGTTCGTCAGTCCTGATAGTACAAGATCCGACAGCCAGGCGTCATATTTAAATTTGTTTTGAGGCATATTGTGTTGCCTTAGTCTGATGCTGGGAACCTTCAGTGGTTCCAATGGTTGTATGCCAAATGATGGTATCCCATGAGCCAGAAGGGTTCTGCCTTGTTCGGCTACACGTTTGATGCAGTCAGCCACGTTTGGATCGCTGTAGTGGCAGATGGGTTTCTGTGCTGTAAACTATATTATATTACTATTTATAGAAAAAGCTTTTGAATTAAATAGGGGCTTAACCAAAATGAATTAATCATCTCTGTGGCTCAATTAGAATTAGAACATAACATAGTGGGGTATGGGGTTACCTTAAAGCATAGTAATGTCATAAAAGGGACATAAATCTGTACAATTTGCCTGTATGTAAATAAAATTGCCCAGTAAAACAGATACAGAAATGGACCCAAGGCCCACATAACTAAAATACATCATTTATATCAATTTGGGTATACCTCCGAAATCTGGCTGACAATATTTTCATGTATTTGTTAAACTTATTGAATTCAAATACAATAGATTGTTTCGGTAGGGCGGGCAAAGAATTCTGATCAACTACTTGCCTGTAAATAAAACCGATCAGTGAATAGTACCCACAAATGTGCTCGCCCCATGCCCCATTGGGGAAAATGGGATTATACCACTATATATACTCACCCAATGCATTTATATTCTCACTGAGAGTTTCGTTTTGAGGTACATGCTTCCCTAAGACCACACCCAAACTTATAACCAACAGAAACTTCACTATACGAATCATTTTCACCGTTCATCAAAGACTAGAATAATCTGTCTGTGAATGAATTCTGCCTTTATAATACTTCGAGTCGTCGCTCGTGTAGACCATATGTGGCAGATATTTAGCCTCGGCCCTAAGGTCTACAGGACATAAGTAAATGAGTGAGTACTAGGATTTATGACCCTGACAATCGTAGTAACCAAGTACTAGTTAGTGCACGTTTTGTTTACCTATGATTCTTGGTTCAGTTCTAGATCTACGTCTGGAGATTGAAACTTAGCAAATTCTTTGTAGTTTACGCGAGTAGTACACATTAAAACTCAAAAATATAAGTATACGTATTTTTAAAATATTTTAACTAGAGCCCGATGACGGATCGGTAGATGGATACCTTGCACGTCTGCTGGCAAGCATCCGAAGCGTTGGGCCTTAATAAAAATAAATTAACTAAAATATTTCGCATTTTAAACCGTTAAAAGTGTTTTATTTAAATTAACAAGTTCTCCTAATATTTTATTACATCTCTTCATAATAAACTAAGCGGCAAATTTGGATAGAAAATAAAATACATGTATAATTTGGAAACTATCTTCAAGTTGGGAGAGGTCATGTGTTCATCTCCCGGTAAACATAAAACAGAAAAGTGGACTACCCTCGTGCGTGCAAAACGGATACGGAAATGTGACTTCCTTAAGCGCACGCGTGGGAAACTGGATTTCTTTATAAAATTTATAGACCTAGTAACTGACCATTATATATGTCTATACTAATACTAATATATAAAGCTGAAGAGTGTGTTTCTTTGTTTGACCCCGCTAATATCAGAAGTACTGGCTTACTGGCTCGACTTGAAAAATTATTTTTGTGTTGGTTAGAGCTATCAAGGAAGGCTAGGGGCTATAAAACTGTGATATTGGAGCGACGACACACGGGAAATGTGGGAAAAACGAAGTAAATTCTGCATCATAATGGGTAGTAATACATATTTTTTGGGTATCGGAACCCAAAAAATATGTATAAAAGAGTGATTCCTCTCTAAACGACCTAAAAAAAGTCTGCAACACTCCGACGTCGTGGGTAACAAACACATTTGCAAAAACAAATTCGGATGCCTAAAATAATTATTCTACGCGGACGAAGTCGCTGACACAGCTAGTATCAATTAGAAATGTACACGTTAGTGAACATAAGAGTTAGAGTATAAGGAAGTATAAACAACGTTTTATGACGTAAAGGTTAACTGCATTTATAACATAAATAGTTAATTAAATCTTTATTTTAATTAAAATACACCCATACACTGGACACAGACTACATACATTCTTTGGTGTGTGCATGGTGAAAATAAATTTATTTTTAATGTAATAAATAGTCAATTCTAGGTATTACGAACTGTATGAAACGCAAAATGAATTCGTTATCTATTTTTAACTACAACCAGATGTTTTAGAAGCAACAGTGTTGAGATTCATATTACCGTTTTAAACTGTTAAATGTGACGTAATAGTATGAATGAATGAAGAAACAAATTTTAAAAACCGTTTTGCCTAGTTAATATTACACATACACAAAACCTTAAACAATACTTAATAACAATATCACAGTACAAACACAAAAGAAGACCCCTAAGCTACAAGTATTTCCTGAAGTGGTATAGTGGCGAGGATCTTGTTGAAGAATGCCTTGAAGATGGCAGCACTGCTTTCCTCGATCAGTGGGTTCAGGATGTCGAGGATGACACCTGGACTCGCATTGAAGAATGCTGCAGCAGAAGTTGCTGGAAGAGTAAAAAGAATAAAAGAAAATATACACGAATCGGTTTTAGAACCTCATTTTCTTGTTAAACCAACAGCACGGAACGCTATGCCAGTTCAAGTGCTGCACAAGTCGTAAATTTTTCGTAATTGTCGATTTTCAAGTCATTACTTAATCTCATTTCTGCGTCCGTCTCATTTATCGCTTTTACCTGCTGTTTTTAAGACTCAAGGTTGAAATCTTTAATCACTTTCATTTTCATATACACAACGGAACTCAAACAGACGACCCCACTTAAACACATTTCAAGATAGAAATGATAATTAAGCTAGGTTAGTACATAAATAAAACGGTACTAGTGGGTTCGAGGTCCTAGTCCAAATGTGTATAGAAATAACGTGCTTACCAGCAACAGGTCTCTCCGTATCCTCAACAGCCAGCTGTCCATGAGCAATTTTCAACTTGGCGATCATCTTGTCAGCTTGTAAATATTCTACGCCGTCTCTTTCGATTACTCTAGCTGCACCTTTTACCACTACTGTTATCCCGGCTGAAATTTAAAAATTACTTATTTGATATCCAGGTGAATGATGTACTGCTGCTGCAGCCTGAGCTGGTCTGATTGGTTCTACTACTTCCGTATATTGAGAATGCAGAGGAGGTTAAATCTTTAATTTAATAAACACACTTATTTTGAAACTTGCTCATCAACTATCACAAGACGATCTTCGGATCTTATTCAGTAATTTTGACCAAAATGTAATTAAAATTTATCTTAAAAGATATTACGCGGACATTTTTTTACATTATTGAAAGGGGAATAATTCTATCATACATATATTCGCATCGAACGTAACGGAAACCCATAAGGATTTAAAAAATTCTCCGTTTTTTACTTATTACCCGCTGTTTTTTATCCTATAGCGATAATTCTCGATAAATGTTCTAACTAACACAAAAATAACAAACAAACAACTCTTCAGCTTTGTACATTAGTATAGATAATTTATTACTCACTGAAATTACTCCTCAGTTGTCCTTTGCCACTGATGTCCAGGGTGAGGATCTTGGAGCCACGCACATCATAATCAGCAACCACTGATAGTTTTGGCAACGTTAATTTCATCTGTCCTTCATATTTATCGTTCAGGTTCAACCTGTAATTGATAAATGGATAATCAAATAATTTTGTGAGCTCTCTGTAAAAAACATTTGACTTATAACGTACGAACTTAACTACATTATTAATATAGAACGCTTTAAACGGCTTAAAACGCGAAAGATATTAGTTATCTGATTTATAATTTATTTAAATGTGCATTACACGCGTAAACTACAACTTCAATATATCTGTAGAGCGATAAAACACTTTTAACTGTTGAACCGCGAAATATATCTCATGTTAACTCACATGCATGCAAACATGAGTTAAGACTATACGAGGTATCTATATTGCCGTCTTGTTGTCACACTCGCGATCTTAAAAATTACTCCACGGTTCTAAGTGAAATTCAGTACTATTCTTATTTTTTACACATAATAAAGATAATAGATTTATCTTTATAGGGGGGGGGGGGGGGGGTCAAGATATGGTTGGGTACATAAATTTCACCAGACTTTTCGACCCTGATCTTTCGGATTAATTAATGAAATTCGTGTCAGGGTTTATTTTCCTTCGCAACCTCACTACCACTTTGTTATCCAAACATTATAAACACTAATAAAACTTTACGTAAGAATCTATTTTTCTAATGAACTAATACTACAACTACATAGAACAATTTAGTTATTAAGAAAATAAATAACTCCTTCGATATTTGAGGCAGAGTAGCTTAACTGCAATTTTATGACTTGACTTATTTATATATGTATAGTCCAAAAATCTTAATCTACAAGAGCACAGTGACCGTTAATTGTTAGCATTATTAACACAAATAATAGTACAAATGCGTTTTCGCCGATGTTAATTTCGCATTTTTTTTCGTCCTTATTGAAAATCATGTTTTTAGTTAGTAGGCCACTCTGCCTATAACAGCCTCGTTTCTCCGAAACGACGTTAGGCTCTTTTAGAATTTTTCCACAGTTATTTGAAGTACCAATTTCTTTATCCCCACTTTTTATGCAAATGGCTAAATATTGAACACTTCAGAAAAAATCGGACCCAAACTTCGTATAAACATTAAAAGTTATGTTTGTGTACGATAGTGTAATAAAACTTGTATGTTGAATTTTACCACATATTAATAGTTATTTTATAGAAATAATCCAGCTATATCTAAATATGATGATGAAGAAAGTAGTGGAATTATTATTAAACATACATAAAGGGGTATATTTACTAACGTCACTTACTTTAACTTCTCGATCTTAAAGTTGCTTCCGCCGTAAGCCTTCATATTCTTGATGGTTGCTTTTAATCGAAGATTCGTGGCCGTCCTATCCAGCTTGAGAGTGGGCACATTGAAGGGCTCGAGGGAAGGTACGTTCACCTCTGGTATTCCTTTCAGCAGTTTTGGTCTTAATGTTTCTATGGCGTCTAAGATGCATTTCTCGATTTGTGGATCGCTTTTCTTACATTGTGGAAAGTAGTCAGCTGAAAGGGTGTTATTACAATTTAATTAATGTTATTATTTAATTGTAGGCTAATAAGAATCATATTTGCGTGTCTTTTTATTGGTAAAAATCAGTAACGAATCCTGAACGATTCTTTGAATTGATTAGGAAAAAAGGATATATATTCATTTGGGATATATAAAGATCTTTAAAAATACTTTTGTAGATATTGTTTTTATAAATTCATAAAAGAAAACCAAGGCAGTTGAAGGACAGATCCACAGTGGAAAGTGGTAGTCCAAAAATAATTCGGGTAAAATTGTAGTAATTTAGACGAATGTAAAGCAGTTAGTTTCAATGTTTATTGTATTCAAAAATTCCATTCATTTTCTCAGTATTTTAGATAGAAATGTCTGTATATATATAATTGCAACGCAGTTTCAAAATATGCATTGCAACAGTTGCGTCATTTCCCGGCTGGGCACACATGACACTGTATCCGCTTTGTCAATAATTACCAGTTATTTACCACAAATGCTTTTTAAACTAAGATATATTGGTTGTTATCAAAGTTTTTGATTTAGCACTTTTGGTTGTTGGTTGGAAGAGATTTCTTTTCAGCGAATGCCACAATGCAATGCATTTGATTTTAACTTATTTGTATTTTAATTTAAAAATCGAAAATAAATTGAAAAAATGTTCGACTCGGGCAGGACTTGAACCGGCATCGTCAGCGTTCCGTGCTGTTGCTCTACCAATTGAGCTACCGAGTCCTACACCTCATCGTCGAATTTTTTCAACTTATTGATACAATATTTGTATTTTTCTGTGCAATAGTGTTTAAATCATAGTGAAAATATACGATTCGAATCTTTTCCTATTTATAATTTAGCAGTAGACTAGAACTAGCTAATAATATTTTGTTCTATTACTAATATTAAGGACTGATGCATAGGGCTTACCTTACGTAATAAAAGTTGAAAAAAAACTTAAAAATCAATTACAAATTGATTGATAAGTACAAACAAAATGTCTGATAGTATTGTAATGGTAAAATTGTAATTATTAGGCGTATTAATGAAATTTACTATGAAAATAGAAATAAAAAAAGCTTACGTAATACTTTTCCGTGAACACTGAAGGCACATAGTAATAAAATCAATAACACTTTCATTTTCTTTCGATTTAATTTTCGCTGTTAACCGTTGATTCTTCAACGGTGAAGGGGTACTCAAGAGTGCGCGGGAGTTGCGATCTACCTCATATTTGTAGGAAAGGAAAGATCGCCGCAGCTGCGTTGAGTAACTGGAGGATAATCGCAATTTTGGTGGGATTTTAAGGATTTCCTGGTAGCGTTAATTAAAAATATAATCTTTAATATGTGTGCACATAGCCTTAAAGATATGTTATTTTCTAAATATGAATCTTACACAATGCAGTATTCTTATTTATTTCTGATTTAATATTGAGTAAACTTCCTCAACGAAAATATAATAACATGGATTAAGCTCGGACCTTCAAAATCCTTAAAGCTAGTTTTAACGTTACCTTGTCAATAATTATTGAAGTGGAAGAAGCCGGAAGGTCAAACGTGTGCTTTCACAAAATATAACACAGGTTTTTCATATGGGACATGGTTATGTATTGTCTCAAAAAGTGGTGCGACTTAAAAAAACACTTTTAACGGTTTCAAACGCGAACAACAAGTCACTATTAAAAGTTTACAGTTCACAATGCATCCAATAATAGACTAAGAAAAAGACTTAATTGCAAGTCTTCCGTTTACTGGGTTACCCACAAAGTGTATCTGGCTCAATTATTGTCTGCATTACCGCGAAGCGTTACATAAAAATCTCTCAAAAGCCGTTCTGGTTGCACAACCGATCTACAATTGTACTTACAGTAGGAAAACGTCGGTGCGAATGTGTTCTAATTGTCTGAAATATCTGAAATTGTCTGTAATTATCTGAAATTTGTAGAAGAAGAGTAAGAAGTAGAAGTAATGGTAGAAGATGAACGAGAATGATAGTATATAGTTATAGTAGTAGTAGCGTTTCCATTTGCGATTACAGCATATAGGTTTCAGTAAAAGAAGATAACAGTTATATTATTTAAGATATGAAATGAAGGAACGATTTAGCAAAAAGTCGTTTGAATTAAAATGACAAATAAATTGGCCAAGTGTGACCATATAGTGCGTAATAGTAGGTAAGTATATATATCGTACTTTAGGCTATTTTAAAGGCTTATCAGTTAATTTTACATACCATACTATATGAATATGGAGTTTGCTCTATTATGTCTATATCTCTTTTTGAAAAAGGTTTTTTCTGTTTGAAAATAATTAAATGACACTTAACGTAGCGTTCATAAAATATTTCAGATTCTTTCAATTTGCCTATATTTTATGGTTCTTGGTATTCAAAATAATATACATTAAATTATGGGGTAGTTTCGTTTTTTGATGCGACGGCCGAAAGATATCAACGCGCGCTGTCAGTCCCTTTTGCCACTCGTGCAGCGCTGGTTTTATACAATTTTTAACTGTATGTTAACCAATTAAGATTAAAAGTTTAAACGCCGGAGTGTTAGAGTTATAATAGTTTCCGCGAGTGTAGTGCGTATTTTAAAGTTATTAAATTTCGTAAAATCAGTGTACCTACTACGTGGTGACGTTCCCAAACGATTCAGACAGACACGCCACAATAATAGTGTACATTAGTCAGATCTACCACTGGACCGGAGGTATGTATTCAATTTTGTCACTTAAAGTGTGTGTTGACAAAATGATTGGCATACTATATATACTAATATAAGTAATGTATTTTCCTACCCTATTTCCTTAAACACAAACTATAAAAGGAGTATAAACAATTTTTATTATTAAGAAACTTAATTGCCAAATTAGAAACCAATAATATTACCGTATAGGGTTTAACATCCTTTTTCTATATTTGTCATTCTTTTGTAAGTCATTAAGGCATCAATTAATTGAAGTTATTATAGTTATATTTTAATGTAGTAAAAAATATCTTGCTGTTATTTAAATACTGTCTATAGTTTATGCGACTAGTACACATTTAAATAACTCACGGGGAGACTCCCGTGACCACGGCTGCTGCAAAGCATCCGGAACGTCGGGCCGAAGTTAAAAATCATTTTCAAATAAGTGTAACTAATATATCGCGTTTAAAACCGTTAAAGTGTTGCTGTTATTTGTCTGATAGTGTTACGATATTAAAAACTGTTATTTTATCAAGTTTTGTAGTATCTCCGTTTTCGACATAACTGTTACAACAACATATTAACATAATTATAGCAATGTATGATTTATTATATTTTTTGAATACATCATGGGAGTGAGCAATCATTACATATACGTCAGGTCAATGATGTCTTTTTCACCCCGTTGGATTAGGGCGGTGGTAATGTGTGGCTGATCAACTTTAATCGGGTCGCAAGCGCAAGGTTGTTATATGAGTGGGGTGCTTCACCTACCTTCAAATGAACTCAATGGTTGTCTGCCCTCCTCTATCATAAAAAAATGATAAAAGACATTCTCGTCTCTCCCTCTGACCAGATCTGTGTCATACCCGCTCTAACCATTTACTGCTTTCCCGTGATTCGCACCCAGGACCACCGCTGTTTATGGCTATGCTAGTACTGCGACAGTCGATTAACACTGATTTAAATCATATTGTTTTATTTTCATAAAAAAAATATTTTAAGAACCAAACTTAAATTGAGTGCCATATTGTTATTGCCAAAGTGATTTTTTTAACACACACTTGTACAAGCGGGATAACCTGCTTTCTTGTTTATCATTAATAATATCTAACAACGAAATTCCAATTATAGTCTATGAATTTAGATGGCTTCCCAGCGAAGGTAAGTAATTTATTTTATGGTTATATTTCGTAAGTTCTAGCATAACAAGTTACAAACTAGGCGTCTTAATAATGTCAAACTTAAAGTCGTACCGTACACAGTACGTAAATATTTACTTTGATTGAATATTCAATGTTCAGAGTAAGTATTTCCCTTCATAATTATTAACTAACTAGCTGTGCCCGCGACTTCGTCCGCGTGTGATAGTGACTTGGGGTAGAATTTTTAATTATTTAAGCTGTTTAATAATTTATGTAAGGGCTCATTTAGGGGCAGCCAATCTATGTTGTAAGTGCTACTTTGCCGCAACACTCTCACCTCACATCACTCCTGACTAACTCTCTAACTCCCACTCCTATCCCAAAAAGCCAAAGAAGAAAGTTTCATTGTTCTAGCTTCAAAAACCACGATTTTTCATACAAACTTTCATCCCCTTTTTCAACCCCTATCAACCTTTATTTGGCATTAAAAGGTAAAAAGTAGCCTATGTCCTTTCTCATGCTCTAAAATATCATTTAAATCAGTTCAGGCGTTTCGGAGTTAAAGCCGGACAGACAGACAGTTACTTTCACTATTATAATATTATTAAAATCTATAATTTATTTAAATAAAAATTTATAGTTGGATGACCCAAACCTCTGCAAGGAGAAAATGGGGTAATGGGTGAAATAGTCGGCTGATAACGTGGACAGACCACCCGCCCTACCACCGGTGTCCCCGATAGAAAATAATAATAATAATAGCTATGAAAGCACAAATATATATTTAAAGAGGAATCATTCATACTGTTTCATACTTGTTTTTGGGTGGAACCGTTTTGTAGCATACAGATCTGTAACCCAGAAAGATTCATGATGTTTCCCGATTTCCAACATGTCCCGCTGTTTCATAATGTCCTAACGAATACAAAAATATTTTTAAGATTATAATAAATTAAAAATCTATTTAGATTGAAAAAAAAAGGGCTGGACGCATTGACAGCGTTCCGTGCTTTTTAAACGGTTTTATTTAGCTCGACCCGTACGGAATTTCTTGATTTGAGTCAAAATTAAAAATTGAAATTTTCTCGTTGTCAAATTGATCTGTAATTTGGTACACACAATTAATTTAGATGACAATACAATGTAATAACATTATAAATCCAAGACGGCCGCCGATACAAAATGGCGGATTACATATTTTTCCTTGCCCCCTCAATATGGGTATCATATCAAATAAAAGGGCTACACTAGGAAAACACTATGATTATGACAAAATTTAATTTTTCTTTTGTAGTTTTCATTGCAAAAAAAAACCGTTTAACTTAAAAGATTTTTACCGTTTTTATTTCAATCTAAATAAATTTTAATTTATATAATGCCATCATTTAAATAAAACACTTTAACGGCTTAAAACGCGATATATTGCCATCGTGTTAAAACTATGTTAATTTTGTATTGTATTAGAATTACTATATATTGTTAATTTACTGTTGACTATTGAAAATATATACTCTCCTCCTGTTGCTCACCAACTTGTATCTATTACTGTTTTTTCTTAGTTAGACTTTATTCTCGCTAAGAATTGATTATATCTATTCTATCTATATCTCGTCTAAGAATTGATTACAACAAAGCTAAGTAGTAGGAGATGTTGCATTATAGTTACCACTATAACAACAATAAAAAAGCAAAACAATATATCCCGCTTCATTTGCTTTTCAATAAGGCGAAATAAAAAGTTAACGCACAATTTTAAAATTTATTGTAAAACATTTTAAACAATTTCAACAAATATTTACAATTTTTGTGCCTAAAGCTTGTCTTTAACTATATTTATCTTAAAACTTTAACTGATTCGATTAATTAGAAATTACAAAAGAGAGTTTAAAAGTAAACAATATACATAATATCATAGCTTTATATACTTTGCTTACATTCCGTAGCATAAAAATAGGGGTGGGTTATGGAGATTTTTTATCGTGAGTGTTTGATTAAAGCTTTTTTCCATTGTCAAATTGAAGAACTTAATTATAAACTTATTTTTCTTAAAAACGACCTCTATGTTGTATCCATCATAATATCACAATACTTACAAACTATGTAACGATAACATTAGGGAAACAGTTCTTGATAAGTGAATTTCGACGTTATCTTGTTTGAAATCTCCGTAAATATATCGGCCAGACTTTTCTCCATGACTGGGCTGATTTCAGAGAGGAAGACCTGTGAGTTTTCGTTGATGACCCTGTTGGTGGCCGGCCCCAGCACTGGGTCTCCGTCGAAGAGATTCGTCAGGTAGATGGAGGAGTCCCCGACGCGTAGCTTCACCTTCATGGGGTCGAACTTGAGGTATTCGTTGTCGCCTCTCTTCTCTTTATGGCCTCGCATGGTGACGTTACAAGCGTAGTCCTCTGTGAATAGACAAATGAAATTTAATTTCGACTATTTTCAGTTTTGAAAACTTTAATATTTTTTACTGGCTTAAACCGGCATCGTCAGTGTTCCGTGCTGTTGCTCAAACCAATTGACTCGGTAGTTCGATTTTTTCATTTTCACATTTATTAACAGATACATAGTAAATGTATAATTTTACTATTGTTTTGTGTCCCTTGCTTATATGTGCGCCTCTGGAGGAACCCTTGGGCAAGCAAGGAGTCTTGAAGTTCTGACTTCACTTGACTGTCACCTTTATATTAAACACAGAGGATTAATTTTAGGAATGTCGGAATTATTGTTATTGAGCCACGGATTTCAATTTTTCATTTCAGGATAGTCGTTAGCAATCCGTGTGAAATTCAATTTCTCCGATCACTCAATTTACGTTAAAAAAATCCAAACAGACTATATCATATCGTAGATAAAAATATAAAAAAAACAAGTAAGTAAGAATTATATGTACTAGCACATTAATGATAAATAGATATAAATATTAAAAGTAATCTAAAAATTGCTTTCATCTGTCTTTTAATTGCCACTGTGCACATACATTGGGCAAATTTGCACCACGCAGAACGTTTTTCGAGACCAGGTAAGATCGAACTCAACACGTCACAATAGAAAGTCAAAATAATGTGTTATTAATTATTACTAAAACTAAAAACAAAGATTACATTCTAACTCTTTTAGTAACTATTAAAAATATAACCACTTACAATAATTCTATGATTGTTAATTAATATATTTACAACCCAAAATTACGCCGATGCTCATTTTAACTGCTAATTTGTATTGTTTTTTTTGTCTTTAAATAATTACTATATCTGTCAGCTTCGTCCAGTACTATACTTCCTAATGAACACAACGGGCTTTTTGACGCTCTCGTTCGTCTAATTAGGTATAGCTATCCTTCTTCACCGGGTCCAACACGTTTCAAATCAATTTATAATTTCTCTGAGACACGTTGGACTTCATCTGGAAATCTGGATATTAATTGGATGGTAGAAATATCGGAATTCGGTCCGGGTCACAAACCACCGTCCACAGAAGAGCCGTGAAATTTAATGCGATTCTGAGGATTTTCGAACATTTAAAGCCAAAGATCACAAAGATCGACAGCGGATCTTGTTAAAATGATATATGGCTGGGGTATTGTACCTTCTAGTGAACCATATACCTACCTGTCTATCCTCCTCTATCATATAATATTTGCCTTTGCTTGCAATCCCTAAATTGTTTACCCCTTTTCTGATTTATCATTACTAGGTGATAAAAGCCTATGTAATATTAATGTTTAAAATAATATATTTCACTCACTAAAGGATCCTGTGATGTTCCCTCTTCCCTGCAGCCGCAACAATAACACTTGTATGTCCATTTTATATTTTCCGGCGAACTCCAATTTCGGTAGAAGAATTTTAAAATCGAAACGATTCTTGTTCAAGTCCGACCTGAAAAACAACATGGGAGGGTTTCAAGTACATTTGTAGGTATATTCATTTTTATTTAGATGGTTATAAAAACATGATATTCCAGTAATTAGGAGTAGAAGTAGCTTTCGTAGGTAGTTGGGTTAATCGTTCGTAATGCAAGCAAAAGTTGTTTGTCATGCTCTGAATAATGTCCAAGGTGACAAATCTTATAGGTATTGAATATTTGATATCTTTTCTATAATAAAGTACTAATACATATTTGAGTTTAGTTTTTGGTCTTAAATAATATTATAATTAGATATAATTTTATAATCTTCAATATTAAACAAAACGTTTTAAAAATGGCTTAATATGTTACTCTCTTTTAATCAGAACTACTCTCTTTAAATATATAGATCCTTTAAACTATTGTTTGAAATAGTGAAATTACGTATTATCCTTTATTTGGAAAATGGAATGGACACATTTTTGATTCCGTTATCTATTATATAAGTAGTTGGTCGAATTTCGTTCCTTGTCCGACCAAAACTGCATATATTTATTTTCCGTTACCCCAAGATTCAAATCCGCTAAACTAAACTAATATTTAAAGTAGTTATTCCATCTTTATGAAAACGATCGGTAATAGCCTACATAACTTACTTTAACTCAGTGATTTTGAAGTTGCTAGGGCCCCGAACTTTGACATCGTTGACAACCGCCGTCAGTTTGGCACCCTGGGGCCCTCTGGCGAGTGCAATTTGACCAAGACTTAGAGGCTCAATCCCAGGTACATCGAGCTCTGGAATGCCCTGAAAATTAAACATGTAAAATTAACTATTTAAATCATTGTTTTGTACACTCAAAAATCCGCGGACATGTTAAGTAAGCTATACGACCTAAAATAGATATTTCTATAAAGTTACTTTGAACGCATATAAACAATTATATTTAAAATTGAACTGCAACCCGACATTTCAACCGCTTTTTAGCAACCGATTTTTTCTTTTTTTTATACTCTTATTTTAAATCTTGTTTAAAGTTTAATTTTAACTTGTTTAAACTATAAATACTTCACGTAAGAGGCAAAAATATAATTACGTGAAATTCATGTTTTTAAGCAATCTGCCATTATCGTAAGGGAGTAAAATAAAATGAAATAAAATATACTTTCTCTTTAAAATTTTAATTTTTTTTAGATTCATCAAAAATTTTTTGTTTGTCTGTCTGTTCGTCGTAATTCTACAGAGTGTTCAAGAGAGCAACATAACTGAGAACACCTAAGAAACTCAGTGTTTAGCTTACTATCAATGATATAATAGTTTTTAATCTGTAGAGTGTTGGCCTTAAATTAATTTTAAAATAACATAGCACTTGCGAATCTATAGCTTTACTTCTGTGTCCACTTGACACGCTTCATCGTTATGAAACCAACCCGACACTGACATACTTTCCAATTTATGTACAAAAAGTATTTGTCCAAGATATTTTACTAAAAAATGTTTTGTATCCAAAAAAAAAACAAAATCGAACATACTTTTTACATATAGATAAAACCGATACACCAATAAACTTGTTTTTAAAATCTGTATGTACAGATATTTTTTAATAATATTTAGTGGCCTGGTAACGAGACCTTTAAGCCAATGTATGTACAGAACGTACCAACCAAAAACAAAATAGACACAGGCACACAAATCACAGACATATAACAAAGAATTAAATGTAATCTGTCTTTCATAAACAGGAATATCCTATTACGTCAATTGCCTAATACAAATTTCTATTCGATTGTGCTATTACTTAAGAGGACGTAACGAAACATTTGCACGAATAATCTTTTCTACCGCTCTTTGAAATTACAATTATGATTAAAATTTACTTCTAAGAATTCATACTTTAATAACTTTAAAAAACTTGATGACAGACGGATGTCGAACTCACGACAACCGGCATCAATTTTTTAAACTAACCTGTTCTATTAAATACTTGAGTTTAAACTAAAATTGAGGTGGCCAGTTTTTGATATTATGCATTTTGTTTCCAATGCACCTGGCGCTATCGCGACCTCATAATACATACGTAAATACTACGTGCTTATTATTTAATTGATAAATCAACAATGTACTGGAAGTAATGACGAACAACTTTGTCGTCCTATCTGTAAATAACCCAGTATATAAGGCAACTATTTTTTATTTGACTCAAAAACCACAATATGGAGCTGCATCAGATAGTCTCGTATATAGCTATTCTTACAATTACACAGGTAAGCGATCTAATTTTTTTTTATTACACTACATTTTAAGGTATTAGATTAATAATACAAATACTTTTTTAGTTTGATGCTGGTATTTGCGATAGGAAAAATACCGTGATTCAAGTGAAAATTCCGCAAAAGACTGACGTCACCGTTAAATATCCGCCTTCACTGCCCGGTCCAGTACAATATGTCCCGTTTCCATATCTTAACAACAAACGAGGGGGGCCATGTTACAATTGCCGAAATTCTAGATGTTTCAAGTGCAATTCAAACCAAGCCAGGCCACCGACGGTTCCTGCCGGATCGAGGACAAACATCATCATAGATGTTCAGGGCTCGAGGTCAAATCCAAGTCTTCAACCAAATAATATACCGGATAATAACAAAAAGGGTACTTTAGTCGTTATTCAAGGATCGTCCGCGGCTTCGAGCACTGCTAATGCATCTGGAAATGGAGCTGGTACTAATTCTGTTGCTGCGTCCTCATCATCGGCTTCAGACAATCAACTTATTGCCGATTTTAAAGAAGAAGACACCGCACCGGATGGCTCAACAAAGAAAGAAGAAGATATATTAGTGGCAGACAATGCGCAGGCAAAGACCAGCGCGGCAGCGGCATCGTCTACGAACAATCCTGGCCAATCGAAAGCAAATACCCAAACAAATGCTAATACTAATAATCCACCAAAAGATAATAAAGCTGCACCTAAGTCACCTTCACCTAAGACACCTGCTAAAAATCAAGCACCAAGTAACAACAATTCTGCAAAAGATAATTCGCCAGATAATAGTAGTTCACCCGACAATAACAACACACCAAATGACGACGAGAACACAGCGAATGACGACGACAATACAGCGAATGACGATGATAATACACCAAATGACGACGACAATACACCAAATGATGAAGACAACACACCGAACGACAGTGATTCACCAAACCCAAATGGGGATAATGGTTCAAGTAATAATCCAGACAGTAATAATGATTCACCAAATGCTGGAGCACCACCAAATACATCTGATGGGCCATCACCTACGGACGATTCCTCCGGTGATAATCCTTCATCACCAAAGAAAGGACAAGATGACGATTCAAACGACACTGCAAATGATCCATAGACATAAGGCAATTTCAAGGATTTTACGTGTATTGGAGCCCATATCAAACACCGTTCAAAATAAAGTTAACCTCGAATATTTATTTGGAATATTAAGGATATAATATTTTCAACAAAGCGAAATATATAATCACATGCCTTACAGTAATTTGAAAGTATTTTATTTTAATTTATATTCTTGTAAAGTACAGGTAAATAAAAAAAATATTTTACTAATTATTGTGTGACTTTGTAAAGTAATAAAGAAGTACCTTCTTGAGCTTTGGCCGTAATTCTTCGATAGAATTCATGATACATTTATCCACGTTTGGGTCATCTCGCTGACATATTTTGATGTACGGTGCTGAAAAAAATGTAAGAGAGTCGATGTATCAATTCTGACATTTTGAGGAAAAATACGAATAAACTGTTTAAAGGAGATAAAAATATACATTAAAAAGTATGGAAAGTCCACGCTTTTTAAGATAAGTAACTAAAAACAATATAATAAACCAAAAGGCCCATCTCAGTAAATAACATTATACTGGGATTTAATTAAATTGCTCATATAATTAACTAATTAGTTGAAAGTCAATATTAAAAGAAATTTTGTCGAAGTAAGAAGAAATCAGCCAATAAGAAGAAAATAAGTTACTGTAATATAGAATGACTCTCCACTTGGTCACTAGTACCCATAATATTCAGGGGTTTGTATATTGAGCACGAGACAGTTAGTTTATTGACGATAGCTTTGAAAATATCAGACATTTTACATGTACATCAAATTTATAAAAAAAATGTATACATATCTATCATATTTACACCTAGCTTCAAGTTAGCCTTAAAAATACTAATTTCTTCATTAAATATAAATTCACAGTAAGATCTCGGAGATTATGCTCTAAGCTAATATCCTTCTAAATAATTATATTGTAATTGAGATCCTAAATTCATTGATATATTGGAATATTCTTTCGTTTAGCTGTTTCAAATGTTACTGTGCACGAAACATAAAGACTTTTGCACTTTTACGTTATTCCACCCTGGTTCCAGCCTCCCCATCATCCCTTAAGACGGTCTGATTTCCCAATTGCCCACGTCACGCAATACTTACGTATTTCAGCAGCAGCAAAGTGCAGAACAAACAGGACCGAAGCGATGGTCAACATTTCGATATCTTGCACAACTAAGGTATATGCGTTTCGTAAACTTTGAACATTTACGTGGTGCCGCCGTGGGATCGACCGACCGGCTCGGTGCTTCGACCGCCACTGAACCACCTTCCACCTTCCTAAGGACGCTTGAACGTTCACCGCTTCATCGGCTTCCAAAATACTGAACATCCCCTTCTAATGCTCAACGAGTAAGTGAGAGGAAACGCGCGGTGGAAACTGATGGTGGCATCCGTTTCAGCACGAGACCGTTACTCAATTTTCCTTAAAGGTACTTTAGTAAACGTGGTACTGTTTTACGCCTGCATAGGTTTACTTTGGCCGGCATACATTGTTTGTGTATAGGTCTCTCTCCTCTTACAGCTGGCGTTACCACTTGGAAGATTCGTAGACAGCAAAGTCGCAAACTCGAGTATTCCCAAGAAGAGTGGTAAGTGTAGATTCGTCATTGTAAATATACAATGTTTTACATAACTCAAGTGTTACAAGCAATTAAGATTAATATGGTTCCTCTAGTCAGTTACTATCTCTAGCTAGTTAAAATAATTATAATCTTTCCCCTATGATAATATTTTACTAGTATGAAAAATTACAGGCTATTGTCTGGTTACGCCAGTAATAGACATTTAAATAAACAACTTTTATCGTTTTAAACGCGAATCATATTAATTAACTGATTCCAATGTATTTTAACTACGGCCCGACGTTTCGTTAGTTTACTTAAACTGAGGCTGCTAGAGGCAAAGTGGCCTAATAACAAAAAACATGATTACCAATAAGGAGACAATTTTAATTCCGCAATTAAGTAGGCGAAAATGAATTTGTGCTATTATTTGTGTAAGAATTATGTAAACAATTTTCGGTCACTGTGCTCTTGTAGATTAACATTTTTAGACTGTAAAAATATAAATGAGTCAAGTTATAAATTTGCAGTTAGGCTACTCTGCCTCTAGCGGCCTCAACTGGACTCAACAAATAATATTGAATTTAATCTAAAATACATTAATTGTGAACTTAACTAAATGACTATTAGAGATATAGAGAGAATAGTGGGACTTCACCATATCCTTGAATATAAGAAAAATGAGAATCCGTATGCGAGCTGAGTGGAAAATTTGGAATGTCCGTAAAACGAAGGACCTACGCTAGACTCGATCGCGTTGAATTCCCTTTCACCTAAACTGCAGGGCACATGCATGCCACTAATTCCGTTTCCTGCGAGTTAGCCAATGTTTGGTCAAGGCGAGCTACCGAGAGCACTCGCCTACTACACCGAGTACGAAGATGTACGATTTCGCAAACGCCAAACAAGCCGAGACAAACAAACGTGCAAAACAACATGTATACTAAAATTAAATAGCCGAAGAGTTTGTTTGTCGCGCTTATCTCTGGAACTAATATTTTGAATTAAAAGATTATTTTTGTGTTGGTTAGAGCATTTATCGCGGAAGGCTATAGATTATAACACATCGACGTGACTAATAGAAACGAAGAAACAAAGGTAAATGTGGAATAAGCGGGGAAAATTCATCTTTGGAGACTTCCGTTGCGTGTTGCTCTTTAAATTGTCTGTGACATATATGTCTATCTTTTTTAATATCTTACAAGAACGACAGGACATGGACGACAACGTGGGTAATAGCTATCATTTAGAAAGATGAGGAGGTTTGCAAAAAAAAATTTTTTTGCCCAAAATTCTAAACTATTCGACGCGGACGAAGTCGCTAGATATTGTCAACAATGAAATTCGTAATCTTAGTTAACTTCATAATTCTCATTGAATTCCAAATATTGATTAGACGATGAACTCTTGAAACGATGCCTACTGGCTTCAACATATTTCTAATCCATTTATAATTCCTTGAAACACGTTGCATTTCGACAGGAAAATGTGGATATTAAAAGTAGGAATATCGTAATTCCGTTCAGGTCACGAACCACCGCCCACAGATGGAAAAGCCATGAATTTCCTGTGGTGGTAATAGGTCGATAACGCATTTTATTTTATTATTCTGTGGCTGGAGTATTTCAAAATTCTCTTATAAAGTGAAATGCATGTTATTAGGTTCTCCTGCCATTAAATATATACTCATACAAGTAATATCCATAACTAAATATATTTGTTTCAAATTATTCGACTATCCAAAACCAAAATAAGTCGACAGCGCATTTTTTTAGATTCGATATGGTTTGTCCTGTAAAAAAATATATATTCACATGAAATAACATTTAATTTCTTGTCTACTTCGTTCGCTTGACTACGGCCCCAGAACGTCATATATGTAGGTGTATTATTACCTAAATATATGATGGAAACGTTTCTTAACCGACAGCTATTATCCCGCCATCCGCCGTAGCAGCGGAAGAATCAGTAGGATGCATCGTAAGAAATCCGCTGCTCGCTGTAATTAGAAAACACAGCCAAGGCTGCTGCTAACTACTACAGTGTACTTTGGGTTCAATAAACTGTCCTGCCTTAACTTACTTTAATAATAACAGGTAGTTAAATATTTAAAATAACAATCTCAATTTTACCTATACACGTAACGCTTTTAATGGTTTAAAACGCGAATCATATTTTACAACCTTATTTTTGCGACCTGGCCTACATGACTTTCGGTTGCTAGAGCCAAAACTTTAAATTATCTAAGATTCATTATATGTACAAAACCCAAAGAACGAGAGACCAATAAGTGAGTGAACACCGTGACCCAGTTTCTGCAAGTATCAAACAGATGGCGCTAGCGTAGCAGATGTAAATATGTGTTTCAATATCAATAATTATTATATGACACGTCGAGTCGTAATTCACTTATTTAAGACGTTTCGTTAGCCTCACATTTCTTTTACCTTCTGGGATTGTTGGCGGATAAAACAAATAAAACACCTTTTTGACGCAATTTTATTGAATTGTATTTTCGTCCGTTGATTTACCGAAGGAACTGTCATTAGAACTCTTCTGTCATTTAACACACATTGCACCGACTTTTACAATTTACAATACTATATACAACTAATTGAAGTAAAGCGCTTGAAACGGTTTAAAACGTGAAATATTTAAGTGAACACAGCCTAAATATGGTAGTTAATAAATTGAAAATGAATTAACTAATTTCGCGTTTTAAACCGTTAAAAGTGACTTATTACATGTGTACGCCTAAACTACAGACAATACTTAATTTAGACTATTATTGATCTCACCATAATCGAGAACAATATGAAAAAAAACAAACGCTGATATTAAATTGGATTATTCTTTAGGAAATAGGTCATCTAAAGGCATAGAATAAACTATTTTATTGGCTATGTCCAGTAGGACGTTCGCTGCTGTCTTCTCGATGTAGGGTTTCATGGCCTGCAGAAACTCGTCTCGATTCTGATTAATTGCTTCATTTGTAGCTTCCTCTGTAACGATAGTATTTAATTAACCAATAACTACGCTATTAAGTTGTCGAAAATTCTAGAAGCCCTAGGATTTTTATGACAAGCTTTAAGGTTTATTTGATGTTAGTTGATGTACACCAGACATATAACATCTAAAACTAACGCGCTGTCGACCTGTATTTTAGCCTTGGTTATTCGAAATTACGATTTAAACCGCATGCGATTAAACTACGCAGTTTTTTAAAAATCGAAAATAAATTGAAAAAAATGTTCGACTCGGGCAGGACTTGAACCGGCATCGTCAGCGTTCCGTGCTGTTGCTCTACCAATTGAGGTACCGAGTCCTCATCGTCGAATTTTTTCAACTTATCGATACATTGTAATCTCGCGCATTGTAATTTCAACCTTAACACATATTAAGGTTCAACGTCTTACGCTTTGCTTTGCTTAAGAAATCATTGAAGATGAAATTACAAAGTTATAACGTTTGAAACATTTATTATTTTTTACATGTTATTGCACATGTAGGCACTATATAATTTAAAAATCGAAAATAAATTGAAAAAAAACATCAATTTGTTTTCGATTTTTTAAAAAATAATAAAGTTTTCATATTATAACAATAATAAATATTATGCGCAATGTACCTTCGACTAATAAATATATTAATTACTTACCAAGCGTTTTGTCACCATTGAAAAGGCCATTAAGCCTAATGCGGTAGTCTTTTAAGTTAATTTCGAGGGCCATGCTTTTAAATTTTATGTACTGCGTTGACTCCCTTTCGTATATCTCACTCTTAATTTCAACGTTAGCGTCGCATTTTACTGCAATGAGACATCAAAACATATCAAATTTTTTACTTTATAGGAAGTTGTATTAATAGGACATTGAACTTTATTTATTAAGCATTAAGATTGTAATTATGTTGCACGAGGTGCATCAAAGAATAAGCTCGAATCAAATCAAATCACAGTCATTTATTTATGTAGGCAGAAATATGAATGTCTATGATATTAAACATAAATAATAAAACACTAAATTTACATTTTCTATCAATAAATAAATAAAAAAATAAACATTCCCAAATGAACGAGGAGAACTGACGAGAAACTCGTCGTCATTCCCTTTATCGTTTACTTTTTATTTCATTTCTATATTTACAAATTATAACTCAATTAGATAAAGCAACAGTTTTGAAGTATTTTTTTCAATCTAGATTAATATTCAATTTCTTAAACATTTGAACACATACCGGCATCAGCGAAGAACTGTCCTTGACCACGCAGGGGTATTATAAGTATTTGAGTATCTAGCTTGTAAAGACCTTCCAGATGCAGCTTCGGGAAACGAATCTTAGCTTGGATCGTGTAGGTGTCTAAGTTCATGCTGAAAAAGAACAAATTTTTTTTTTTTTTTTTTTTGAGAGATGTGTTTTTTTTTTTTTTTTTTTTTTTTTTTTTTTTTTGGGGGGGGTATAAATTTTTTTGTGGTGGGGGGGGGGGGGGGGGGGGGGGTGTTTTATAAACCCAAAAAAAAAAATTTAAATAAAAAAAAAAAAAAAAACCCCTTCTTTTTTTTTTTTTTTGTGGGGTGGTTTGGAAAATTTTTATTGTTTTGGGGGGGAAAAACCCGGGGGGTGGGGGGGGTAAAAAAAGGGGGGGGGGGGGGGTTTTTAAGGGGGTTCCCCCCCCCTGTAAAATTTTTTTAAATCTATAATCGATTATTAGCCTTTTTTTTTATTAGATGGTCCATGCAAGATCTAAATAAAGAAAATAAATTCTTTAGCTACAAAAATAGTTCTATCTAAACCTAAGAATAGCCTCTCGATCGCTGTCAACAGAGAGAGGCGCGCTCTGTGAAGTTCGCTAAGTAATTAATTCTAAAAAGTGGTATAAAGTGTACGTATAGCGTTACTCTTAATGTCAAAAGTTTTATGAATTAATATTTCAACTTACTGTGATTAAAAGTGCCAGTATTATTGCCTAAAATCGTAATAATAAGGAATAATTTAGCAAGTGTTCATTGTAAACAGTGCAAATTGCGGGTGGATTACAAACGATAGCTCTTGAGTGAAATCCAACGTGCTAAAGGATTTTCGCCTTTGTGATTACGATAGCAAAGTTCACCTTCGCATGGTCAAGCCTTATCAAACGAACTGTTGTGAACATTAACAGTACCTGCATTTTTTCTTCCTATATTATACGACATCATATGACAATTTGATCATTAACTTTTACTTTGTAACCCGAAAAAAAGCATCTTAAAAATGTCGATCTGGGGTTGTTGTGCGCTTGGAGACCAATGCAAGGATTCCTTTATCATTTGTCAAAAATGTAAAAAAATTTATCATTTTGCGTGTATGTCTTTAGATGAAAGCTCATTTACTTTGGAAACACGGGAGTTGTGGTTCTGTCCGGAGTGTGTGATACCTAAAGTTTCTATAAGTGACAGCACCCCTATTCGAAATGTATCTGTATCCAGAGGTAATAAGCGCCCAGCCCTAAACTCTCCTCCCAGCACTGGTTCAATTACACGCGATGACATTCGGGAGATAGTGGAGAACGTATTTAAGACTAATTTAACTGAAATAATAAGTAAATTTAGCGAAACTATATCATCAACCCTGACTCAAGAAATAAAGCCTTTGCGGGAAGAAATATTAATTTTGAAAGAATCCATTGGGCTGATTAATACCGACTGTAACTCGTTGAAACTTGAAAATGAAGATATAAAGTTAAAAGTGCAAAATCTGGAAAGTATTAATGAAAAATTATCTAAAAGCTTAAGTGATATGCACGTGCGTCTAAATCAAGCTGAATTACAGTTACGCCTAAACAATTTAGAACTCCAATGTGTTCCTGAACAGAAAAATGAGAATTTACTTGATATTTTTACTAACTTATCGAAAACTATTGGATGCAAGATAGACGTGAATGAGATAACACATTGCACCAGAGTTGCAAAGATTAATAAAACGAGTACACGGCCGCGCTCAATAATTTATCAGCTAACATCTAGGAAGTCACGTGATTCGATACTTGCTGGTGCATTAAACTTTAACAAGAAGAACCCTCATAACAAACTGAATAGCTCCGATCTAGGTGTCACCGGAAGTAAAACGCCTGTTTTTATAAGTGAACATTTATCCCCTACTGTAAAATCATTACATGCAGCCGTTAGGCTGAGAGCTAAAGAAAAGAATTTTAAATTTGTATGGATTAGGAATGGAAAAATTTTTGTACGTAAAAATGAGGAAACCGACTTTTTAGTAATTAGAAATTTTGATATGCTAGAGAATATAGAGTGATTGGTTTTTTTTTTTGTATATTATATCATAGCTTTCGTCTTTTTTCTTAGTGTAATATTTGTAAGGTTATGTTTAATTTATATTACCAAAACTGCAGAGGTTTGAGAACAAAGACTCATACTTTTAAAACACAGGCTTCTTGTAACGACTTCGATATAATTATCCTCACAGAGACATGGTTGAATATCTCTGTTTTTAGTAGCGAGTTATTTGACCCCAGGTATATTGTTTATAGAAAAGATAGAGTATTTAATAGTAATTCCAAGAAGGACGGAGGTGGGGTTTTAGTCGCTGTATCTAGGACTATTAAATCTGAACGCTTGTTTTCTTATGAATCCGACTTGGAGGAAATTTGGCTATCAATTAAAGTTCCTTTTGGTTCTTCAAACGCCCAGCAGGATATAGTTGTTTGTGTTGCTTATTTACCTCCGCCTGTAACTCCTTTTTTGTTAAACAAGTTCTTAGATAATTGCAACTTAAATTTTGAAAAATCCAGTTGTAATAACTTTTTAATTGTAGGCGACTTTAACTTAAGTGCTATCGATTGGAGTTTGTTTGCTGATCAAAAAAATGATTTTAGGGCACCTGGTTTCTGCCAATTCTTCGTTGACTTCATGTTAATTAATGATTTTAAACAATACAATATGGTACAAAACGCCTCCAATAAAATCCTGGACCTAGTTCTTACTAACTTTAACTCTTGTAGTGTCAGTAACTCGACAGACCCTCTCACTAACATCGACACCCTGCACCCCGCATTAGATATATCCATTAATATTTCTCATAAGCCTATGCTACCATACAATAAGGACACCTCATTTTTTAATTATCATAGGGGCAATTATGAGAGCATTCGACATGAGCTGTCAATATGCGATTGGGCAAATATTCTGAATTCTGCAGACATCAACGACATGGTAAATACTTTCTATTCAATAATAAGAAGTACTATTGAAAAATTTGTCCCTAAAAAAAATAATAAGAAGAAAAATTATCCGAACTGGTTTGACAAAACTTTAATTAAACTTTTAAAAGAAAAATATAAACTAAGAAATAGATACAAAAAATACAAGAATCCCCTTGATGAATTTGAACTAAAATTGATTAGTGCTCGGTGTGAACGTTTGGCTAAAGATCGATATAGACTATATATACGTAACCTAGAAACTGAACTTACAAAAAACCCTAAATTATTCTGGTCATATGTTAAATCAAAAAGAGGTGGCAACAGCGTCTATCCTGCAACCATGTCAGATGGTACAAATATAGCGTCAGAAGGTTCCGAGGTCTGCGAGTTGTTCTCGTCTTATTTTTCATCAGTATACGTTGATAACCCTACTACAGTTGGCTCTGCGTCGGACACGACTTTTATTACAAACTCAACGCACTACTCAAATGACAGTTTAGGTTCACTCAGTGTTAGTTATAACACTCTTCTACAAAAACTAAAAATTTTGGACTGTAATAAAGGAGCCGGTCCTGACGGAATAGCTCCAATTTTTGTTTCTAATTGTGCTGAAGAATTAACAACTCCTCTTCTTATAATTTTCAACACATCATTACGTATCGGGGTATTTCCTTCGGTATGGAAGTCAGCTAAAGTTGTTCCTATTTTCAAATCCGGCGAGGAATCTGTTGTTACTAATTACAGACCAATATCTATTTTATCCTGTTTTGCTAAAATTTTTGAATCCATAATCTATCCTCATCTGTATAGTCACTTTTTACCTTTCTTAAGTTTATATCAACATGGTTTTATCTCTCGTAGATCTACTATGACAAACCTAACCGACTTTAGCGAAACTTTAGGTACTGCACTTGACTCGAATAAACAAGTGGATGTCATCTATACTGACTTCAGTAAGGCTTTCGACCTTGTTTCGCACGATATTTTATTACAAAAGTTATATGCGTACGGTGTCTGTGGAAAAATTCTGGTATGGATAGAATCTTACCTGAAGGACCGAACTTTTTATGTTGTAGTTAATGGTTTTCGCTCAGCTAATAACAATGTTACTTCTGGAGTCCCTCAAGGCTCTCATCTTGGCCCACTCCTTTTCAACATATTCGTAAATGATATACCTTTATCACTCACCTCCAATGTATACATGTATGCGGACGACTTAAAATTTTCCAAAATTATCAACTCTTTCGATGACTGTTTGCTTCTTCAACAAGATATAAATACATTACTTGCTTGGGCATCAAATAATGCTTTAAGTTTAAATAGCAGCAAATGCTATTTTATTAGATTTTCACGAAAAGGAAACGTTGTCAAACATAATTATAAAATAGGGCCTGAACTATTAACGGAACGGTCAGAGATCAAAGATCTAGGAGTTGTATTCGACAAAAAGTTAACATTTATTCCACATTTAAATAATTTAATTTCACGCGCATCAAAAATGTTAGGCTTTTTAATTAGAAATATAAAACCTTTTCGGAACACCAGAGCAAAAATAACTCTGTATAATGGGTTAGTGCGCAGTTTGTTGGAATACTGCTCGGTCGTTTGGAGGCCCCACTATGCTACTCACACCCTACGGTTAGAAAGGATACAGAAAAGATTTCTCCTTCACTTACTATATTCTAGTGGTTTATCGCGAAAAAAAAATACCATCTTACACTGGTCAATTATGCCTCTTCAATATTATTTCTCTAGAACATAGATATTTAATATCAGATTTACTATTTTTAAGTAAACTCATAAATAATAAAGTAGAATGTCCACAATTACTCCAGAAGCTTGACTTTCATATACCCTATAGACTCCCCCGTAAACCAATCCTACCATTATCTGTACCTTTTCGAAGAACTGTAGGTGGCTCAAACTCCCCAGTTGCTAGACTCAGTCATACTCTAAACAGATTCAGTGGCCTAGTCGATGTTTACCATGACTCACCCAACAAACTCCGTCGATTACTTATTAATAAATTTTATTTCAATGTATAGGCACTTATAAAAAAAAAAAAATACTTTGTTTTGTACTTTAATTTTTTTTTTATTCATATTTTAATGTATACGTTAATTCCCACTAAAATTTTACAATGTGTGTGCTTCTCTCTTATAATATTTGTTTTTACTTGCTGTATTCACCTATAATTGTTCTTCACAACCTATTGTGTCCCCTTAAACATGTATCTTAGGATAAGTATTTAGTTGTAAGAACGTTGGTGAATCTAATAAAAAAAAAAAAAAAAAAAAAAAAAAAAAAAAAAAAAAAAAAAAAAAAAATATTTTTTTTTTTTTTTTGGTGGGGGCCCCCCCCCCCCCCCCCCCCCCCCCCCCCCCCCCCCGCGCCCCCCCCCCCCCCCCCCCCCCCCTTTTTTTTTTGTGGTTTTTGTTTTTTTTTTTTTTTTTTTGTGTGGGGTAGAAATTTTATTTTTTTTTTTGTTTTTTTTGTTGTGTTTTTTTTTTTTTTTTGTGGGGCGCGCGGGGGGGGGGGGGGGGGGGGGGGGGGGTGGGTTTTTTCCTCCCCCCCCTTTTTTTTTTTTTTTGGGGGGGGGGGGGGGGGGGGGGGCCCCCCCCCCCCCCCCCCCCCCCCCCCCCCCCCCCCCCCCCCCCCTCTTTTTTTTTTTTTTTTTTTTTTTTTTTTTTTTGGGTGTTGTTTTTAAAAAAAAACACCCCCCCCCCCCCCCCCCGCCCCCCCCCCCCCCCCCCCCCCCCGGGAGAGAAAAAAAAAAAAAACCCCCCCACCCCCCCCCCCCCCCCCCCAACGGGGGGGGGGGGGGTTAAAAAACAAAAAACCCCCCCCCCCCCCCCCCCCCCCCCCCCCCCCCCCCCCCCCCCCCCCCCCCCCCCGGGGGGGGCCCCCCCCCCCCCCCCCCCCCCCCAAAAAAAAAACCCCCCCCCCCCCAAAAAAAAAAAAACCCCCCCCCCCCAAAGGGGGGGGGGGGGGGGGGGGGGGGGGGGGGCCCGCCCCCCCCCCCCCGGGGGGGGGGGCCCCCCCCCCCCCACCCCCCCCCCCCCCCCCTTTTTTGTTGTGTTTCCCCCCCCCCCCCCCCTGGGGGGGGACCGGGGGATTTTTTGGGGGGGGGGAACCCCCCAAAAAAAAAAAAACCCCCCCCCCCCCCCCCCCCCCCCTTGGGGAAAAATTGTGTGTGTTGGGGGTTTAACCCCCCCCCCAAAAAAAGGGGGGGGGAGAAGGGGAAAAAAATTTTTTTTTTTTTTTTAAAAACCAATTTTTTTTTGTAAAAATTTCTTCCTTTGGTGGGCGCGGGGGGAACACATTTAAATAAAACACTTTAACGGTTTAAAACGCGATATATTAGTTAAACTTATTTGGAAATGATTTTTAACTTTGGCCCGACGTTTCGGATGCTTTGCAGCAGCCGTGGTCACGGGAAGTCTCAACGTGACCACGGCTGCTGAATTTAAATTATTTTAGATTGTTCTAACCAATGAGGAGACGATACATCAATGGGTTAGACTAGTAGCACGGAAAGTTTAGATTCAATTCAAGTCCCGTTTTTTTTTATTCAGTACCATCGTGTGAACATGTGAAAAATAATAAATTTTACAAATATTTTAGCTTGCAAAAACATTATCACAGGCGGAATCCCAACTTACGGTCACAGCGCTTCATGCTTTGTACCAGTAGAGCTAACGTCTTTCATAATACATACATAATTATATTCCGTCTTTTTATAAGTGAATGTGTCGTGTAATGTAAAGTGTTATTTTTTTTAAACTTTATTACCTTATCCGAAAGAGGGCGTAGTATTTAAACTCACAAATTTGCGTAAACAAAACAAGGCCTGATTATATCTGTGCTTTACGCATGTAGGATGTAGGTACACTTGCTTTGCAGCAGCCGTGGCCACAAGGGCCTGAAATATTCCATTCAATAAAAAAAACCGATGTTCTAGGAAGCTACTCTTAAATAACATGGAAGTCACGTTTTGACCGCGCTTGCCATGTGCTTCACGTAACGTAAAATTATACAAACCGACAGTTGAATACTTATGGCTCGATAATATTGCGCTTACATCTAAACCTTGTAACTAGGAAACAATGCACCACAGAAGTTTAGTATTATGGCCCTAGGTCAAGTAAGTTTTATGACAGACAAAGAGATTAATGATTAACACTTCACTTATGTCTCAAGTGTAAATATCGTCCGTCCACTCGCTGAATTGTCTATGTACTCCAAATTAAGGCAAAAACATATAGGAACTGATAATATAGCAGAATATGTTATCAAAGAAATAAAGGTAGAACAAGTAAGATTTTGCAAAGAAACCGTATTAGGTTTGAAGGGGACATAATGAGAGTTACATAACTCAATGTCCTCCGTAAGGGGAAAGGGGTGAAATGATTAGCAGCTAATATGGGGAGAATAAGGGGTATTCTATTCGTGTCCCCGGTAAATAAAAATAGTTAAGTTTCGAAACTTGGACGCTATTTCCCTAGCATTTTCACATAAATAATAGTATTGTAATGTTTATTTACATTGCTGTATTAAAAGGAATAAATTTTACCAAATTCAAAGATTAAATAACATAATTATGGTACCCAATAAATACATTTAATACTAAATCAAATACCTAATCTTATATGAGGTTACTAGAGGCAGAGTGGCCTTATTAATAAAAAACACGATTTCCAATCAGGAGGAAAATAAAAAATTAAATTCCGCAATCAAACTAGACGAAAATTAATTTGTACTTCTATTTCTGTAAGTATCTCAGATTAACATTTTTAGACTGTGAAAGTACTAACAACTCAAGTCATAAAAATTTCAGTTATGCTACTCTGCCCGTAGCGGCCTCATAAACCTATTGATAATAAAACAACGTCTTAATTCAGGCATCAAAGGCGTATGTGAAAAAAAAACTTACGTATCTCGGTTAACAGGACATCTCGTATGAAAAAACATAGAACAATATATACAGTGACACGTGACATGTTGTCCGACTGTTCGCTGCGACTATTATCTCTAATGCTGATTAATACAATATATACCTGACGTGAAGAATCGTGGTATCAAGGTGACAATCGCGAAAATCAGCGGTTTCTATAAAAAAATGGGCCAAATGACTGTGCTTTTTAATTGTTTACCGGTGTGAATAGTTCTTCGGGAAATACCGTGAAAAGTCCCTAACAAATAGTCGATTTGTGTGAGTACTAATTTTGTATCTACTCACACAAATCGATTACGTTATTGTTTTTGAAACAGTTAAACTCGGAGAACCAATATTTGTTTCGGTCGGGCAGGACACAGTCCGATCAACTTGCCTGTAAATAAAATTGATCCACGAAACGGACACAGAAATGTGTTCGCCCCATGCTCCATTGAGGGAAATGGGATTTCACGTAACTTTTCTAAAGTACACGACAAATTTAATATTTAAACTAAGAAGTAAGGCTACGAAGTTATTTTAATTTCAAGGAATTTAAAATAATTTGATCGTTGTCAAAATCCTTGAATGATAAATAAGTAATATCTCCATGTATTATAAGATTTGAATATGAGCTTTTTATTCTCTTAAGCGAGTAAGGTTTTGTCTTTTAGGTCAAGATATTAGTTATAAACCATTGAATGGCAACCTTCACTCCTCCGTATGTCAGATGAGGCTAAGAGTGTCTGATTCAAATGCGACTGATATATTGATGTCAGTAATAGAAGTCCTCTTTATTTATTGTTATTTAACTTATTATTAATTAATCCCTAACTAAATTTAAAGTTAAATCAAGTTGATAAAGGAAATTTGCTCCGATCACATTTAACGTAAAAAAAATGATCACATGATGATTTGAACTCAACGTGGATGTGTAGTATAGGCGAATATTACACACAACATACAATTCAAATACCTTTTAACGAAAAAAAACGCGATTGATTTCATTCCATAAATGTATTAATAAACTTCCTTCTTTAACATCTCCTTCCCTATTAAAGCCATCAGAAAAGAAGAATCAATCTCTCGGCATTTTTAATGTCTCAGTAACAAATTTTATCTTTCCGGCTGTGAATTGCCTTTCTTTTTCACGATCCTCTCTAGGACCACTTACCTATAGTCTTTTTAATTTTTTTGTTTTCCCTTCACTTGAGACTGCCTGGAAGCGATCGCTGTTTAGCGATAAGGCCGCCTTTTAGTTATAAGCAAGTACATAAGTCTTTATTCTTGTAAACCACCCGTGGTGTTTGTAATTAATAAAGTTTAATATAAAAAAATATATATGAAGCCGAAGTGTTTGTTTAAATGCGCTAATCTCAGAATATACCCATAATTGTACGCGGCCGAAGTCGCTGACATAGCTAGTTAAACAATACGTATTGCAAATCCGTATACCTATTATAATGTATAATTTGTTACTGAGTTGACAGTAAATTTTCAACAAAAAGATATCAAATCCCTCGATGTATTTAACGCATTTAATTCTATCGATTTGTTCAATCTTGAACTATTTGTCAAGTTATTACGAGTATATATGAGTAGCAATTTGTTACTATTATAAAGATTGATTACTGTAAGCGAACACTTATTAAAGCTAAACACTATTATTGAAGCCTTCGCCTTGCCCGCTTAAAGCCTACATACCTAAATCTATATTAATGTATAAAGCTGAAGAGTTTGTTTGAACGCACTAATCTCAGGAACGTGTTAGGTTAGTTAGAGTTAGAGCATTTATCGAGGAAGGCTATAGGCTATAGAACATAGTCCTGTGACTAATAGGAGCGAAGATACAGCAAGAAGTGTGCCAAATATTGAGAAATTTATTCATCATAATGGGTTTCCGAGGCGTACGCCTGGACCTTATTGAGGAATAAAAATATTGATGCCAGTTGATTGACAGTTAAAATATGAAATTATCATATTAAGTGACGTAGAAATTCAATGTAATTTTTTAACCAATTTAATTATTTTATGGTGAAATCGGGCTTTAAACTCGCTAACAATGGTACAAACAAAATATAAAATCTCTTTCTTTTCCATGAACTAAGTTACCCACCGTGACTCATCGTAAAGAGTTGAAAATATTGTTATAGATTTTATTTTATTGTATTGTCTATTTCAACATTAGAAGAGGTACTACTCATCTAGATAGAACAATGTTCTACGTCACGTTATCGATAAAAAGCTGACCTCTGCTCTGCCAAATTGGAAATATGTACTTAATTATACGGCTACAATTAAGTATGTCAAGTCATCTAATAATGTGGTTTAAATTAACTATTTCTATATTTATATTTTATTTTAATCTCGGTTTGTGTAAAGGTACTTCGCATCTAAAATGAATACAAAGTGTGTACATGTCAAATTAAACAACGCATCTTGTTACAGATGGCTCTGTATCACAAGCTACAAAGAGTACTGTGCCTCTGGAAGAAGAACGAAAGATCAGCGAGTACATCGTTCAAATTCTCGACCATTTCAAAGAGCCAGACCCCGTTGGACTTCCCGGTGCAAAGATACCCGATCCGTACCACGTCCCAGACCTGAAGAAATATTTGGCCCTCGGAGGATCGATAGCGTTTAAAAACACCGCTATCTATGGAATCAGCAAATTCCGGATTTTATATGTTAGTGTTGAAGCCAGTAAAATGAAGGTAAATATTTTTTGTACTTCGTAAACATTGTCAAGTTAAATTGTTTAAACATTCGTTATCCTGAGTCCATCTTTGTTATAGGCTACAGCAGCTATACAAGTTGACAAGATACACGCTAGAGGAAATTATGTTCTAAAGACCTGGTTAAAAACTTATCCCGGTAAATACACATCTGATGTGAAAGGGATAAAAGCTGTAGCTACAGCCACCCTTGGAGTAGATACGAATGGGAAAATACGAGCGCAAAACATTTCCATGGACATCGGTTTTACCAACATAGAAGTTCAATTCGAAAATTCTGGAATACTAGCCTTTGTTCTCCAAGGACTATTCAATTCTCTCGGCACGTTCTTATTTGACAGCATCAAGCCATACATCCTTGAAGATGCATATAAGAAAGTGACTGAAGAAATAAACAATAATCTTGACGGTGTCACAGGAGACTTTCAGTTTGCTAATTCGATATCACCGATTGATATGGTCATGATCAACGCAAGGAACAAGATCATTGCTGTCGGAAAGGATCCCATGAAAGTGAAAAACTATAATACCACAGTGAGCATATTTAACATAGCCTTAACAGAAACTTGTCTTACTGGAATATCTACATTTTATCGCTTTGGAAACATTACATTGATGATGGAAAATAACACATTAATAGTAGATTTTTATCTCAGTACTCAAGAGATTCAAGGCTCTACAAATTGGGAAATATCAACATTTAAGAACTTATTGTCTCAGTTTGGAACTGTCACATTCACTGTAGATTATATACGAGTGCGAACAATTTTGGGCCAACCATTAGATACTAGAAAGAGTCCTCAATTTAGGAAATTAGACATTGAGCTCGGAAACATACAAATAAGATTAAATGGAGCAGGAACAATAGATTATATTGTAGAGTTCGCAGTAAACATATTGCCAAATCTTTTAAGGAATCAAATTGTTAAGTCCATCGAAGACCCAATTCGAGGCAAAGTCCAAGAGGAGCTTAATGAAATCATTATAGAGGATATCATCAAGGATTTTTTGCCACTTTTAGATCAGTTACAATTGAAAGGATTGAAATTAAGCAAACTCTTTCCAGAAAAGGATGAAGTGAGATACGATGATGATGACTTTTTCAATTTTTAACATTTTCGGTACGAGTATTGACCCACTACTTAGCTCTAACGGAAAAAGTTGTATATTATCGTATTAATACCTAAAATTACTAAAATTTAGAATAAGTGTACCGACCCAGTTTTGCTCAAATTTATTGAACAGGCGTTTAACAAATTTGTACGTTATATTGTAATCTTAAATAGATAATCTTAGATAGATATGTTATTTTAAAATAATATAGAGATCTTAGTTTTAATTAGTTTAAAATCTTTCCTATAATTAGTATTTTAATATAGAAAAATATACTGTGGGTCAACCCCGGTTATGGTGCAATAAAGGAAAAAGCTAAAGATATTAGTTTAACAATAATGTATTATGCGAATCCTATTTATGACTTCTCTTTATTTCTCTATCTTTTCGTTATAAGAAAACAAAAGCTTTTCAAGGGCGGTAAAGAATTTCAACACAGTTTGAGTCTTTAGTTTTCAAAGGGTGTGAAGTTTATAAGAGTAAAAGGAAGTTACCTACGTGAATAAATTATTTTTGACCTTTAAGAAAACGTAGTTACAAACGTTTGAGTATTCTCCTAGAATCCACAAAAACCGAACTAATACCTAAAACAATAACAATGGCGATGGCAGGGAAAATTATTCTATAATATTCAGTTTAATTCGCAAGTTCCTTCTTCCTGAATGCCACGAAAGAGTTTAGATATATCAAGTAAAGAACAGCCATAAAGAAGTGCTCTTAACTAATTGAAATTGTATTTGTAGCGTGCAAACAAATAAAGTAGTAAGCAATTAGATAACGAGCGTCGGCCGACAGTAAGCCGATACTCAGAATTGATTTGATGAACACAACGAAATATAAACAAGCTCAGATAAACTGTGACCCCGTATTGTCGGGATGTTCATTCATTGATCATACAATTTCATGTGGAAATGTGGTGGTTATTTGTGATTTCGTGTGCTTTATTCACGTTTGGAAGCGGTGAAGGTGCGTTTTCTGTGACTTCATTAATCGAGAGTTTATAATGTGATAGTTCTTCTGTGTCTTATAATTTCACTTTGACATGTACCAAACCTTGTGTATCGACAACTGATATTGAGGTTATAAATATATTAATACTCTTGCGTAAAATGAAAGGACTGGATAGAGAAACAATAATATTTTCTATAGTATAAGGATGTCGTTTGTTTACTTTTATTTTGTTAAGATAAATTCTTCCCAGATGTCTCCCACATTGAAACGACGACGAATGCGATGCTTGCGGAAGGTGAGGAGAAAATGAGTAACTACATCCTCCAAGTGTTGGATCACTTTAAGAAACCAAACCCAGTCGGTATACCGGGGGCAAAAATACCTGAACCCTTTTATGTTCCGGATATGAAGCAGTCCATATCAATTGGCACCATGTACTTCAGAAACACCGCCGTTTATGGAATTAGTAAATTTCGCATTTTGCACGTCGAAGCTGAAATAGGAGCTATGGAGGTTCGTTTAATTATAATAATCTCTTTTAATTAGTTAATCTAGTTTAATTACAGGACGAATAGTATAATAATAGGAATAGTAAGCTTTACTTACATAACAATTGATAATTAAGTTATTATGAAAAAACGAAAATACAACCCTTATATTGCAACAAAGATTTTATTTTCCAATTTTAACTTGCGAGTGGGACCGCTGTCCACTCTCTAAGGACTTACTGAAAATCAGTTTCAAGTCATCACAGGGTTGACAAGCTAAGTAAGGTCATATTATACCAATTAGCAGCACACAATATTCTCTTACTATTAAGAATGAGTTATGGTACTTTTTCTCTTTTTAATTTATTATGCTGATCTTAATTTTTATATTAAGTAATAAGTCTTATGTGTGTTTGTGTGGCTTATGGTAGTAAATAGTTTATTTATTAAACTTCTTATTTTCAAATGAACCAATAAAACCTTTTATAAATAAAAAGCAGAGTATTTATAAATTTTCAGGTGAATGCAGCTTTGGCCATCGACACCCTCCAAGCCCGCGGTAACTACACGATGACTACCTGGCTGAGCAAAGTACAGGGACCCTTTACAGTTGACGTTACAGGAATAAAAGTAACCGCCAAAGCCACGCTAGGCGTAGAGAGGGACGGCAAAATTAGAACCCAAGATATTATCATCGACATTGGGTTCAGCAATATAGCTATGAACTTCGAAAATGCAGGATTTCTAGGGGGAATGATACAGGGTGTGGTCAATTCTTTAGGTACATTCCTTTTCGACTCTATCAAACCCTATATCCTTAAAGAAGCATATACAAAAGCGAGAACAGCTATAGATCAAAAACTTGAAGAGTTCGCCGGTGATATGCAGTTCCCAAATTCAATTTCTCCTCTAGATATGGTAATTGCTGATGCCAGAAAAAAGGTGAGAGACCTGGACATGGATCCTTACCACTTAAAAAATTACAATACAACCGTGAGCATTTTCACTGTTAGTTTAAATAACACGTGGGTAACAGGGATATGCTCTTTCCATAGAGTTGGTAACATCACCTTAATGATGGAAAACAATACAGTTATAGCAGATTTTGAGATCGGCACCCAAAAGCTACAGGGCAACACGCTATGGGATATTTCAGCTATAAACGGACTTTTATCTAGAGCCGGCAGCGCATCATTTTCAGTCGAGTATATAAGTGGGAGAATAATATTAGGACAACCGCTAGATACGCGGAAAAAGCCTGAGTTTCGTGACTTAGATCTCGAAGTTGGGAATATTCAAGTAAGGTTTGATGGGGCCGGCACTATTGACTATGTAGTAGAATTTGTTGTCAATATACTTCCAAATTTATTACGATACCAAATAATGGATGCCTTAGAGACGCCTATAAAAGAAAAAGTCCAAATAGAGTTGGATAAAATTAACGTGGAAGACATGATCAAGCAGGAACTTCCTAAAATCGATGAAATGCAAGAAGGTGGATTCAAACTATCAGCTCTTGTCGTGTCGGAGACCAAGGAAGAAACGACGTACGACGATGATGAATTTTTTAACTTTTAATTGACAAAACCTAGTTAAGAAATATAATTTTAGGCAAATATAAAGAATAAGTATTTTTATTTTCAAAATATATTTATGTATAACTTGTCCAGACCGCTTAGTTATAGAGATATTATTTTTCAACTCATTTATACTTGATATTTTCTTAAACAAGCAAATAAAAGGTATTTCTCCAAGTCTTGTCAAAAGTAATTGCTAATTACTGCAAAATTATTTTAAGTAGAACTTAAAATAGTTTAACACTTTACAATTTATTAAAAAAACTTTCTGTTATAAAAATCGCGTTAGTCCAACAAAAGTGCTCGTGCAGTCAAACCGGTGGATAACGGTTAATACCTCACACTGAAAGCTGGTTTGATATCAGCGAATCCGTTTTGTTGATCTAATTTATAACTGGTGTATTGTAACGGAAATAAAAGTAATAATTATGTTATTTTTAATTAATTAAAATGAACTTTTCGCTCTAAAATTGGGCACTGTAAAAAACACTTGTATTGTAAACATTTCTTTTAATCAAAACTATATACTAGCTGATAGTGCTGTCCTTGAACAAAAAACTAAGGAGTCAAAACAGGATACCACTAGCTAGAGGGTCGATGTATCGTGTTATATGGAAAGTAGAAGTTATCTGACGGCGCTAACTCCTAACACTACTCGGCCGGAGACAGCGCACAACGCACGTTTAAACGACATTTTCTCTGTGCTTCCGGATTTCATAATTAATTATCGAAAACACAATGAAGTATTGTATTTTTATTCTGTTCGTGGCCGCTGTGATCACACCGAGTGCATCGGATTATTCACGTAAGTTTATCTATGGTTAGATGAAAGTATCCACTAACTTTCCTTCACTTGAACTTGTTTAAGTGTTTCATGAACCGTGCTTCCTAATTCCTTATAAAAATTTCCTATTACTTTATCGTTAATTAAAATGTATTTAATTTAAATTCGTCCTTTATTTTTTGTTATTATCCTTATATTAGGCATTACTTTGAATTTAATCTTTTTCTAGAACCTTTTGTTTTACTAAAACTTGTGTGTTTTACTTTTGGAACTTAAAAAATTAATAATGTTCTTATAATTTGTTGTTCTATTAAATTGTTTCATTATTTGTTTTGTGTTTAAATAAAAAGGACTTTAATTTTCTTTCCGTTGGCGTGAATTTTGAAACTAAAAGACCTAAAAATGTATTTAGGACATCTAACAATAGAAATACATATTTTAATGGTAACCAAAAGTTACAAGCTTCCTTGAACAATAATAATGCGTTACAAAACGTAAAGCCAAAGACACGGGTAATTGTTGTTTTGTAAGCTCTTAAATGTTAATATAATATGCCTAACAATTACACTTTATGACAATTGCAATAATCCTTTTGTTATTTAAATGAAGCTTTCAAATAATATTTTACATACAGTTAAATTACGTCGCCCATATTATTTTCCATTATTTATTAAAAATACTTATAACACTTTTAATTAACGACCTGTTACTTATAATTAAATACTTATATATAATATCTGCCGATTTTTTTATACTTACGAACAAGTACTAATACTCTGTCTGTACTTTATACTTCGTGAGGATTTTCTACTGTACAATGTTTTAACAGCTTAAAACATGTTTATATTATTTGTCATATAATAGAGAGTTATATTAAATGTCTTCCACGAAGTCATGAGAATATTGTGCTACAAAGTATCTTTCTCATCTGCACTCATTATGTTGTAATAATTAGTATTATATAAGATAGAAATTGTAAGTAATGTGCACATTATTATATTGTGTAACACCTACCTACCTACCTAACACCAAGGAAACTACGTAATGTTTAAAAAATTGCATTGTGAGAATTCCTAAATTTTTAATAATTTTTATAATTAACGCACACATCTTTAATCCCGTTCCGAAAACTTGCAAAGTAGGACGCAGAGATTGCGGACAAGAACCTTGTAAAATGCAAGTACAAGTCAATAACCTGTAAACTTGATAAAGCTTTTAGGCTGCAAAAGAAGGCGCTAATTCGAAGCGTCATTAAAGTTATATTCGAAGAAATCGTGTGGAATCGAATGAATGAAATAGCTCTTAGACTAAGACCGCAAAATGGTAAAGAAACTCTCATCATCCGATGGTCCTTAATCTGCTGGTAATGGTATGCCGCTCATGCCGTGTGTTCGTTCGTTATGATCATAATCATAGAAATTTAAATGAATACGAAACCATTTGAGCCCTAGCTATCTTAGGTAGCTCTAATCGAGTCTAGGCAGCGAAACATCTTAATACGACTGTAAGAACGATTTTCAAATATTTAAGGCATTTTTTGTATTAAGTTAAATATATAATGTCTGAAGTCTAGGCACGCATTTAAATAAAACACTTTTAACAGTTTCAAACGCAAAATATATTAGTTAACTTGCTAACAATCACTTCGCTAAATAAGTTACCTAATATATTCCGCGTTTTAAACCGTTCAAAGTGTGTTATTTAAATACTTAAATATTGTCTTTCTTTTAAAACCTTTACACACAATACTTACGACCTTTCTGATCTTATCCCAAGTATGCAACAAAGCGATGTCCAGATAAAATAACCGAAGGTCCAAGTTCCCATTGTCCATGTGTTCATTGTTTTCACTGTTACTCACAACTACCGTTATGCCAACCGGCCTAGCATACTAATAAGAATATCGAGACGTAGAAAGCAGACAACACAGCTGACAGATACAAATAATAAACGTATTTTTAGTTTTACATGTATCAATTTAAGTGTTTTAGAATAATGATTTGAAAACTTTATTATTTTTTACATGTCGTTGCACGTGAAGGCACAATACAATTTAAAAATCCAAAATAAATTGAAAAAAAAATCGACTCGGGCAGGACTTGAACCGGCATCATCAGCGTTCCGTGCTGTTGCTCTACCAATTGAGCTACCGAGTCCTACATCGTCAAATTTTTTTAACTTCTTGATACATGCACTTGGTAGAGCAACGCTGACGATGCCGGTTCAAGTCCTGCTCGAGTCGAAATTTTTTTCAATTTTCTGTTGGATTTTTAAATTATAATGATTTTAACAAACATTTTGAAATACTGTAACAGTTTAATTTTCTTCGAGCTTAAAATAATGGAGTAGGTACTTTATATTTTTTTTGTTTAAAGATTCTTCAAGATTAAAAAAAAGAGTCACGAACTACCTTCCACAGATTAAAGTGCGGTGAAGTTTATTGGCGTTTCGATTTCTGTCTGAGGATTTCCGAATATCCGACGTCAAAATAGATCGAAAGCGTAGACTAACTTTATTACTTTGTGCAATAAGGTGTTTTATTATTATTTGTTTAATTGTTATATGGCTCATTCTTATCTTTTGTTCCAGATATATTCGGCGAACGGTGTTCGAAACAAGATCCAAATGTTGACGCGTGTCTGCTTCGAAGTTTTAATAATGTCCTCAATTATCTGAAGAGTGGAGCACCAGAATTAGGTCTAGATGAAGTAAGTCTTATTCATAAAACGTATTTCAGTTCAACAATTTGAGTATCGTGGAAAATATTAAGTTGATGAATTCGAGCACTTTGACATTATCTGTAGTTTATGCGAGTAGTACACATTTAAACAAAACACTTTAACGGTTGAAAACGCGATATATATTAGTTAAACTTATTTGAAAGCGTCGGGTCGTAGTTAAAATAAATGTCAAATAATATTAACTAATATATATCGCGCTTCAAACCGTTAGTGTTTTATTTAAATGACTTGACATTATAGATGTTTTTAAAATGTTTTGTATCTGTAGATTCCACAATGCATAAACTGTTTAACTCTCATTATAATTAGTAAAGTGTAGTTTTTAACTGACTTTTTTTATTTATGCTGCATTATTCTTGCAGTCAGATGAAATAGTCATCGACGAACTTTCAATTGCACTCGGCGGAGGTCCAGATGGATATAGAGCCTCCTTCAAGGACATCCACGCCACTGGTGTCAACAATATGAGCATTACTAATGTCAGGTTAGTTTTTCTAATTCTTCTTCCAGAAAAAGAAGAACTCGCGCATGCAAAAAGGTTACATTTGTATGTATTAAATTATACGTCTGAATCTATTTTGAACCCATCGTAAATAACTGGACGCTAAGATATTTTATCATTTTCAATTCTATTATTTATAAAATAATTATTAATAATCTGTGTTTCTATTTTTATGCGTTATATTCTTTGTATCTGTATATAATGTTAAAATTTAATTTCCGTTACTCTTGTAGGAATGATTCATTTATCACTAAATAATGTATGCTCGGCATGCAAAATCGCGAGTTCAATCACACAAACATGTGAAACTTTTGTTTTTGCGGTTTGTGGACAAAGCCGTCCTGGACATCAACCGTACATTTGCGATGAATAATCATCGATGACCGAGCTTAGATTATTCATTAAGGCTGTGGTCTTCTATAAACACTCTTGGAATTTTAAATTTTCTGTAGCACGTTGGACGTCAAGAAATCTAGATTATTTTTTAAAAATAGGTAATTCTTCTCTGTCACGAACTACCATCCACAGATGAAAAAGCCGTTTCCGTTTGAAACTGTGGATTTCCGATTATCCAAAGTCTAAATAGGTCAGGATCAATGGATAACCTTTTGGCATCTTGTTTTGATGAGCTTTGCTTGATTGTATGTGAGGCCCTCCTCTGTCATAAAAAAGCTATAGCGTTTGACCCGCAGTTGCTACTCAAAAAGATATTATACGCTCATAAAGCTGCGCGTACGCCACCGCGTTTATAAAAGACTCCAACCTTATTGAATATTGCGCCTCGACCTTCACTGCTCCTGTACATATTTGTCATTACTGCTAAATGAAAATCGTATACCTACGTCAAATCAGAAAATTGTTTTTACGTCTAATACAAAAACATGGCGTAATTGTTTGTTTTTGTTTGACACAGATTATAAATTATAACCATCATCTGTCAAAGCACTTATTGTTACTTCATTCTTGTAATAGATTTGCATATTAGCAAAAACCGTCTTTTGCGTAGGTATAACTTGTTGTTAGTTATTTGTTCCTTTCCTATTATATTAATAGGAAAACTCATTAAACGTTTCTGACTGAAATATAAACTTCTTAAAGTCGATATGCAAGACCTGGTATAAAATTACTTCTATGAATTTTCTTTATATCTTTATCTAATAATATAACAATAAAATCTGCTTAAGACGATGTTTTAGGAACTCTACCAAAAACGCGTGTCAAACGGGAAATCAGATTAAGACTGATTATCTGAAACGGTTTCCGCATAAATAACTGAACATGAGGAATTGTAATTGAATTCAGGTCGGATCTGGAGACTCACCAATTCCAGTTGACGCTGTTTGGACCCCACATCAGCGCCAAGGCACGTTACCGCTCATCTGGGGTGCTTCTGCTCGTCAGAGCTTCTGGTGGAGGAGACTATTGGGGGGAATATGGTAAGCTGGAAGAAGGTAGAAGGAGAGAGAACAACTACCTTTTTCCATTTATATAAAATATAATAAAAAAATAAATAAAACTAACGTGTTTTAGACAAAATATAAAATCATGCTCGTGTTAATCGAACCCGCGTACTGTTGATTTAATTTTACTTTTTTTAGGATTGTATAAACTTATTATAGTTAGTGTTACCGCTATTACCAATTATTTTTGTAAATCTCCATCTTCAAGGTTGCCCACCGTTTTTTCCAAAGCTTATATTTGTATGGTGACAATTAAGGTTTTTTTTGTTTTGTTTGTTTGCATGATTGAATAAATAACGATATTTCCTTACAGACGGCGTAAAAGCTAAAGTATACTTCCGTGGGGTGCCGTACACTCGTAAGGGGAGGACTTATCTTAAGCTGCAGCAACTAAAGTTGGACTTTTCAGTCAAGGATATACAGATGGGCGTTGAAAACTTGGACCATAGCAGCACTGTCCTCCGTAAGTAACTGTATTCCGTTAAGCAATTGAAATCGATAAAATCAATTATAAGTAGAAATGGAAAGAAGAGTTACAGAGATTATATATGTTATTGCCCATTCTTAGTCATCCTAGTTTTGCCTTGGCCTCCTATACAACACAGGAAGTAGTATAGACTAGCTCTGTCATTATTTTCGTCAATGAATCGCTCCTTGATACCTAATTATAATTAATATTCCAGAGGCAGCGTTGAATCTCTTTATCAACACGAATGCGCAAGAACTCCTCAAGGAAATGAAACCGGAACTCAAGCGAGACTTAGCCGAAAAAATGTCCAGATTCCTCGATAGAATCTTAGCGAAAATTCCCTACGACGAGTGGATTTCCGATGAAGACGAGGAAGAAGAAGAAGAAGAGGAAGAATGAACTTAGTTTTAATTTCGATTTGCCTTAATAGAGTAGAGTAATTCCAAAAAATACTATACAACTGACTGATCCCTGTTCAAGTATCAGAGCGGTGCAACAAGGTTGTGAGAGAAAAATAAGTTTTTCGGAAAATTTAATTTATTCAATTGGAAAATATATTTATTGTGTAATGTTAAAAATAATTATTGGTATACAATGAACGTCTATCTATTTCAAATTATAATAATCTGATTAGATAACTGATCTTGTACATACTATTAATATTAATAAGTAAAATAGCTTAAGACCTCAAATAAAGTGTAAACTCGAATGAGTAAGTAAATAAAATTCGTTTATAATTATGTAATTAAATTTTTATTAAGTGTTTTTCACACATATCACAAACCCCAAATGGAAGATGGGTCAGGCGAAGACAACTTTAGAATAGGCCTAAGCCTTTATTTTATATAACTAAGTCTTCTGTCTGCTTCTTGGATTTTCAATCTATTCGGCCATCGTAGTTGAGAAGTAATTCATCACTTTGATGTCCCCTTATAATGTCCACTCGTTATGACGAAGCGTCATTTAATCCTTTAATTACGGAGACCTACAGCTCGAAAGATGACGAAATAACTTTGAATAAAAATTCAATATTGTGACAGTTGTGCCTCCAGTAAATTTATTTGTAATTTTCTCAAATTTATGTCGCCACTAAAATAACAATGAGCCAATTTAAAAAAAACTGTACGCAAATGTCCAACGCACACCTGACCTCTTTTATTAAATTAGTCATCGACATTTTTCATGGTTAAATAATAAAACTTAAATAGTAGTTTTAGTTTTAACATAATAATATGATCTAAGTGTAAGTTTTTTGTCAAGTTGCTTGTTCGTTTGCTGTATTTTAACATGACATGTAGGTATTGGTTTTCTCTTCGTCTCGAGACCTTCGAACAAACTCAAAACCATTTGTATTACGGTCCACTTTTTACCACAAGATAGGTACAATAAACATAAATATGATTCATCTCATAATACGACTATTCACAAAATGTATTGCAATACGCTTCAGGGCTGAACGCTGTACATTTCAAACTCGTATTTAAAACTTTGAAAAAAATTCTTGAATTTAATTAAAATAAATACCACCATATAATACCTTTTAGCCCCTAATATACGCCCTTATAAGTTTTCAAAACTGTTCCATTTACACCCTGTACATGTAGCATATATGAAACGATGGATACTCCAAATAAGTTGCGCCTTTCAAAAATAATAGCAAATTAGCATTCTTATGCCTTTTATAACAAATTCAGAAGGCGTTTTTTTATTAATTGTAATATCACAAATACTTTTGAATACACTGCCTCTGTTCAAAAGTTGAAAAATAATTTATTTTTTATAGGATAAATCCAAACTACAAGCTTTAGAAATATTTTCCCAAATACAAGTTAGTTCTTAAAAGCCAAAGGATTTCGCAACAGATCGGTAGGGGTACTTTCGCAGACCTTAGCGTCAACAGACAAGTGTTACTGCGTTCAAAACAGTATCGCAATTCTCATGTTAGGTTACAAAGACGAAATATTTAAATATATTTTCCAATATTTGTAGTTCAAAATGCACAGTTTGAAGTACTTTATACGTGTTGCTACCATAATTTTATGTTTATCTCAAGTCACAGTGTCGGAAAGGGAGGAAATAGAAATTCGTAAGTACTCAATTTGGATTTTATTTAAAAGTAAACAAGGCAAGACTATAAAGTATAGAATCTAATTTATTGTTTAATATTTGTTCATTACGACAAAAAAAGTAAACAACCGAATTATTTTTAACAGTCCTGCTTATTTGTCAGTGACCCTATTTCTTTCAATTGGCTGACTGTACGTGTTAAGTGTCTTTACGAAATATATTATGTGTATACTTGTTAATGTTTTTTCGAGTATACCCAAGTGTAAAATAACAATATTTTCTTTCTTACACATTGACGTTTTCAATGCCTTTCATATTAAGTAACATCAAATGATATTATTAGCCACTTGGCGGCTCAAAATGTGGGTCGCGGCATTACATAAGTAACATTCAAGATTTAAGTTTTGGCAAATAAGGTCATTTTGTAATTATAACGATAACCATATTGTGTTATGTATATATATATATGTACACATACAGACTTACGTATATAACGAACTGAAGAACACAGTACTTTTAAAACGCGATATATATTAGTTAAACTTATTTAAAAATTATATCAAATACGGCCCGGCGTTTCGGATACTTTGCAGCAGCAGTGGTCACGGTTAGTTAAAATAATTTTATAAAAAGTCTAAGATACATCGCGTTGTAAACCGCTAAAGTGTTTTATTTAAATGTGTACTACTCGCGTAAACTATAGACAGTGTTTGCTTTTAAGCCTATTATTTTTATTATATTTAATCAAACCTAAAAATGCCTTAAGAAAGAAACTTGGGCTATATTTACTCTGACAATAGTTGCATCAACATAAACATACTAAGTTGATATGACTATATTATGTATTGGTCATAAAGGCACTGTGAGGCTTAGAGAGACGCCCTTAGAACTAAAATCACCGTTTATATAACATGCCGAGTATCTTTCCATGTAAGATGATCATATCAATTGCGTAATTTCTAGATATATGCAATTTGCTTGTTCATATGTATCTTCGTTAGGGCCAGAGCTCCACTGAAGCTTTGAAATTTTTTCTTATTATTTATATTCGATCGTAAATCATGAAGCAAATTTTTTATCATTCTGTAGGTACACATTCATACAAAAGCGTTAAACGTGAGACGTGGAACTAAAAACTAAAGGCTTATCATAAAAGCTCGTGCAAAGGCGGGTTAATTGCTTATGGCGGTTGTTTCCAGGCAACCTGTCCATTTCGAAATAAAAAAGGAGAAAAAGTACGTTAAGTGCGTTCTCGATAAAGGTATTGAATAGAATACAAATATAGTAATCTATATACATGATTTTTGTTAATGACATTCAGATTTTCTAGAATTTAATCGTCACTCGATATGAATATATAAATTAGCTGGAGCAACAATGTTGAGAGGTCGACACCTTGGTCAAAATTGTATCTTATGTATTTACCTTATATTTTTTTAAATTTTGCTAAATGCGTGCAGTTTGCTTAGTTCTTACAAAATGTGAAGAAAACTTAAGATGTGAAAGGTGAAGGACGTGATAATGTTGAAATGCGTGTTTTGTAATTGATCACACAATATTAACTTCTTCGAGGCACCATCGTTTCTTTAAAATGGCAATGTTTCACTAATTTTTTGTTGTCTTCATCCAATCAATCATGTGTTAAAACTATGTTGCAATAGTTATGACTTCATAGCGCAAATACCAACTACGTTGAGGAAAACAAAGGGCTATAAATAACGCAATACGTTTACCTAGAGAAGTCCTAGGTTCAAATCCTGGAAAAGTTTGAATTACTGAATTAGACACAGTAGAGACAGCTACATATTGACTTTAATGTTAGGATGAACAAAGATGTCTTGTAATGTTGACGCAATATGGTTCTCGGACTTGTGAAATGTTCCTTTTTAACATTAGGGGCCTTGAATCATATAATTAAACGCAATATGGAATAAGTTATGCTTTTTGAGGCGTGCTCTACAATGTAATGGGTTTTGGATACATAATTATGCAAAGTGCATGCTAACAGCTGTACAGCCTAGAAACTACATCTACCGTTGCATTTTGTGCAAATAATCACACACATTTGGAAGCAATAATGAGTTTTCTATATTACCGTAACATATAAAAATCTATGATGAATAATCTTATTTTTATTCGACAGAAAAAATCTTTGCTACTTGCAAGAAGAAATCGCCGGAGTTCGATGGCTGTGTGAAACGAGCTTTTAATAAGCTAAGACCTTACTTTAAAAAGGGTAAACATTTTTTTTTAATTTCCTATTAGCACATTACTTCTTCTTCTTCGTAGATAGCTCTCCCATTCTAAATGAATATTTTTTTCTTTTATCTCCATCTAAATATGTGAACAAAATTTTTAAAATACATATACTTATATTATATGCATTTCTTTAAAACCCCTATTTTTTCTTAATATCAAATGATCAAAAAATAAATAAAACAACATTTTTTATATTATCACGCATAAAAAAATCAGATAATTTTTCATCTTCTTTTTCTTACGGCTTGTAACGGAGTCTCACTCTGTCTATGCGTGTGAAATTAGTGACAGCTCGAAGTCACATGACCCGATAACAAGCAAACAGATAATAAACGGCATTTTTATCTATACCACTAATACTGCAAAATAATTACTGTTTTTTTGCAATAATAATAATGTCAACAGATTGCAGAAGTATTAACAGAAATTAATAAATTAAATTTTAGGATTAATCCGGGTAAGGAACCACCCGCTACAGATGAAAAAGCCGTGCCCAAAGCTTGATCGCGTTTCGGTTTTACTCTGTGGATTTCCAAATATATATGGCCAAAATAGGGGGAAGGCGCATCCTGTAAACTCCATGCTTGTCTCTATTCCTCTATCATAAAAAAAAAACTAGCATCCTGTAAAGGGGATTTTTGGCCCATTCTTATAGGACGAAACCGTTAATGGGACCGTTAACCGCGAATCCGACTCGTCCTTGACCAGATTCATTCTTAGGCTCCCCATTGTTGTAGACTCGCACTCGTGTAATATAGACATCATTGATCTTCAGGTATTCCTGGAATGGGGGTCGCGCCGTTCGATCCACATTTTGCACGTGAGGTGAAACAAGTTCGGTCTGTGGGTGGCATGGGGTATACACTCATGCTTAAAGATGTGTTCGAACGCGGCTGGTCAGAATCCACAGTTACAAAGTACAAGTCAGTATCTTTAAAAAAATATATAAAGTTAATTTTTGACTGCAAAGTAATTTTACACGGGTGAGCCCACGACAGCAACATACAAAGCTGCTGTTCTACCATTTGAGCTTCAGTGACCGGATTCCTGATCGAAGAATTTTCGTAATTCTTATCATACCTTTCTCGTTGCATTTGCATAATACATAATTATATGAGCTATTTACACGTAAAGTGTATTTTCGTAAACAAACACACAATCTACATAAAATTGTGATTTTCACATTTTAAGATACTGGACTATATATTAAACTAATGCACTTAGTAAAAACCTATTTCATGCTAAAAAGTAATAAAAATCCAAAAAAAAAATAAACACGTAATGCTTTTGGATAAAGGATTGAGGACGTTTGGTCCATATATCATTTCTTCAACCCTTTGTTATCTGTGGCAACGACTGCACTGTATATGTTCTCTGTTTTTTTTCCGTGGTATGTCATGGCTTTTTTTCGAAGTGAATAATAATGCTTTTGGAGGAACTTCGTGTATGCTATTTGATACAATCTTTAGTTGTCTATGGATTGAAATCAGCCATATGTTTGTGTCTTTTGCCAAGTTAAAAAAAATACGCTCTACTTTGAATTTTTACAGGACAGATTGGGATAACCAAAGGATTATATATTCACAATATTTTCCTGAGAAATGGCTAGAAGGAGAGTACGAATTTAAGGTACCTACACTAACATTTGTTTATTAAAAATATATAAGACAACGTCAGGATTAAAACCCGCAACCGATCGTGAATCTTATTCATGAAATAGTTCCGTCACTTTTAAGGATTATATTTTAAATAAATAGATTTTAAATATATTACGTAAATTCGGCCCGCAATTTAAATAAAATAAAAATATGTTTACTAATTTATAATATATAATAAGATTATGTTATTAGGGTGACGCATTCGGTCTTGGAGTGCTACGAAGTGGGCACTGGAACTTAACCCTGCGCGACTATTCTCAAACGACGAGGATCAAGCGCAATGGACCAGGAGTTGACGTGCACGTCGAGATCGATCATATCGGTGACATGGACATCCACATTGGCAATCTGCTGCAGGGCAGGAGCATTATGGGTTCGTGTCATAGTTTTTGATCCCCTTCAACTGAACCACGCGCTAGTCTGTCTTCTTAATAAAAAAAGTCGAAGTTATTAGGGAGACTTCGAAAAGGTGGAAGAATCTTATTCAGTGGCAAGGCCTTTGGGCGACGCCTTTTCCTTGGTCTACTAGTTTATGTTTCTAATCAATTTATAATTTCTCTAAAACTTATGAAACTCCCTCTGAAAATCTGGATATTAAATAGATGGTAAGAATATCGAAAATTCCGTCCGGGCTAACCACAGAAACAAAAGAGAGAATTGCAAGATTGTTGATTGATTGTTGTTGTGTGATCGTTGATCTTGTTTAGATATGCACCTGGGGTATTTATTTAATCATTAAAATTACAATGTCATGACAGGTGGGAGCCCAATTCAACACTGAAATTAAAAACTAACAAAAAATATACAATACAATTAAACTATGACTTATAACTATTAACCAATATTAAATTTCATTAGTAATTATCAGCTTATTATTTTATAATCATATATGCATCATAGAAAATGTCATTTTGTTTATAACCAGACTACCTCTATTGCTCTGTCCAAGACGCTTTTCCTAACAAATTCGTTTTAGCAAAGGGTACTTTTATAAGACTTATATGTATGTATATGTATGTATCAAGTACTAAGAAACTAATTCTTTCCAGCATTAGCATATTGGTTTCTTTTCCCCGCAATACCCTCATAACATACGCTGCCAGAGACAACTCCCTTCCCACTCTAAGCTCTGAATAACCCACCATACCCAGTACGAACAGTGATGGGTACATCAATGGATAATACGGATATACACCGTACATTTTCATGTAAAGAAAACGTGTAAACATATTTTGTACCTTTGCCAACATTAACCGGTACTTGTCATCGTGAGGAGACCAAACCGTAGCGTTGTATTCTAAATGGCTTCTCACTAACGTGTCGTATAAAATTGGAACCGTAGAAAGGCTAGTGAAGTCGCTGCTTTGCCGTACATCGAATCCTAAACACCTCAAAGCTGTTTTGCAAACTTTGATGACATGGGCCCGAAAATGTAACTCCGATGTGGTACCTACCTTTCAGTGGTACCGGGCCTAATTGATAACCCCATAATAATTGTCCTTCCCTATCATAAAAACGTGCTTTGCGTACACGGTTATTATGTAGCTAAAATGTATTATGTAACAATACTTTGTGTGTAATACTCTGTGTCTCTCTAGTCTCAATCCTAAACAACAGATTACTTTAGTGAGTAGAATGTTGACGTTAGATCACCAACATTTATGATAAAGCTAGGACTTCTCCCTCCTATTTACGAGCCTTCTTCTGTTAAGTGTATAATCTTTGTATTGCCTTTCCAGAAAACGTGTTAGACCGCATCATCAATGCATCTTGGAAACCCGGCTTCGCTGTCATACGACCACTGATAAATGACCTGGTCAGCACTGCCTTTACAGATATCTGGAGCACGTCCTTCAAAGAATTTCCCGTCGACGCTTTTATTCGAGATTAAGTAACGATGCACATGCATAAAACCCTCTTTAGACAATGCTGTAATATAATAGTATATAAGTTCAAAGTAAGTTTCAATCTATTTAAATAAAACAATTCAGTTTTAGTTTAAAACGCGAAATATATTAGTTAACTTATTTTAAATATGACGCGATGCCAATAAACGTCCCTAATGTTAAAGTCAAATCTGCAACACTAGCGCCATCTGGTTCCCGTTTATTGGTGTTTGGAGAAACTAGCCCAGTCAATACAGAGCTAACTTTGACCCAGGACCCGCCCTGTACACGACTTAGTCCAGGCATACGAAATGTCGGGTCACAGGTACCATAAGTTAACTTCTATTTCATATTTTAATTTGTTTTATTTCAATATACGATTGTCTAATGTACGGCTTTGTTCTAGTTTTGTTACAAACTATATTATAGGATCTAACGAAAAATCTGGAAGCCGGACGGGTAGAATAAATATAGTCAGCTGTAAGCTTTAAATTTGTAAAATATGTGAACATAGTATGTTGTGTGTAGATGAGTAAGAAATATTGTTTTAAGCGAATAAAAAACAAGAATATATGACATATCTCAATATTATATTTATTAAAAAATATAACCTAACTATATATATATGACTTTATATTTAAATTCAATCAACAAATAACTCGCTCGTCCGTTACTGGAATAATCAACCTCAGTCTTCCAACTCAAAACCAATGGGTTCAGTCCCACCACTGGACACACTTCACAAGCACTCCATAAATACAGTATAACATTGCACCATTTATAAACCATATAAAATTATACACAAAAACATACTATCCAAAATGTCCATCACGAAGCGTGGCGTCACCTAATACCGTTTCATACGTTATTTGGGGGTCGAACTAAGTACACGTCACATCTACACGAAGAGAAAATCCCGCGACAGACATACGAAACGAAACGAATCGAATTATATCTACCAAATCCATCGCGATGACTGTTTAAACTTGAATTGGACCGACTGAGACTCACCAAGCGTCTGAGAAACGAGAAGATCTTAATTATTAATGAAACGCCAAAGAATAAACAGTCATCATCACAGATCGAGTGGAACTACTTTAGAACCCTGTGGATCGTCAAAACGACGGAATTGTCACGAGACATCGTTGTTTTCTTTGTAAAACGGTTAGCTCTAGCAGTTCGATGCAGGCGGGGTACATCTGTGAGGAGCTACAATAAATCCTAGGTAAGCGTAACGTTATGAGGTTGATTTTTAAACATTCGGTTGCAACAACCAGGCACGTTTTCGAAGCCGCGGTCTCATTAGAACGATTCGCAATAACTTGGGGCCTCATAAGCCGACGACAGCAATCCTTAAAGCGAAACTTTTACAGAGTTCCTATGAGACCGCAGCCTAACAGAACATATAGCATTCTATGATGCTGTTTTAACGGTGCACACAACCCTTAGGCGCGAAGGTGGCTGACAGAAAAGTAACATAGAACAATATGCCGCTGGAGTATCGTCGAATATAAAATAATTTTGAGTATTGATAAAAATAATCTGCCACTATGGCTACAGCATTTCTTTTATCGCTTTTATCGCAATCGGCTACATTCCGACTCGTATAAACTAAAAGCATAAGGTATCCAGAATGTCCCATAGACTGAGCCACGAATTTCTCTCTTAAGTAACTTACGTCGTTACATGTCGTACAGGTAATAGTAGTGCCATCTAGTTTTATGACATACAAAGTTTTAAATAACAAAAACCACAGGAAAATTTACGAGACGTAAAACTGCTGGAAGGAAACAATTTTGTTTCCTTCCCATATAAGGCAGTTTTGGAGAAACTTACAGAAACAATTACATAAAGGGTGAGAACAATTTAGCAATTGTTGTAAGGATATTTGAATATGCATAGTAAGTCTTAATACCGAGAAAAAAAGTTAAAATTTGTACTTCCATTTCTCGTAGTTGGCCCCTGAATTTGCGTCACAAACGATCGAAATAAACCCTATGATAAAATAATAACTTCTAGACTTCAACAAGAAAAATAACTACACATTGACATTTAATTTTAAAGCCGACCCCTCGACAGGGTGACTAAACAATTGTAACAATAAAGAAAAAAAAATAAACATTTGATATTTTTAAGCTAAACCAATTGTTGGAAGAAACGTTAAATCTACGTTAAAATGTACACAAGAAATTTAATTAAATGAAAGTTTCTTTTGTATCGGATCTAGTTTAAAAAAAAAAAACGATGTTTAAGTGTCTGGCGGGACTCGGAACAAAAATACAACAATAGATTCATTAGTGAATGTAGAGAATTAAATAACTAATAAAATTTTGCCCCATTAAAAAAACCTTGCTCGTGCGAGCTGCTTGCCAAAAGATAAGGAGTAATAGGCACAAATTATATGCAGAGAAAACGAGCAGGTCCCATCAGCGCCCAACCCATTCAAACAACCGCACGTACCTTTAAAACAATTTTTTTTTTAATTGATATGCACTTATTAATAGATTTTTACAATGAATTTTGTGCTGTACACTACCGGGACGAAGACGTCGTGCACATAGCGCGGCAACGTTGCGAGCGTTTTCGCTAATTCTCAATTACACTTCGATAGTTTTTTTATGATAGAGAAAGACAGAGGTCCAGATATTCCAGATGCAATTTAACATGTTTCAAAAAAATATATAAATTCTTGCTTCAGAAACATTCTGTCCATTGTCCTTACTTGCCGTAGCCTAAAAAAACTAGAAAAAGATGAGTTTTTCATTTTTGCAAGAACTATAATGAACTGTCATCTGAAGGTTTGACATTGACATTAGGTTTGACACATCGGTCATATGATAAGCTTAAACCTTAACTTTACTTGAAAACTGATTGACCTAATTTCACTATTGTGATTTTCATATATCACGTGCCTTTTTTTATTTTTTGTCTTTTGATGTGTTAACTACCAACTTAGTTTCTTATTGAGTTCACGTTCGTCCGTTTACTTTGGTATATGTCTATTCCTATGTATACGTATTTCTGTAAGAATAAATCATATAAAACCCGGCGCAAGAAGCTCGCAACATTTCCGAACGTTACTTACAGACGACTGAGACGGTTTCAATTTTAAATTTTTGTACTTTACAAATTATACTTGAGATAGACTCTGTGCGACGTCCCCGTGCCGCTGCCTATTTACAATGACAACTAAAAATGAGGCTTAACGTAACGACCAAATAATTACAACTAGATATTTGGCAAAACAATATTTGCGTGGCTCTCGGGTTGTGGGAAACACTGACTGCGTTTTTACTCTTTCAACGAAATGAGTAGACGCCACTATTAGTGTAGTGCAAAGGGCGCGTCCCACAAGCGAGTGCAAACAATGATCGTCGAAGCAACAATGGGAACTAGTCTAGCTTTACAAGTAAAATCGAAGGCCGCTAAGATATCACCGTTCATTATTTATATATACAGGGCGACGGCCGCGGTCCGCCGTGATTTGAGCGAGAATATGTACAGTGCAGACGCGGACCGCGCCGCGACTCTCGTGGGGACGTGGGGTAATTTACATGTCCATATTCGTCTAGAGAAGAACCCTGAATGGCGTACGTGCGTTTATATTCCCACTCGAGTCGCGAATACTCGTTGATTCAGATTGAGGTACTCCAAGAGTTCATTTATACCAACCGCCGTCTCGAATTAATTTTACAATGGTATAAAAAAGTAGAAACTTTTTTGTTGTCCGAAAAAAAAATAGATTTATGTACACGTGACACCGGTTCTAGGGTGAAATTAACGACCGAATCTACGTCTATAAAAATACACAGATCTCGAGAGTTCTCTCGCGTTCATCTTTGAATGTCCTAAAACTCGAAATCGAACAACTCCGAGAGGCCCTCGTCGTGATCGAGGCAGAAGCCGTAGTCGGTCGCCGACATGGGCGGCTCCAGCGCCAGGAACGGCTCCAGCTCCATCGCTTCTGAAATCATCATCGTACACGTTATAGAACCAGTCGGGCCAATTTATATTAGCGTTTTTAGTCTTACAACCTTATACGCTTGACCTATAATAAAGACTTTAGTTATAAAGTAAAGCTCTCTAAACTCTAAATTTCACGTTTTCAATATAATTATACTTAATTTTGTAATCATAAATAAAACATGAAAACTTCATTAAAAATTAATTATTATTAAAAGTAATGATTATGGTTATCGTTACGACCAACGGTTTCCAATCGTTAGACCTACGCAATTTGTTCATAGGCTCATTGTATCACTATATAAATAAACCTACCGTGTGCAACGGCGGCAACACAAGGCACAAACAAAAAGCACATAGTGGTGTACGGTTAGACAATGCTCTGGTTATCGATGAAATGCGGTATTAGTAGATGAAGTTAGTGGGGAGTGCTTGAGCTGAATCCCATGGTGCTACAAGAGTAACTGCAGCCTCACGGGATAAAGCTCGCAGCGAGCCCCGTCTCCGTCCCCCCGCTATATACACGTCATCATGTAGTCGTTATGTTTGCAACAACTTATAGCAAGTGCGTACTTTATCTCTGTATCGTATGTACCTATAGTCTTGTATGGGTTAAAAATTACATTATTAAACTTTCATTAAATTTAAATACTAACTTGAAAAATTATGTTAAAATGTGTGTCTAAAGATCGTGAAGATTTTGTAAATTTATTTGATTACATTTGCTATAAGTACGTTTACATACCACAAGTGGATAAGTTTGTCTATTTTATTACGTGTGCAAAAATAACAAACGTTTTAATCGAAAATAAAATAACGAAAACTTAAGGGCAGGGTATACATTTTGTTATAGCAAAGTGTATGTTCACATTTATTAAATTTGTTACTGTTCCACAACCACGTGTTAAACCTGTCGATAAAATACAATTTATTTACAAAACACTTTGATTATGTTAAAAATACACATTTTACAAACAACATTTGAAGCAAGCGTATGAATAATGAAAATGAAAAAGCATGCTATCACCCCCACTGTGAACGTAACAGATAATCCTATTTAAATAAAACTCTCTTAACACCCAAGATTTACTAAGTTATTTTACGTTTGAAACTGTTAAAAGTGTTTTATTCACGTGTACAGATTACAAACAGTTAATACGCCAGTACGATGAGCTGAAAATGGGGCTTATTCTGCATAATAGATAAGTGAATGTCGCTCGCCGGCTGAGGCACCGCGTAGCTAGAACTCTGACTGTGATGTGAGCGCAACACAAGTCACAGGCCGAGTGCTAGCCACGAAGCGACCAATCTTCTGCCCGTGAATCCTGCTAAGCGAGAAGCTTTACGCAATTGTTACAGTGTATTTTTTCTAACTTGTCATTTCTGGTATACGAATACAGTTTACATGAAATCGAAATTTTCATACATTTATTTTAACGAAAAACACTTTAAGGCACTGGCAATAAACAATTTTATTAAACTAACGAACCACCTCAAATTCACTAAGTAAAAATCACAATTTAATGCTAAAATTAATAAATATCCTAAAAATTAATTTACGTAAATGAACGGATTAAAAATTCTTTAGTTTGACATTTACATAAGGATGGAATGTAAGCAAAGTCAACGACAATAGAAGCTAAAAACCCCACTTATGCAAGATCGCTGAAAAGCGTTACAAACTTTGAGTTCAATGATAATGACAAAAAATAAATAAAAAAAAAGGTCGTCTTTAAGTGATTTTGAATATTGAGGTTGTTTTGTCATATATAGTCTATATTTTTTATCCCTGTCTTCTGTGGCAATAACTTCACTCTAAAAAAAATCGGCCATACTGTTGTGGTATTTTGCCAAGTTAGAAAAATTACACTATAAGTTATTTAAGGGCACACCCTTAATACTTATTTAATATTATTGTTTTTTGGGCGTATCTTTAACAATGCGCACGTAGATACAGACTATTTACAAGTACGTGGAATTCGCGTATACATCATTACCATAGTTTCAACCAATGGTGCAACAATGTATACGCGAGCAGTTTTCTATCGTAGTGAACGTATATAAAGAATTAGATAACGGCTGTGTACGATAATGTATATAGGAGTTTCTTTGCTATGTACCGACACGATCTCTAAATGTACACACTAAGAGATATAGCGTACGTATATAGCTGTAGACATATTTACATAATGAATGTAAAGACCATCACCATTAATGTGTTTCAATTTTGCAATTATTAATATGGTGCAAATGGTGAAGAGGAAATAGGATTTTTTTATATATGCCAAAATGCCACGACCACGTTTCTTAAGCTTTATATAAATTTACGAAAAAAAAAATAGTTTTATCATCGTATGTAATATGCACGAGTAGCACTTTTAAATAAAACACTTGTAATGGTTTTAACAGATGTCGCTACCCTATGGTCACCCTCCATCTTCAGTCCCCCGCGACCACAGCTTGCTGTAAGGCATCCGGAACGTCGGGCAGCAGTTAAAATAAATTCTAAATAATTTAACTCATTCCTGTTTTAAACCGTTAAAAGTGTTTTATTTAAATATTTTCTTCTCAAATTAACTTCAAAATAAGAATAAAGCGAATGAAATATACCACGCCTTATAAACACGTTTTGACCCATTTTTTTATAAGAACAAACGCCTCCATCCTTCTTACCAGACTCCTGGTCTTCCGTCTGCAGCTGGAACCGTCCTCCTCCCATCATCGGTGCAAAGTCATCGCTGTCAGCGATCAAGGCATTGCGCAAACGACCTCTAGCGCCGCTCGCTGAAATTGTGACACAAACTTGACATGAAACGTCATCGCGTGTGAGTTTTATGAGTGACAAGCGAAGGGCAATTGCATAAGGATGCACTGTCGATCTTTTTTTATTTGAACACATCAACATAAATAGACTGACTGAATGAAGAATCTTTTTTTGTTCATATACCTAAAGCCGATCTATTGTTGTAATTCCAGAAAAAAGATAAGAAAATGACTAATAAATATCGCTTGCACTTTAAGTACAAACATGGTATTGAAATTTAAGAATTGACCTCTTGAAGTGTTATTTCAGTATGGTAAACAGGCTTAAATAAACCCGTTTAAAATGCAATGATGTATTAATTAACTTATTTTTTATTTAATTTAACTATGACTTACGGATGCTTTGAAAATAAAAATAAGTTACCTAATCCATTCCGCGTTTTAAGAAGTTTAGTGTTTACTTAAAATGTTTTATCCCACATAATATTATGGGCCTACTTCTGACGTGCGCTTTTACTTATGGTGTGAATGCCTCATGCACGCCCACGTCTGGCAATAGTGACGTGGGGAGTGTGGCAAATCGTACTACAACCTCCTCGGAGACAATAGCCACTGAATCAGCCCGCTATGGTGCTTTCGAGGAAGCCCTGGGAACACGTTTCTACGACTCCAAAGCTTCCAGCACTGTCTGTGAAGACCCTAACGTCTCAGATAAATACTCACCGTCCGATAGGTGATGTTTAGACTCTAGCGTGGCGTTGTCAGCAGTAGGGTGAGAAGTGGAGTTGAGAGGTAGAGTAGGGTCCGTAACACACGGCGACTGAACCACGAGACTTAGAGACACTATAGCATCAGCCTCGTCCTCGCAGTCAGGCTCACGCTTTATTGTCGTTCTGGTGAATATAAATTGGATATTTTAAAACTTTAAAATTTTTCACATATAAATTAAGCGAGCAGGACTTGAACCGGCGTCCACCAGCGTTCCGTGCCGTTGCTCTAAGCAATTGAGCTACCGTGCCACGGAACGTTGTGGATGCCGCTTCGAGTCTTGCCGGTGTCGTAATTTTATCCAATTTATAATCGATTTTTGAAAATGATATAATTTTTTAGAAAATAATGCTATATACTTAGCCAAATATAAGAAAAGGTTAACAATAAGGTCATTGACCTGGTTTTTTATATAGTCATGTTATCTATCACATAAAGACATTGATTTTTATTCAATTTCACGAGTTCGTGAAAATATTTTGTGTCCTTTAAATTAAATGAGGAATGTACTAAATAAAAATGGAATAAACATAATTTTGGGTCTGGACATTAATAAATGCAGCTGTTGAATCAACCAGCATGTCAAAATGACTACAACTTAAGTTAGCTCTATGTGTGAAAGCCCGTTTCGCCCTCGTGGGGCATTGGGGACACATTTCTGTGTCCGTCTCATTGATTACCAAGTTACCTCTATAGCAGATGGACATATGAAAGCATAATGCTTATGTTACATGACGATATTTAAATACCGTCTGTAGTTTACGCAAGCAGTACAGTTTAGATCACTGTAACGGTTTAAAACGGGTAATGTATTAGTTAAACTTATTTGAAAATTATTTTAACGAAACGTCGTGTCATAGTTAAAATAATTTTCATATGAGGTTTAGCTCATATATTTCGCCTTTTTAACCGCCAAAGTATTTCATTCAGAAAAGGCGATATTTTCTTATTGGTTGGGCTATTTCGTACTTCGGCACTGGATTTGGTTGAACTAGGCAATAGGTATCCAAAACGACGTTCCATGTCCTCTAACTCCTTCCCACCAATAGCTTACCCCTCCTGCCCGCGTACCTCACGTAAAAATACTTACGTAATGTTTTGATTTATAGAGCTGTAAGGCGTGGACTGCAACTGTGCTATGAGAGGGGCGAGCAAAGCTTTATTGTCTTCCAGTAGGGGATCCGACGGCAGAAGGGCTGCTGTGAAATAAGAATATATTAATTTTTAATACTACAACGCCTCAAAAGATGAATCGTAAAAGAAGTCCTAGGTTCAAATGTGTGGGAAACGATAAATTGTAATTGTCGGGCTGAGCACCGAAATTTGATCAACTACTGAAGTTCCCACGCCCCGCAGTGGGACAGAGATATTCGATTTTTTTATAATAGAAGACAGACAAGCATGGAGTTTACTTGATGTTAGGAGAAAAACCCCAGCTGTATAACATCTAAACAAGATGCGATGTTGACCTATTTTGGCTTTGGACATTCGGAAATCCACAGACTGAAACCGAAACGCGATTAAACTTTACGACGCTTTCATCTGTGGACGGTGAGTCGTGACCCGGACGGAATTTAGATATTATTTTTATTTTTATCCAGATTAAATGAACCGAAAAAATTTGGACCCGATGGTGATCGACCCCGCGACCTATTAGCCGCACATTGCAACCATTACACGAACGAGCCTGTCAAGTTTCAGCTAATAAGATATTTCAAGGTGCAATAAAATTGCCAAAACACTCACAAGGTGGAGGCGAGTTCGGTGACTCCTTTGGACAGAGGTATACCTCGATCTCGCTAGAAATCGATTTCAGGTGTATCGTGTAGCCTTCTTCCTCATCTGGATGTGGAACCTGTAATTTGGTAATTAAGATAACAATCACTGGATTTTATATTGAGAAATATTGTTTTAATCAAATACTGTCTGTAATTTAAGCGAGTGGAACACATTTAACAACGGTTTGAACGCGATATATATTAGTTAAACTTATTTGAAAATTATTTGACATTTGGGATGCTTTGCAGCCGTGGTCACGGGGAGGCTAAAGATAGAGGGTGTCTTTGACGTCGTGTAAAAACTGCTACGCTAGCGCCATCTGTTTCGTCGTCGCCAAACACCAACTACGACTACGGCGGGCCGTAATTAAAATAATTTTCAAATGAGTTTTAAACCGATAAACGTATGTAGGACGAAGAGTATGGTCGTCCTCCATCAATATAAAAAAGTGATCAAAAAGTACAAAAGAAGCTACTCGGATTCTCGTGCTTTCTTCGAGCATTCTTCATTTAACGTCCCTTGATGAACAGTACAAAAACCAAGATAGCTTTGCAAAGGTCATGGAATTTCTCAACAAAACACTCACATTTAGTCTGGAATTGGGTGGTGCCTTGATCGGTATGACGGTTTGATTCTTAAAGTCCCTTATCGACCTCAAGTCCGCGTATGTGATGTAGGCCTTCTCGCCGTCTTCCTTCGAAAGGGACGCCAGGGCGTGCTCTGCGGCAGCAAGTGCGCGGCACACCGTCGCCTCTCTCACGCCGAGCGCGTCAACTTCCCGACGAAGCCGACGCGCTCGGATCTCTTCGCCTGCCCCGATACCTGATCGAGACAAATGTCTTCAGACACAGACCAAACATTTTTTTTTATAAAAGTGTCTACCCTCTGCATAGGGTCTACTTGGTGAAGTTGGCAATACCCCAGACCCAAAACTCCCTGTTCACCTCATTTGGGTTGGGACATTCGGAAATCTAGACTGAAACCGAACGCGGATGTAGATCATGAATGCTTTACTATCAGTGGTTTTCAATGTTAAGTAAGCTTTGAAAAATGTATTCAGATTTATATAATTTTTTGACTATATCGAGGTATGAACAACAAACATTATAGGAAGCTATAGGGTTTGTTTCTCTCTTCCTCGAATGTTCTTTCTTCTTAAAGTAAGTTCCTAACTGTTCATGTCTTTGAGGGTTGACTGCAACACAACTCACTAACTTATGAAAGAAAGAGTTAGACAGATTCGGTAGTACTTCATTAGACCTAAAATAGGCGAGAGCATTCTTAGCATTCCCGATATTCAATATAGATACGTCATCAGAGAAAATGTTGGCGATCTTTGTAGTTCTATCGAGGATACACAAAAAGGGGGTTGAACACTAACCGCATTTCCACTGTATATTATTTTTGGATTTCTTCTCTAAGATTCCTATGCCCTCGAGCACGTTGGTAATATCGTAGATCCGCCGTTTCTGCACCGAGAGGTGTGCCGCCGCGACGTTCAGGTCTAGAACGCCGTTGGGCGACGACTTGAGCAGAGCGACGAACTTTTTTGTTAATAAACCTAAAGACGTGTCAAACCTGCAACAAGCCATACGAGTTATTGATCTCTTAAGCAATATGCATATTGAATCTATGGACATCGTTCTGCTGCTTCATTGCGCAATTGTTTCTATTTCTGAGCTGGGCAGGTTAAAGTTACTGTCAACTCACCTACAGCCGTAGGATCACACCGGACCATTTAAGTTTTACAACGAATATCGCAAAATAGGATCACTAGACCCAAAAGTTTGATTACCTGTATCGAAACATTTGTACCTGGAGCGTTCTGTGTATTTTTTCATAGAACTGGACGGGCGACTGTACGGCGTTAGCACCTTCACGCGCTTCTGCTTGGGCGTCTTAAAATCAGCCTTCATGGGCACCACATGGCCCTGGCTGCCAGAACTGCTTTCACTGAGGTTTAGTCTTCGTTTCACCGCCTGCCAACCATTCGCTGAATGTACATTTTATTTAAATATAGAGTTTATGCAATGCAGCTCTTCAATAGAAACATTATAAAGGTCTACACGTTTCAAAATTAATTAAAATTTTGAGTAGGCAAAGCAAAAACAAGAACAATAGTTTTTTGTTGTACAAAATTCTTCCTTAAGAGTGTCGTGCTCTGTAATCGTATTTGAATATATGAGACTATGTCTAGGCATAAATAAACTAATCAAACATTATAATGGCAACATTGTGCGAAAGGCTTTTATGTTAAATTGTAGGCAGAAGCCATACGTTCTCTAGATAAATGTATTAATCATAATATATTTAGTCCTATAATTAACAGCTATGTAAATGGATAGCTATCGAATGACGTAATTATATTTTTTTTAATCGGTCGCAACCACAAGACGACGTAACAAAAATCACGACTCACTCTCAGAACACGCGGTCTCAGGTACGTCATAATTAATCCACTCTTCATCTTCCACGCAACCGGCGAAAACTAATTACGGATTCGGGAACGCGATATTTCGAAACTGAGCGCTCATATTATACACACAAAGTACTTGTAGAAAAATCGCAAAATTGCAAATGGATCGCGAAAAAGGATAGATGCACGAGGCATTTTCATCGAAGCTATGCAACTAATTCGACTCAAAGATCGCGGGGCCAAAGTCCCCTCGAAGGAAGCGTGGGGAGGGTACCCGCTACACAATACACTACATAAATTAGAATTAGCACAAAAGCGCGCGAGCTCTCGGAAGGGACCTGGCGAAAGAATGCCAATTTCTTATCTTAAAAACTTGCGTTATTATTAATAGTTAACTGACGGGACTATTGTTGATTCGCCGCTTTTGCGGGGAGTGGAAGCGTCTTTGTCATCCTGCTTCATCTAAATCAGAGCAGATGTTTGGAGCGAGACATATTTGCATTGTCATACAAAGTATCTTCGGGGTCCTCGGGTGAAAAGTTTTGATTACACTATTATTAGCATAATGAATGAATCTCGTGTACTAACGGATGTGTATTAGAAGCGTTTTTAATCGAGATGGTGTAAGGAGGAGTGGTATTGCGCAATTCAGTAGCGCAGGATATACCTGACCACGTGACCGTGATCCCTTCGGCCACATGGCGTAGCGTGTGGGTGATCGACACTCGCAACTTCAAGCTAATTAATATAATACATGGCAAGATTAAAACCCCAAAAACTTCACCGTGAACTAAAATGCAAACCTAAGTAGAAGTGCATATGAGTAACAGAAGGTCATGTCTGTAATTTACGCGAGTAGTACATATTAAAATCAAACACTTATTGTTTAATACTCGATATACATATATTAATTAATTATTAATTCGGAAGTAAATTATGTTCCCCCCGTAACCACGACTGCTACAGAGCATCCGAAAAGTCGTTAAAATTAAGATTAATACCAATATTTCGCGATTTATAATGCCATAAGTGTAATTTAAACAAATTTTAGTTCAGATCCAAGTAAACATTTATATCATGTGGAAGCTCTAGCCTAACATATCCCTGTTTGGATTCCTAATATCTATCTTCCAAAATACAATAATGTAAGATCTTACTAAAGATATCGAAAGATTGCATAATGCGCAGAAAAGAAGCAAATCAAATGGGAAAAGAAATACGCTATCGTTGCTTAACAATACCGCGTAGTTTACGTGTGTCAAAATAACCCTAGTACGTTATCTGGCGTAGAAAGTCTCGATGCCACAGAATATGACAAAATGGCGCTTAAATCGATAAGCATCTATACAGTTATCCAAAATATAAAGTTTCGTTCAGGAATGACGAAAACTCTCATGCTTTTAAAAAGAAATGAAATATAATAAAAAGTTAATTAATCTATAAGTTCAATAAAAGAAGATCACAAAAAATGTGATACAATTTCTAGAAATCTTCTAAAAACAAAATCATGCTTTCCATGTGACTAACTAACCACTTCCTTCCATTCATTTAATAACTTCCCTATTGTATATCTCATTAAATCCTGCAGACACAATTGCACTTGTCTATGAAAAGTAGAAACATCAGGCACAACTGTTGACACAGTCTAAAAGTTCTATTTCCTTTTGATGATGTTATTTTATCTCAGTAACAGTAATCTTAGATATTAAGTTTTGCTTTGATACATGAAGAGTTATATTGCATTAATTACTGAGCACCCCTTCTATAAGGTTCATCGACCACATGTGGGTGTGTGACCTTAAAAACATCCAATACAAATCTTTACAAATTAAATTCATATCCCATTGCAAGACCAACATACTAGGAAAGGTCAGAAACTAGGAATCATCATAATTTGTTATATCAGTACAATATTTCACAGAGAGTAAGAAAAAGGGGCTTCCTTCCAATCTGTAACAATATTGTTAAGCCTTCAGATTCTAATACAAATTTGGCTCATAAAACTATACTATTTATGCCTTCAAGAGTCTATATGAAACAACTATTATCGAGGTACTATTCATCAAATTCCATAACTTAGTTTATATATTATGTTGTGATAGTCTCTGTGGATTATAATGCAGCATAGGTTTTGTAATGCATACTAGCAAACTCTTTCAAAACAACAATTTGCTTTAAAAAAAAAACAAAGATATGGTTTGTACAGAATTTAAATTCTGCTGTCAAAAATGAGATAAAATAAGAGAACTATGTAAAATACCCCAACTGTGACAGAAATGAAAACAATTTTTCAACAGCTGATTTATAGAGCATGATCTTATTACCATAATGTAGCCCATTAGCTGACAGTGAAGATGAAAAAATAGACTAACAATATAACTATGTTACAGCTAGTCCAGCCATGTTATTTACCATCTGGTCAGCAAGCTGAAAAAAATGTTGGTAACAATGTGGCTGTTGAGACTTACTTCTGAAGTCTTAGGAGGTGCAGTGAGCACCTCTCGCCGTATCTGATGCTGTGGCGTGGCTCCATAGCCGTGATCGAGCAGGTGGTAGCTGATGGGCTGGCTCGGGCTGTCCTCCAGCAACGTGGTCTGCGAGGGAGACGCCCCGACGCGCACCACCACCTCAGCTTCACCCTCCGCCTGCCCTCGCTTCACCCCCCTCGGCATCGCTGTCATCCCAACATTGATATCTTATTACGCATTTTAACAACTATTATAATAAACGTAATCAGCTCAATTGAATTAGCGAAGAGGTTAGGGGCGCCTTGCGCGCGGAAATCAGAAATACATACTTTCCTCCTAAATTACTCTCCACCGAAAAAAGTGTCTCAGTATATTTCCACATCTATAAATGAGGTAAATATCCAAATTAGCTTACGTCACGATTTCAACGACATTTTACCAAAAATATCGACGACCTAGCGGTAATTGATTATCATATCCGCGTAGCAGGTACGCCATACACTGGGCTATCTCTTAAAAATTACCATGCCAATAGAACGATACTTACAAAAGGTGTAAGCGAACGATATCCGAATACAGGACCATAAAACGACATTTAATGTTTTCGACGCAAACGCTACATTATCGAGTACTCAAAATAAAATGTCCGCCGCTTTGTTGGTCTCGAATGAACTCGTGGATGTCGAGACGCCCGATAACTTACAGTTAATTGTCACTCTTAAAAACACCATATATCCATTTACACATTTCGTTAATCACAAATACGTAATATCAAAATAGTGATCCTAGTCCACATTTTTCAATTAAATAATTTAAACGGAGAGGTACGAAGCGACGAGAGGAAGCTTTTCAGAACATCTGGCTTGCAAGCGGCGACGTAGCAGTGGCGCGAACTACGCGCGCAAGCGCCAAGCGACCCGACCGTTCAAGCCCAAGCAACCCCTAGCGGACGCCGATTTCTATAATCCTCCCCTCGCTTTTGAAGCCATAAAAAATATAACGAATTTTTTAATTTTCGTTGCATGACCGGTTTCGTACAAGCGTAGCACGGCGTTTTTGGCTTTTGGCAATCGATCGAGCTTCAATTTATAATTGATGATATTTTATTACGATTAATATTAAAAACTATACAAGACGATACTAACAAGAGTAAGTATACTTTGTTTTTGGTTCATTTATTTCTCCAATTGACTAAGTATCAAGTTAAGAAGTATATATACACTTTACCTACATAGGTATTTACTAATTATACTTTGAAAATTAAATAACAATGCAATCGTTTATAAAATAGGATTAGAAAAGAAAGCATTTGAACAAAAAAGTTGTTATTACTTCATTCATTAAATAGGCCAATAACCCTTTGTCACAAATCTAAACGATTTATTAAAGCAATTCTATTATAAAATAATTAATTTCTACTTGAACAGAAAAAGAACACTGTACTATTCATGTAAATATTTACTAAATAATTATTTATTATATTTATATAGTAAAATATCTGGATAGCGAGGAAAAATATAAATATATTTTTAATACATACTTACGGGAACGTATATACTAATGTCGTGATAAAACTATTAGATCACTTCTTGTTTCTTCCTTTTTGGAGAATAGCTTTGAAAAGGAATAAAGACTCGTAGTAGTTTCGTTTTAAAGTATTACATTACTTCTCTCGTCGATGAATGCTTATTCAACTCCTGTGTCCTATGGGATACAAAAATGTTTACATTCGAAAATGTAATACATATTTATGGTGCGGATTATGGTTGCGAAGAATCTACTCACGGTCCCTTATTATCAATGTAATATTATGAAATTACGATATATATGACTATATTTATTACATACATTCTTTTTAATTAAATTTAAATATCTATATCCTGTCTTATTATTTTCCTAAAACACTTTTAACACGTAAAGCTAACTTTTAAGTTATATAAGAACTGCAATAGATTTCATAGAATGAAATTATTTACTGTTAATTGCTATTATGATATTTATTGTTGAATACCTAATAAATATGTAAAGCGGGAATGTTTATAGCATTTTATTCGGAAACGGAAGCTAGTACGCCCAAAAACCATAGTGAATATAAGTAAACATATCCACAGTCTAAACAATAATTATTTTACTATAATTGTGCTTTCATCGACACTAGTCTATATTTATATTGCCAGCCTATTAGCATACTAGATAATAAGTGTATCGTTAAGGAATAAAACATAAATATACTCTATAATAGGTAGTTGTGCGTACCACAGAATGTATACATATGCAGACTATACATAAAACTAGCTTCGATTTAGAAAATCTAACAGAAAAATCAATTGTGTATATAAAATATATACTATTTGTTAATAAATATGTTGTGATTTATATTTGTATTTGTGGATACCAGTTGTTTTAAGTTTATTCTGACACATTCTATTATTTACCTATATAGCTTAAATAAAAAACAAATTAAAATCTGGGTTAAAAACATTTTACTATAACTAAATATCAATGATAACAAAAACTTCAAACTTATTATCTTTTGGTTCATCAATAATTTGCATTGCTGAATACGTTATTGCCTTTACTTCTGACCCTTGAGGATGTTTTCCAATCTCAAATTCTTCACCATAACACTTGCATACTATTCTAAACTCTTCTGCATTAAACTCTGTTATTTTTAATTTTCTACATATTAAAAAGGGTTCAGCGGAAAAGAGGAATAACAGCTCATCTAGAAAATGGTACAAGAGTCCCATCATATCATCTGCATTAGCTTCAATTGTGTGTACTTGTTTTATTTCAACATAAGCAAGCTCTGTCATATATCCAAACATAGCCATGCCACATTGCTCGAAAGCTTCAATTAAACTATCACCCCATGCATGTAATCTGAAAAACAAAGTTTTCTTCAATTATAACGTCACTACTAAACTAAATGGCCACACAAAAAAAAAACATTTTTTTTATTTATTAAATGACAAAAATAAATATTATTATATGAAATAAGAATTTTAAAATATCTACATAGACATGACAACACATGTAGAACTTATAACTTGCATATACAATTGCTGTTGGGTGATTCACTAGAGTATGTATGTTTAGAGTGAAGAGTTGCTATATGTTGGCACATTATACACTAAACCACTAATGATACATCGTTAATAGAACTATTCCTCTGATAAAATTGTATTTAGACTAACTTTATTTATAAATAGCGGTACTTCCTTTCATTAACTTTTATATTCTCATCATTCTTTAATAATATCAAGAAAACTAGTTTCTACAATTACATTTACATGTTAATTGAATAAAACTAATATCAATAAAAGTTACTCACTGTACATCAGCAGTGTGATCTAAATCTGAGAAATTAAAATATTTCATTTAATAAAACATACAACTATAAAGATAACCTCAATAATGGCACAAGTAGTAAATATATTATGTTATTTACATCACACTTCTAAAAGCGTTGTTATTACTTACATTCATATTTAATAGGGGGTAACATGAAGTCATTTTCAGATAATTCTCCTAATTCCTGATCCATGATTTTTCTTATCGGAAGTAAAATGTACCAAATTAGAAAACAGCTTTTCAGTTTTGTATGTAATCGGAAGATTGACTTAGTTTAAAAAGTTTGATAAAAGTTATCATTGCCACCATAACATCTATAAACTATTATGAATTTTGTTTCTATTAGAGAGTTTTATAATTTATTTGGTTAACCCACACAATTCATAATATTTATTATTGAACTTGTAAAAAAAATCAAGTTCCACAGATATGTTAAGTACGAATTAAATGTCATTATAACCACAGGCGACTATAACTATTAAAATATGTGGCATTTTAAAATGAACCCATTATGCACAATACCCCATCTCCATATTATAAAGTATTTTTTAACTAAATCGTCATATAATTGCCGTAAATTCGAAAAGCTCTCCGTTAAATAAACTTTTTCGTGACCAGAAAACCTACTCTATTTTTTAAATAATAATTACTTTAACAACCTTTACAGCAAGCTAGTATCAAAAATTTCAAAATGCCTATTCGAAATTTTAAACTTAATGTTATTTTATTAAAATATAAATTCAATAGATTATAGTGCATTTTTACAGAAAATAAAGTAGTTTTAATTGTTTTGCAACTGATAACTGTGAGTAACAAAATCTATTCACATATTCTCCCAGTCTATACCAATATATAGACATGTTGATAGGGTCTTAATAGTCTGTAGTCTGTACCAAGTCACTAAGTCAGTACTCTGTAGTGAAATCACTGAAAAACTACAAATAGGTGTCTTTGAATCTTATTAATTTTTAATTTATTTAACAAATCAATAAAGAGTTAAAATATAATTATTATTTCCAAATTTAAATTTTTATTAGATATTGTCAACTTCAGTCGTGTAATTTTTATACAATATATTATTTTCTTAGTTTGGATTTTGAATTTTGTATTTGTAACTTAGAAGTTAGTTGTTAACTTGGCAAAAATTCATTATGGATCCTATTGCGGTTTTACAAAATAGAATTGAGCAGTTAGAAGCCAAACTGGGATTGGCTTCAAATTCTTTGATAGAGGGCCAACATCAACAGGGTGATACAGTGACTGCCAATTTGCTTAACACTGCTCAAGCAATCAATAATGCAGCTGCTGGCCACGAAAAACTTTTGCAAGCAAGAAACATGGCGAATGAATTAAATAACTACACTGATCCAAATTTTGTTGAAAATGTAAGCTTGTCTTTTGGATTTACACCTGCGCTCTGCCTTGGACTACAACCTTTTATTCCTATTCATTTACTTATAGATGCAGCAAAATAACATAAACTTGCATGAAGTGGCAGCAGCCGAGCCTGTAATAAAACATCATTGCCATTGTATGCATAGATGTAAACAGGTGAGCAATATTTATTTACTTGTTTGGTATATGTGGCTGCTTGACCCCTAATGAAGTGGATTTTTTAAATATTATTAATGCAATGTTTATTGGCTGGCTAGTAATAGATTGTTTTATAGGCTGCTCCTGTGTTGGAGTCTGAAGCACTGCAGCAGGTTCCACAATTGCAGGAAGCTGTGGATAATATGAATGCTGCAGCAGCAGAAGTCAAAGCTGAGGCTGATGTTGTATGTCATCTTAAAATATATTCTTTTATTTCATTTTTGAAATTATGACTTCTTAAAGTTTTAAAAACTTTAATATTTTTCACATGAAGGCACTATATAATTTTTAAAATCGAAAATAAATTTAAAAAAATTAAGACTCGGGTAGGACTTGAACGGGCATTGTCAGCATTCTGAGGCCGAGAGCAACAGCAAGAAGTCAAACATTTTTTCAATTAATTTTCGATTTTCTAAATTCTTAGTTTGTTAATAAGTGTTGATGTGACTTAACAAGAAAATTACATTATAGGTATCCCAAGGCATTCATGAGTTGGCCGAAACATGTGGAGCTGCTGCCTCAAATGCTTCAGAGCACTTAGCTAATGTTGCGCAGAATGTTGAACAAGTAGAACAGAAAATGTTACCAAAAAGACGAAATGGTTTAGATTAATGAAACAATATGCTTACTGTTTGTGGCAGAAAAATATTTTATGTCTTAAATGCAATACAAATAAATTAAATTTAAAAGTGTTTATTTAATTATTTCTTTTATTAAATTTCCATATCTAATGCACCCCATGAAATATAATTTAGCATCTCATACAAAATAATTTGTCCGCATGTTAAATAAAAATTATTATTTGGATTATTATTTAAAACAAAGATTATTGCAGCATATACATATTTCAATATTATGAAGATAAGTAAAAGAGCTTTGCAATGCCTACATAGGGAAATCTTAAAATATTATATGGCAACACTGATAATAGAAAAATAACAATCAGTTGTCAAACAAATATGGCAGACGCTGGTGTTGAAACGGCGCCCAATGACGAAAATGATGATTCTTGGTTGTATGGAGAGTCAATTACGGAACAAAATGAAAATGTGGAATCACAAGAAAAAGTAACAGACAGTGAACAACCTAAAACAGCAACAGCCGGCGAGACAGGGGTAAAAGACAGTAATAACCTATATTATAGAGAAATTTTTAATTTCAAGCAAAAAAACATCATTTAATAAAAAAAGTATAGTGAAATTTTTTTTATACATTTATATAAAACAGGATCACGAAGAAAAAGAAAATGAAGAAGAAGGCAACGATGATTCCCACTTTAATGATGAACATTTTGGTGAGGTGGAACGTGATGACGGAGAACAAGCAAATGGAGATGCAGATAGTCAGGAAAACGGAGATTCCGATTCAGATGACAGCGATGATGTAAAGGTCACCATTGGAGAAATTAAATCTGGACCTCAAGCCTATGCTAGCTTAAATATAAAGGTATCCTTTCAAATTTACCTTTAATCACTGCAGTATGTCTGAGTATCAAGCATTAGTTTGGCAAACTTGTAAAAATTTTCAATTAATATATGCTCTTAAATTCAGTTCAAGTTGTATCTTTTGATTTCATGTTTTCCTTTTTCATTTTCTAATTATTAAAATTGCAAACTTAATTAGTGAGATTTGTATGTGATAGTTCTGTACATTATAAGAGACAACAAGAAATATTTTTGTTGTTAAATCTTTAATTACATTTTCATTTCAAGAGGGGTGTAGGGTTGGTAGCATCAGGTGCAGAGAAACCTCGACAAGGGCCAACGACAGGGGGCAAAGTAAATTATGAGGACTTAGAGGGTCCCGGTAGTATCAATGGTGTCCCTGCTCTGGAGTTTAATATTGACACAATTGAAGATAAACCGTGGAATAAGCCTGGTGCTGATATATCAGGTACAACATATATGATAAATTAATCAAAATTCTATATTTATTTACATAAATATATAATAAAACTTCCCAGTGAAGTGAGGCATATAGTTGTAATATAATATAATATAATTGAATTTCAGTCTTCCTCCACATTTTCTTGAAAATAAAAGCACAAGTTAAGACATTCCATATTCATATTATAATAACTGACTTCAATATATTTTTTTCTAATTTGACATTGAAGAATTATTTTTAAGTCAAGACATATGTTTTACAGATTATTTTAATTACGGTTTTAATGAAGTCACATGGAGTGCTTACTGTGAGCGACAAAGGCGGATGAGAGTTAACGAAGCTGGTGTAGGTATGCAAATGGGGCCACCCGTACCTGACATGAGGAGACCACCAGGTTCTTATTTTTATCTACTTTATAAAACTACCACCACCACCACCACCACCACCAACTTCTTGAATTGAAATTGAAGACAACTTATACCTTTCAAAATTACCAAACCAGCCGTCTGAAAATATAGGCAAAAGTATTTTTTTAAAGCTCCATACTAAATAACAAAGTTTTCCTTTTTTGTGTGTGTGTGAAAGTCCGTTTCCCCCTTGTGGGGCATGGGACGAACACATTTCTGTGTCCATTTCACTGACCTGTTCTTTAAACGGGCAAGTATTTGATCAGACTTCTGTGTCCTGCCCGATCGAAACAATTGTATGTTTCCCTGGAATTCGAACCCAGGACCTCTCGCGCTTAACGCAATGCTAGGCAATATGTTTAACCATTTGGCTACAGAGGCGGTTTCCTTTTTAATACAGATTTTTTCTATTCAACAAGAACTTTTAAACAAACTTTTTAAAAGAACTATGTAAATTAAATATCTAAAGAAAGATGGAAAGTGAAAAAAGATGATAGTCTCTAACCTGTCACAGGATTTTATTTATTTATTTAGCAAAAGGAAACAAACAGATACATTACATAAGTGACTAAGGAATAACAATAATAAAATAAAATGCATCCTTAACAGTTTCACAAATAGTTAAATGTTATATACAATATGAAAAAACAAAACGTCAATAAAAATTACAGGAAATTAGACAATTTTTTTTATAAGAGTTGACAAACAAAATTAATTATATGTTTAACTAAAAACTAACCGAAATTAACATAATTAAATTGAAACACCTAAGGCGAGATAAGCAATCTTTTTAATGTTTTTTTGAATGAAGCAGTAGAGGAGTGCAAAAACAAATCGATATCGGCAAAATAATCGAGGGAAGAACACATTCTGTGGAGTACCGTGCGGAACCCGATATTGGTTCGAGGAGTAGGAAGGTTGAATGTTCTGTGCATGCGTAGAGGCCTGGCTGGTACATTAAATGGTATAAGCTCAAGAAGTTCAGAGCAAGTCAATTCGTTGACACATATTTTTCTAAGTGTTCCACAATCGATTAAGATGACACATCTTTGGCTTAAGGAAAGTAAATTTATACTTCTTGTTGTCATAGTTATATAATTTACGTAATATACGCCATGTTTTAAATCACTATAACGTTTTCATTCAAATGTGTACTACTGGGTAAACTACAATACTTAGTTATAAAAAATTCTTTCCATGCATCAAACTTTCATTTATTAATTGAGACCAGACCTCTTAAGTGCTTTATTGTTCCCTTGCAGGTCCTGTCAGACACGAGGAAGGGCCTCCCCCAGTCATACAGAATAATTACCAATCACGAGAAAATACTATACAGGTAAAAGCGCTCAACACAGCAAAAAAAAAACATAAAAATGTCTTAAGTGTCTGGTACATTATACATACTTACTGTTTGTAACTAAGTCAAACCAGAAGGTTTTTTTAAAAGGTCTACAAAACTAAGCTCTAATACATAGATATGGTATAAATGGCTTTATACAAATAAAAAGTTTTAAAAATTAAGCTTATAAATATGTAGACACGACATGCAAATAAAGTTTAATTGAATTTGATTATATAAAAACTTAGTAATTGTCGGAGGTCGGAAGTACTGTGATAAATAATATCCAGGTCTGAAGAATGATTGTTAGATATATTGCACATACAAAGGGGAGTGTTGAATGAAATAGTTTAGAATAGTTTTGTTGGTAATTTGGGATAGCAGTATTTTAGAAAATATTTGAGAGTTCTTTTTTGATGTTTTAGATAGCCGGCTCTCTGTAACCAATAATTGATTGTAGGTGATGACAGCTGAACGGCGCGAGTACGGCCGCTCTACAGGTGGACCGCCGCATCGGGATACGCCAGACTACTTTGCCCCGCCACCCGACCACTACTTTCCACAACATTCCAACTACCAGGAGCCTGTCTGGGGTATGTTTTACTTCGTTTACCACTATGTGTTTCCGAAACTTTTAATGTTAAAAAATAGACATAGCACAAACGACCAAGAAGTAAGATAAATACAAGTTGGCTACATATCCTTGGGCAAACATATATAAATCAATGTACAGTACTGTGTTGTAGAAGACAAGAACATGCTTCACTTGATGGTAACTAAGGTTGCACATTCTATCAATTGAAGTCTGGCAACATTTGTGGTCAATTTAAGTTTGTTTTGGACATTTAAAAATTAATATCTGTTAAAAACTACAGCTTAAATATGAACTAATTTTGGCTCTACATGTGTATTTTAATACTATAAAACATGTTTCTATGCTCAAATTATTATCAGGTGCACCTGAGCAGACGGGTTGGGCGCCCAGTGAGATCAAGGAGCTAACGCCAGGGCCGATGCCTCCGCCGTCTATGGGTCCACCGCTGGGAGTGGCGCCGCCTTCCGTGCCACCTCACATGACGGCACCCCCACACTCTATTGGTGCCCCCTACTCCCCCTACCGGCCGCATCCACCACCTATGCATGTTCACGAACGCGAGCGTGACCGCGACCGCGATCGTATCCGTGAACGTGAAGACAGAGATCGGCGCGACAGGGATAGGAGGGATGAGGTTTGGTTTTAGCTTACACTATTTAAAAAAAAACAATCTATTTTAATTTAAATATTTGATGACATGACTTATACTTTGTTTATGATATGATGCAAAGTTTGGGTTTGCACTTCGTCGATCGAATTAACAAGTATCAATATCAACATCGAATCGATTGTCTAATAAAATTATAGTAACGAAAAGTTACTTTTTTTATGTGAGAATGTAGTGTATGAGTGAAAGAGAAAAAATAATACAAACCTATTCTCAGGTGTAACGAATGAATTTCATTAAAATCACTTTAGCCAGTTTGGAACGGTTCACATTACCTAATATTACTTCAAATTCAAATAATTTATTCCACACCAAGGTACACAAACAAAATTGTTCTTTGATATAAAAAAATAAATTGCTTACAATTAATACCAAGGAAAAGATTGAACTACAAAATGTATCAATCGAATGAGCTACAATAACTTTATTTAATTGTTTCTTTTTTCAGGAGGAAAGAGATCACCGTGACAGAGACCGCGAGAGGTCACGTTCGATAAAACCAGATCGGTCGCGTGAAAAGTAAGCTTTATTGTGACTTTAAGTATAATGGTAGCAATGTATGGTCAAGAGTCAACGTATTGTGGGTTCGATGCCCTCTGCGTTTGACAATTTCGTGAGGAAAAGAATATCGAGCCAGTTTATGCCATTCCAAATATCTAAATTGTCCTTTCTATGATAAAAAATTCAAAATTATATTTTCGTTCAAGTCCTAATGTTGGTATAATTAAAAGTTACATTAGATTAAAAAAAATGAATTCAAGTTTGGTGTATTGGAATTAAATGAACTATGATTAAGTTGTTTACGAAAATCTTTGTTCCAGGTCTTACAGACGCGAAAGATCCCGGTCGAGATCCCGCCGCCACAAGTCTAGGTCCCGCTCACCGAGACGTGAGCGTTCCCGCGACCGGTCACGAGATCGCGAGCGTAGCACTAAGCCCAAGTCGAAGGATAATAAGGACAAGGAGGACGATAAATAAGTTTAAACAGTACGGAGCGGTAGCTCTTAAATTCAGTGTCTCATCAAAGTCTAGAGACTTTACATTTAAATAAAGTGTAATAGTAAGATGTTTCATTTGAAATTTTATTTGTACTCCCCCCCCCCTTTTTGGATTATTTAATAAAATCTGATAAACTTTATATATGTTGCCGTTGCGGTATATGAGGCCGCTAGAGACAGGGTAGCCTAACTGAAATTTTATGGCTCGAGTTATTTATATTTTAATAGTCTAAATATGTTAATTTACATCACATTGACTAAAAACTGTTAACATAATTCTTACACAAATAATAGTACGAATTCATTTTCGCCTTAGTAATTTGCGCATTTTTATTTTCCTCCGTATTGAAAATCATGTTTTTATGTTATTAGCGCAGGCTGCCTCTAGCAGCCTCATATAGAGCAAGCTGCGAGGTCGTAGTGGGTGTTGGAATAAAACAACGAGTCATTTGTAATATTATTACAGAAATGCTTTATTAATTAATGTCTAAATAGATGGATCACCATACAAATGTAATCTAATACATCCTAGAAGGCGCCGCGGGCGGCAGAGGTTCGGGCCGCGCGCCCGCGCCACCCCGCTCCATCACATTACAGGTTTTACAAATCATTTTGTTAAATTTTTGTACAGCCATATACAATAATTTTATTTTCAATTACATCTAGACGTAGAAAATCTGAGGTGTCGTAGGAGACTACGCTTCCTATATAAAATAATTACAAAGGGGGAATGACGCTACGCTACGCTCTCGACGTGCGACCGGCAAGGCAGACCTCGGACTACGACTATCAGTACAGGACTTTACAATCTTCACTATAACCTACGCTACGTCCGCTCGCAACCATACACTAACATAACATCGCCCGCTCGGCGTCCTAGGCGCTCACTGCAAACTTAACGTAACTTACTTAAACTATACAAAAATATCATTTTCACAAATCATAATGCACAAACTATACACACGGCGCCAAAATATTCGATAAGCTACGCGCGACGAGAAACGAATACAATCGATCGCGGTCCGAGTATAGTGCCGATTGTCCAGAACTGCCTGCGGCGTCCGTCCGCCGCTCGGATTCAAGGTCCCCTAGCCCAGCTAATATAATATCTACGACGAGCTAAAATACGGAAACGCGCGGGTGCATCGGACCACGGCTTTCCTTCGATTCATAAATTACACGAGAATGAGAGACGTTCAAATATTTATACATAGATTCATACGAACGAGGAGTAATACTAGAACACTTAGACGCTAAGAGAGTGCGGCGCGGAGATGCGACACGGGGCCGCTATGGTACACAGTAATCGTATCTGTACATCAGTCTGCCGCTAGTATGTACAGCGCCGGGGCCGCGGCCCTAACTACTTACAAATGTACAATAGCAATATTCACAAATTTATAATAGGCGGGAGACCCGCGCCCGGCCGCGCAGCGCCTCGTCGTCGCGAGAGCCTCGGAGCCCTTCGAGTCGTCGGTTGCATTTTATACGTCAGAACAATAAATAACACATAATTTCATGATCATTCAATTAAATGGCAGTCAAATACGAACGGCCACTGAAACCATAATCTCAACATGTACAAACATAATCATAAAATCACTTCGTGGGCGACGGGCGTTCGAGCGCGAGTACGAGAGCGCGCGCGCGGGGCGCGGGCGGGCGCCGTAACCGCAGTGCATAATACGTTGAAACAGTACCCCATCTACATACAAGCGTTGAACTCGATTACGATCAGTTAACGGACCTCTTCACCGGACGATAGGCGACTACAAGCCGGGGTTGGACTGCGGGGGCCCGATGGGGCCGAGTTCCGGCGCTTTCATGAAGAACTTTTCGAGCTTAGCGATGATGTGCTTCCCGTACGTGTACTTGCGCAGCGATCCAATGTGTGGTCGGATTTTGTGCATTAAAACCTTGCGCTGCGTCGGCTCTGCCACGTCTATCATCTTCTGCACGACGTAGTTCGCATACTGGTCTTTCATCATCATATGGAGAGCACTGAAACATCACAAAAACAATGTTAGGACAGTTTTCGAAGTAGGCCTTTTAAGGTAATAAATTATTATAAGAATTAGAACGGACTCACTTGTCATTAAAGCCGCATAACTCGTCGATGAGCAGGGCGCGCTCGTTGCGCGTCGCGTGGCTGACGCACTTCTCGACCACGTTGGAGGCGAACTTGTGCTGCGAGAGCTGCAGCACTTTGCCGCGCACCGCTCCGACCAGGCGCGCGCGATCCTCGGCCGCGCCGTGCTCCAGCACGTGCTGTACGACGTAGTTCCCGTACTGGTCTTGAATGAGCTGGTCGGTGTGCGCATGCAGCTCGGCCAGGACCGGCGCCGTCTGCTCCGGCGTGCAGTGCTCCAGGATGCGCTGGATCACGCGGCAGCCGTACGGGTGGGTCGACAACGCGTACACTTGGCCCGCGAACGCGTTTATGATGAACTGCAGCGCGTTTGGCTCCACGCACTCTATACATTTTTGCACCTGCAAAAACGAGTGGTTATTTATTTCGATTATGGCCTATTGAAAAAGCGAAACTATATAGAACCATTTTACTAACATATTAAGCTTTATTCCAATCGTATAACAATATTAACTTACCACGTGGTTGCCGTTCTGGTCTTTGACACACTTGAGAACGTGTCCATCCAGCTCCCGCACCACCTCCTGTTGTTGTTCCGGCGGAATAGATTCCAACGCTTTCTGAATAACGCGACACCCGTACATCTGCAGCGCCAGAGCTAACACGTGGCCGCGCACCTAAAAAACAAACATATATATAATTGAGTCTAGAATAGTTGCTACTTTCTTTTACAGAAGTTCTTAGTTAAAATTCCAACCTTTTGTGCTAAAGTTGTCTTCTGTTCGGCCGTGCCAAATTCGAAAAACTTCTGAATGACATAATTTCCAAAGACATCTGTCATTAAGCTGTACGCTGCGCCGATGATCTCGTTAAATACCATTTGCTTTTCTTGAACGGTGGCTCTCTCCAGCTTTTGTTGAATAAATCTGAAAGATTCATAAATAAATTATAATTAACAACCGGTTCTTCATAGCGAAGACGAACACAATGCATAATTATTGAATCGTCTCATATTTCATTCAACAAACTGCCATTTACTATTTTATTAATAACCATAAACATGGCTAAAAAGCGAAACAACTATAATAACTTATGAACCAAGGACACACAATAAAATCTTGTTTTTACGACTTGTTTAGTAGTCACAACAAATAAATAATGATTATATAAGAATAAACACTTTACAATGTCCGACTTACAATTTTAACTAACCTCGTAGAATAATATGGTCAAAGTTAAGGCCATAACGGTAACGGATACACCATTTATGTTATTTCAATTAAGCGACATCCTATCCTACCTATGTGTTAATTTCGAAAGTTTTAGACACTCCAACGCTTTGGCTACGGTATCCTTACCCTTAAATAGAAGACGATCACGAGAACGTGTGACCTACCTGGATCCGTGCTGGTCCTGCGAAAACTCGACAATATGATTTGCCAGCTCCCTCAGCTGTAGGTTGGGAATGCGGTTGTTGCGGAAATCTTCGAGGAGTCGCGAACGGCCGGCCGCCGGCTTCTCGCTGACCAACCCTCCGACTGACCCCACACCCACCGAACCGACCCCTACACCTACGCCCACGCCGACACCGACACCGCCGCCGACTAATTCTGAAAAATTTTAATGTTTATATATAGCACAAAATATTAAATAGAAATGAAATTACTTCGACGGCCTTTGTAAAAATCAAAAGAAGGAACAATATGCGATGTACATGTCTCATTGAAAAAAAAAAACGTATCTGTTCAAAAAGGAGGAAGAGACTAGAGTAGAATTTAACTTGGAACTTTAATAAACATAATAATTCTTCTCCGTTAACACATTTCTCGTGAAAGCTTTTTCTAAGTTCAAGGTTCCAAAATTACTATATTAATTATTATAAATTTTGAAGAAACAAAATTATAAAAAGAAAAGCGTGTTAATTGCACTCATTGTTATGTGATGCATAAAACATTGTAATCGATATAAATCTATCGTGTTTACGTAAGCCTGCTTTAAATATGACGCAAGGCGCACCGGCGATAATTCAGTTCAGCACCTAAAAAAAACACGAAAATTACACGTACAGTTTCTCACGGTTGGGAAAACGTGATATTATCGTATTAGAGAGGCGGGCGTGAACTGTCGGCATAATGTATTTGAAATAGCGTCAGACTGAGTTCCAGCTAAGTCAATATGGTGTCGTACCAACCTGAGATGGTGCCGACGCCGCTCAGTTTGCTCAATAGCGAGGATGACGACCCGAACATGCCGCCATTGGAGGTCAGCCCCTGGGCTAAACTGCTCACGGCTCTGCAACGGAAGCGAAACGTTAAACGCATCTAAAGCGCCCGAGCACGTGTCGCAAAGAAAGCACGTCCGGGCCGCGATTCGCCGAACACAATCCAACTGGCTCTAATGATAGTTATTAACATTTGTACACGTGGCGCGGCATCCAGGGCGGCGATGAAATGTACAGGCTATTTACAAGGAAGGACACACGATAACACCGCACCACTATCGACGGTGCTGCAGGCTGCTCGCTTCGTTAGTCATTGGGGAGTCGGGTTGGCAATTATCAATTTTGCAAAGCGGTTAAACTATATTCGTCATGCATGTACAATATACACGATATGATATTGCGAAGACTACTTTCACACGTCAAGAAGCGTGCTGCTCCAAAATAATGTAAAACTATTCAAATCATTTATCGTTCCACGATGAAAGTATAATAGAGCGATCGAACGATAGCGTGTTTGAAGACGCTGGTGTCGGGGCGCGATAGTGAGGGGGCAATGGGCACCTGTATTTAGCGGTTTCAGCGCCGGGAGCGGCGGACACCGGTCTCAGGCCGACGGGACCCAGCGCCGCGGCCAACGGGGGCGACAGGGGCGAGGGTCCCCATTTGCGGGCGTAGTCCTGCAGAGCGGCCGCGGGGCCTCCGCCGAACTCGAGCGAGTCCCGTCGCGTCACCGCGCCGCCTGAAACATGCACGTTACCTCTGCGCTCCAAAACTCCACCGCGCTCCCTTCAAGTCGCTACGGACGACGTAGTGGGACGCAGGCTACCTTCGTGCTAGCGATTTCGCATATTGTATTTCTGCACTTTAACAAGAAATAGAATATACGTCATATTTTAACCAAAAAGCGACACAAATCGCAAGCATTCGGTATCAACGCAAATATATACAAATCGTCCATAATATGTACAATACAAGTGCTTTTGATCAAAACGGAAACAAGCTTCTTATATTTTAATATTATACGTACGTATGTGTAAAATTAAACTATATATATGTTACTTAAATTACAATTCAAACTGTCCCTGCATTCCATACTTTATCGATATTTCTTTTTATTGAACTTAAAATATCTTCTCTTTGAGTTTAATAAGAATACATATTTCTAAAACAAGTAGTTTCCGTTATAATAATATACACACTATGCCTACAATTCATTCAATCAAATCCATCTACTGAAATTGAAACAAATGAGCAGAAAGCAATCGGGGCAGCCAGACACATCGTATATAATTACAAATAGGACCGCTTTCTGGAAACCATATGATTAGTTATCATGTTGAATATGGAAATGTGATGAGGATCGTGTGCGTATATTTACAAATATTAAACTATAAATATAAGATATAATTCATGAGATTTTTGAGCCAAGTCTTAAAGTAAAGAAACAAAGATAAAAAAAAAACTAAATTACTACTCGTTAAATTGAATCCTGTTTTTGGTTTGCCACTTTAACAAGTCTTAGAATACAAGTCTTTTACTGAAACCCGAATAATTTTTTTTCACTGTCTCTGAATTCGTAATTTCTGCTCAAAACATTTACCGTAGAAAATAGTCTTAAAAGATTAAGGCATTTTAAGCACAATTCACAGCATAATATAATGGGTTATAAAATTTTTATTAAAATAAATAATGTGTAAGTGTCGTACGTCTCAACGCTTGTAAATTAGGACAGTGCCAATGCATCCATCTTCTTGTCACATATCTTAACCCTTCTATTGATTGATTTATATAATTAAATAACGTATCAAGCGACAATGATAAACCTGAGAACGGAATGGTTAGCCTTAGGCAAATATCGAATACAGCACTTACCAGTTTGCGGTTGGTGTGGCTGAGATTGTGGCTGGCCCGATTGAGGTGGCGCGGGGGTGGCGGGCGCGTGCGCAGGGGCCGGGTACTGCCGCGGCGCGAGCACTCCACCGGGCGAAACGAGACGCAGCGGCGTGCCGTTTCGCCCGCCCATCACCAGCGAACTGGGATCGTAGTAGGGAATGACGTACTGTCCCTGCCCATTGACCTGCTGTTCGCCCGCCTGGGGTGTTAAGGGTCGTCGCGGTTGCTGCGCTTGTTGCTGAGTCGGCTGCGCGACCAGGCCCGGGTACACGCCCCACGGCGCTGCCACTCCATAGTACGGCGGAACTCCCGCTATGAGCGCGCTCACGTACGGTGCACCCTCTTGTCCGGCGTTTATGACGTACGGGGCTTGCGTGAAGGCCTGTTGGGCTGCTAATTGTTGCTGCAGTTGAAACTGTTGCTGTTGTTGTTGTTGAAGCAGCTGCAGCTGGGCAGCCGCCGCTTGGCCTCCCGCCGCCGCGGCCTGTTGCGATCGGAATAATTGCTGCAACAATAAAATGCGGCGCGTCAAATATAAATATAATATTACCGCCTCCTCTCCTTACTGCAATAGTGATTTTTTTAAATCTGTTTACATTATCTAATAGATACGCTCTAAAGCGTCCTAGATTAATTCATAAAGAAGAAAATAATGCGTTTTTATTTTTTATTCAATAGCGCAAAGCCCGAGGGCCGGCCGCCGCAGCGGCGAAGCGCTAATTAACACAATCGTTTAAAAACTTAATAACAAGGCACGTTTGCTGTCCGACGCATGTGCCTCTACAAGCTTACGGCATTATCTCCTTGGGTTTTCCGCAAATAAAAGCGTACGACTGCCGCAACACAACAATATCAGATGTGTTGGAAGTTAATAACTAGACATTTTCCTCGTTTACAACGCGCTCACGTAAAAAGCTCTTTTAGAATATTTTACTTGTACGCGATAGAACAGAGTAGTATCAAGTTCTTGTCGACTCAACAATACATAGTACGATGATCCGTCATAGTACTTTTTCGTGATCTAATTCCAACAGCTTCGTGAAAGACACTTTCAAAGTGGTGAATCAGTGTGTTGATGTGTTTAGTGCGAGTGTGATGTCATCAAGTACGAGCGGTTCGGTTTACCTGTTGGAAAGAGATTAGTTGGCCGGGTTCCAAAGTCGGTCGGGATCTGGTAAACAGGATGAAACATCGGTCTTATAGACCTGGTTCGTGCCGCGACCTCTATTGCCGCCAGGTGGGAGTGAGCTCGCTCACTGTGCTATTGGGCTTTTTATATTCCCACTTGGTGTTCGGGTAACTTTCGTTCATAATAGGATTAAAAAGTACGTAGATATGCCGTTTCCGAAATGTCGAATCGACAAAATTTCCCAACAGATGCCGAGTTACAGCGCCGTAATTTTAATTACGAAGCTACTCCACATTCCGCCTGTCTATTTTATTTTTCATTAGCTAATTGACACGAAATGATTATCTAACGTCGTAACTTCGCGGCGGCTAAATCCAGGCGCGTTCGGGCGGGGCGCCTTTGATCTCGAACTCGGGCTTCGGATTCCCTAGCAATTTAATTTATCTGGTCGTCGTAATTGTGAGGCGCGACGTCTGCACGTGCACGGCGCAACTTGACCGCAGCAAAATCGAGTCGCCTCCGAGGTTGCCGTAAGGTGCAAGCGAGGTGGCGTCTCGCATTCAATTAGACGTCCACTAATCCGGCCGGGGCGAGCTTCGATACCAATTACATGGTTATTAGTGTGGAGACACGTGCGCGGCTTAACGCCGCATCGCTCGACAGGATTCAAACGTCTGCGCTATGTCACCGTTCGCCTAAACCACGACGAAACGTACAAATCGTGTCCGACAACAGTAATTGTGAGTATTAAACGATAAACACACGGCATTACATCGTAGTGATATTGCTTAGTTGATCAATTAATATTTATGTCTCGTCTCGAGACAGTGAGAAACGAGGGAGACCAGGTCTCGGGAGCGGGTGCGCCTCGGTCGGCATTTATTATTTACAAACCTGATGACGAGAGGACGTACAACTTTGCGCTCCCGCGTGAATAGCACTTTCCGGGCGTCGGCAAACAAATTACGCGACAAAGCAATCAATTATGAGAACGTGAATTTAGCCCGCGCCTCTCGAACCGAACGCTGCGTCAACAAGAACCTTTTAGCCTCAGAGTCTCCTTCAGTCTCCTTCACTCGCGTGCTGCTCGAAGAATAATATTTCAACTTTTGTAGAAAACGGTTATCGCCCCGCTCGACGTAGAGCAGTGGTATCCCGTATAGTTAACTAAATCAGTTTGTGCAGGGCCAAACGAGCTTAGAGACGCTTCCCGTTTGAGATGCCACCGTCGTCGGGGTCGCGGTTCAAGTGAATCTTGCTCTAACGAAGTTATCTGGCCCGCAGGCTGCCGTCACGGATCGCTCATCTCTTTTGTCATCTCCGGCTAAATGCAATATATTATGACGAAATCACTTTTACTTCGCGGGTAACTAAATAAAGTCCCCATTTTCTTTTACATTAAATTGTTTTTCATTATTCGATGTGTCGAAGAGCATAGTTACGTTTCCATCGTAATTACGGCGTTTGATTGGACACTCTCGCTGCCTTCGAAATAGAAAGCCTGTAGATTTTCACGAAAAGGTGGTTAAAGGGCAAAGGCGGGTAACAAGTTGGGCGGAGCGAGGCCACGCCTTCGTCGCCCACGCCCTGTCAGACACAATATTATATTATTTTCTACTATTGATGAGGAGCGAGCTTAAACATGTATACGTAGGTAAAACTTGCAAGTCATAAATTAAATGAAGTAACGATGCATACATACACTTACACCCAACTTTTACAGAACCCAGCAAATTCAATTCAATCAAACAAAAAATAGCAATACTTATAAATGAGATATATCACCACATAGGACACCACTCAGCTTTTGTTGTAGGTACTTAGAGTAAGCACGACGCCGATTTTCAGAGATGCTCTTTGTACAAAGGCGAAACCAGAATTTTGAAATGAATTTATCCAAAATATACAAAATACTCCTACCGATAAACACAGATTTAATAATATATAGAATAGAATAGAATGGATGACTTACGTTGTTATTTAATAAAGCATCTTATAGGTATAGTATTCTCACAATATGTATTTACAACAAAGTTAACATAGAATAGTCCGCCCACTAGTTAACTTTTTTGCAAGCAACGTAATTTGATTTAATTTAAATGGCTTTAACTTCTTATTAAATTAAGAGTGTAATGTCAACGTAGCGATTAGCATAGTCATGGTACCATATTATTGAGCATTAAGCACTAGCGGTAAATAGCTGTTTTTTATTATCTATACAAATATTATTAAGCTGAAGAGTTTGTTTGTTTGATCACGCTAATCTCAGGAACTAACGGTTTGAATTGAATTGAAATTCTCTTTGTGTTGGTTAAACCATTTATTGATCCAACTATGACAAATAATAATAATAGGAGCAAACTAAACGAAGTAAATATGGAAAAAACGGGGAAAAATATTCATCTTTGAGGGCTTAAAACCGTTACGTGCGCTGAAAAACGGTTCAAGAAATTAATAAATATGTATGTAAGAAAACAGATTCCCTGTAATATCTAAATAAATGTCCGCGTCAGTATTTGTCTGTCTTTTAAAACTACCCACAAGAAGACACGACGCGGCCGACGTCGTTGGTAACAGTTATAGTTTATAAAGCTGAGGTTTTTTGCTAAATTAATTATTGTATGGCCAAACGAGCTATATTCCATGCGGACGGAGTCGCGGGCACAGCTAGTTTATACTAATTATAAAGCTGAAGGGTTTATTTGATTGTTTGAACGCGCTAATCTCAGAAAGTACCTACTGGTTCGAATTAAAAAAATATTTTTGCATTCGTTTGTTTGTGCATTAATCGAGGAAGGCTTTTGGCTAGAAAACATCACGCTGCGACCAATAGGAGCAAAGAAACTATTGTAATTTTAGAAAAAAGGGGAAGAAGGGGCAGGGGAAAACTATGCAACTTTGAAAGTTTCCGTTGCGTTTGCTGCGAAAACGATTCAAGATATCCAAAAAAATATGTATACCAGAATTTTTAAATAATCTAAAAAAAATGGCCACGATAGTATAGATCTATTAAGATTAACTTGCAAGAAGAAGTCGTGAGAAGTATATTTTTTTTCGTAATTTTCAGGTCCAAAAAATAACTATTCCACGTGGACAAAATCGCCGACACAGCTAGTATAGTACAGTTGTACGGTTGATAGTTCATTTTAACATCTAATTTCGATCAAATATTATTATGTGTGAACATAGGACATAATGGGTATATCCAGGTATGATACGAAGAATATTTTTCATTTGTTGCATGCTATACTTAAAAGGATAAAGCTGAATAAACTTATATATATAACCTATATACTTTTCTATATATTAAAATTACATCAGCTACTTTATGCTGAAATCCAGTATGTCTTGTAAGGTGCATGGGGTAAATTACATCATGTAAATAATCGTATAGTAATAAGGAAATAAATTTGTCTAATATAGAACCGAATTGCTCAAAGCGCAGTTAATCATAATTCATATTTAGCCAAGACAAAATACGATATGTTGATTAGGTTAATGCTTAATTCCTACGTCCAATATTTGCGATCTTCGGAGCCGGTTTTGTTTACTTCTAATAAATATGAATAAGATAGAGATAGAAGATCGGCGGTGTCTGCGCCACGGCCCACGGGCCACTGCGGGAGCGGCCGGCCGATGCTTTTATCGAAATTAGCGCCGCGCCCGCACCGAGGCGCACCCCCGTCATAAAACAGGAAAGCCATCGCCACATCGACGACTCCGGTGCCGCACCCGTGACCTGTCACCCTCGCTTTGCTCCCTTCGAGGCGACGAATTTTATTCGGTCGCATTTATTATGTTAATATATTCCGAGCAGAAAGGGTTTCGCGCAAAATAATCCTAAATGGATATAATGGGGATAAACGTAGTCCGATGAGATCGAGGCACTGTTTCGAGAGACGTTAGGCAACAGCTGAAATGCGTACTTTATCTTGGGACGTTGCGGAGACCGCAGCGGCTTATCTAAGATCAGATCTCCGCCGAATGTCATCTCGCTTTAGGCCCGGGGATCCGATATTTGCATTCGGCCTATGCATTATGAATTGTAAACGATAATATCAGGACGTCACTTACTTCTTTACAGTTGTTCTTGTTGCGAGAGAGCTACATTTGAACTGCAAGATTTCGTAACATTTAACCACTGGCTCTATTTGTGCGGCGACCGATTTGAATGTTAATAGTTTTAAATCAGTTTACGACACAAAACATGGGTCAATAAAGTTTGAATTGCGGTTAGACTTCCAAGCTAAACCAGCCTGTGTGCTCCGAATGTGTTATACATATACAGCACTTATCGACCATCTGACACCCAGAAGCTTCGTTTATTGTTAATGAAACCCAAAAGTGATGTAAATTTCTTGTTAGAATTAGTTCACTTAATTCGTCTCGTCTATACATCGCCGTCTTTCACAATAGTTTTATTCTTTGGTAGGCACAGAATGTTAATAAACCTTGATTATATATTTAGTTTTAAAACTAAAATGTTCAAACATAATTGATTAGAAGATAAGTAGCAGAACCATCATAATGATAAGTCATTAATTATAAAATTAACTAAAAATATATTTAATAATTTGGTTTATTATAATCATCAAGAAATGGACAAAATTTAGTGTATGTTCTATAAAACTTTACCTTTTTTAACTACCTATCACATTTTTTGTTTCAAATTTTAATCCACCGGTCTTTAATAAACATGTACGTAATTCAAAGCCACTTGGCGTTGAGTACGTCATATTTTTTCACAAACTAACTTGAAAATTTGACCATTATTTTTACAAGCTTCTTCGAGATAAATCAAACTTGCGTCCGGCAATTGTATAAAAATCCATATGTATCGCGTGTGCCTGCGTATCGCCAAATAAATTGAATTTAAAAACAGTAGGGTCTTCTACTCCGCAACATGGCAAAGGTTTCATTTAGACTTCGAACTGTAAAAAAAAAACTTTGACGCGTATAAAACTAATGTTGTTAGTTGTTCGTCAACTACTTAATTTTAATTACCGCGCATTACTTAAAAAAAAGTGCTTGTTATACAAGCCTTGGCCACAACTAGGTAACGATGGACGTACGTACTGCGGGCCGCGTACATCTTGTAATATGTACCTACCTATGAAAGTTTTATTTGACATGTAAAAAGTCATCATTTTTGCAGCCTTTGTATACGAGAAGTATTGCAAAGTCGGTATTATCATTCATCATATAAGATCTTTCAATACAAACGTCACTTGCGCAAGATTTACGTTATTGATAATAAGTCAAATAAAATTACGGCACCTTGCTTTTGCCTTCCTTATATAATAAAAGGCAACATTAAGGATGCGAAGGTGGTGAAAATATGAATACATTATTACGCACTCCGTAAAACAGGCGAAGTAATCACACGCACGCGAGAAACCGGGCTTCCACGCCTTGTGCGCGTATATAAACGTTATTTGTAAAACCAATAATTCACCCGGCAACACGTTAATTCCAACCTATTTGGGAAGGGAATATTATTTTTCGTCTGTGCGGCCACCGGGCTATGGACTACATTCTCCTAACGAAATGATAACGAAGTGGCGCATTAGGCCTTCGGCTATGGCCACCTTGCAATATCTCGCTTACTGCGTTTATAGCGCCACGACCCTTTTGCTCCCAATTCCGCTGATTGCTGCCACTTCAAGGTGCAAGTAGGCAATGCCACCATGTATACAACTTCTTAGTATTTACTTAGAAACGTTAAATGTATTACAACTTTATTACATTTGTTTGTTTATTAATTTCAATTCCAAAGATTTCACAGCTCTCTGATTTTCTTTGACTGTGAAGATATTAATAATATCTATATTCTAATTGCTTAAAATATTAGCGTTTATTGTATAGTTGTGTCTGTTTGTAACTGTTTAACACATTTTTACCAATATAAAGTTAAGTTATACCATCTAAGTAATTATGGTGAAACGTCCACAGTCCTTAAATAAATAAATACATAATATAGTGAGTGGTTTTAGAGTTAGGGACGCAAGCGATTGGATATCTGGCGAAAAGTCTTCGCCCGAACTATACGTAGCTAAGCAAAAGATCCAGTTTCATTTAAAATCAAAATTAATTTTCATAGAACAAGCGAAAGGAAAATAAGCGCAGCGATGTAATTATACCGCTCAAAGTGGTAGAAGGATAGCGAAATAGCTTCCTTAAAACCTGTTTGTTGTGGGGCTTTAAAAGTTTAAAAACATTATTATTACTTTAGGTATATTAGGTCTTTCATTTTGCGTTTCATCTACACTCGAAATAGATCACTATCTTTTCTTAATGAATGCTCATTTTAATTATAAGGATGAAGTCTACCTATTTGATTTAGAAAAATAAACACTCGAAGATTAAAGATCGCGTAGCACTATTGGTATACTATTATCATAAATGATATAAGTGAATTATTCAAATAAATCTCCTTGCTTACGTAACGTTATCTGTTACTAAATAAGCGAAGGAGAACAATGGGAATCTGTTATTTTCTATTAATTAAAATATTCACTTAACTGTAAATTCGTGTAACTGTTTGTATTTAGTAAACTGCGGCCGCGAGTGCGGTGAACTCTAACGGTGAATCGATCTCGTTTTTATACGTTTTTCGTGTGAGCTTTTCGGATCGCAGCAAGAAAACGATATAATAAATGTTTAACGTAAATGGACATTAACGAACGAAATAGTGATAGTGAGATGAACGGGGTGAACGTACGCACGAAGTGTGTCACGCGCCAGAGAAATACTTCTATCGGGTACCGTTACACGATGGCGGTCATGCCGGCCGAGGCCCTCGAGTCGACGACTAATAAGCTTTTGAGATACGCGAGGTAGCTCGGCGTACTCGCGAAGAGAAGTAAGCACCAGTTGAATCTCTCGGTGGGAGCGTCGAGCGTGGTAATCGGAGCGTTTCTAATACCCACGCTTTGACTCGGTTTCACCGCACGCTTCTTGCCGCCGTTCTTATTCCTTTTGCGAAATCGTTTGAAATACGATAACGTTCAATCGAGCGCCGAGAGTCGTAAGTTCTCGCGAAACTTCACACGGACTTCTCGCGCGCAGTTAGCTATTGAATTCCCCCATTACAATGGGAAGATCGCGCGAGCGGCGTCGAGTTACTCGGCGAAACGAGACGCAGTCGGCGCGGCGAGGAAAGCGCTAAACGCGAACAAATGAATATTTTTCAAAATAATTACGTCGGGCGAGGCAGGTAAGGCGTGAAGCGCATCGGCGCTCTGCGGCGCAACAATTTGCATCACAAATGCGGGTGGCGGTGGCGCCGCGTCCCGCTCGCCCTTCGCCCGACCGCGCTTTCCGAAGCGGAGCTTTATCAGACAATGTCACAATCAACATCGCGTGGACGCTTTTTGACCGTCGCGTGATTGCCGATTGTGATGGGACATCATTTTAACGAAGATTTCATTTCGGCCGCGCGTCTAACTCGGCCAGATAAGGACGGCTCGAAAGCGCTAAGTGCGCTACGGCTCGCATCGCAGGAGGCGAGGCAGGGCGACGTAGGCAAAGCGAGTTGAGGAACGATGAATTAATAACAAACTTCTCCCGCGACGCGTGATGACGGCCGACAAGAGTAGCCCATTACGCCGACACTGGAAATTCGCGAAATCTCTTTTCTAATTATGCGATGTTATTCTTTCCTTGCAAAATTTTATTCCGCCGCGGTATAAATAGGACATTAGCGGGAATAAGGACGAGTGTGATTTATTATTAATTCGGCTCTACATATGTATTTTCAAACAGGTCTTCGGTGCAAATATACGTTGGAAGTGTACAAATAAAGATAATTTGTAAAATTTCAAGTCGGCGAAGATAACAAAGAAATATGAGAACCATTTTCTCCAAATGATGCAATCGCTCGCGGATTTAGGAGGTTTGACCCTTTCCACACTTATTGCCTTAAAAGGATAAGGTGTTGGCGATTAGAGTGAACTTTACAACATGATTTCTCTTATGTGAAATATTACAGCAAATCTATAATAATGCGCGGTGGGTACGCAGTTTAACGGTGTGAAAGTGAATAAGGTATAAAGTGGGTGAAAACGAGGGTTTTAACGCTGAAATAAATCTCGTACGAAACGAGTCCGCTAGAAATTAACCCGAGCGCTTTGGAAGGTGGCGAAGGTTGGTCGGAGACGACGGTGCGGGCGGAATAGCGACTCTTTAATTAAATCAAGTGACACGTCTCGCTCCCGGCTTCAATCACACGACCCCTATAAGCCCGCGCACTAAACTGAGCTTGCGTCTTACGTACGCCGCAGGTGAACAATTAGTCTCTTCGTTTATTAATAAATGTATTGAGTCGTATCCTACACCACCGCGGGGGGCGAATCTCAAAATTGTTGACTTGCGGATTAATATAAATGAGAAAAGCTTACAATTATCAATAAAAGTCCAAGTGGTCCGCCGCCGCCGGGCGAGCCCACGACAACTAACAACTTGTGCATCGGCTGTCGGCTGCGCCAGGATCGCATTCATTATTTCCGTAACGAGGCCGGGACGACCGTCGCTAGCTCTCGGTCCCAGCTACGGCAATTAATTAACTGGCTAAACGGTATCGTGTTTTACATTGTGATGTTTACGCAACTCTCGAGCGATAATGTCCCCGGCTATCGGACGTAGCGAACCCGGGTTTCACATTAATTAATAAAGTATTTATTAACGCAGACTACCTCACTAAAAAATTAAAATACTCATTATTACGTCCGCGGTTCTTGATACGACGGTTACTAGAGCATATAAATTGCCAATTTACATCACATATTTATATTGCAAGATGCGCAACGAAATAAATGTATTCGTTTGTACAACAGTACACGCTAGAGAGCGAGGATCATTTTAGAAGAGTAAAGAAAACAGAGCAGAGCAATAAAATGATGCGACAAAGTTTACTACCCTACGAGGGGCCATGAATCAATCCAGTCGTAACTTTCGGTCGGGCCGTGCCCGTGCGCACTTCGTACGTAATGCCAATTTAGGGCAAAGAGAGCTTTCGTCCTTTTCGCCGATTAGATCACACGGCAGATGCGGTAAGCATTTCGTAACAGCTGGCAGAAGGTGTTACTTAAATTAGTTAACAATGACACATATCGCTGGCAAACAAACGGAGAGGATTCCTAAATAGATCGTACGCTATTCTTGAACCGCCCCGTGCGCCGCGATGGGTCGCACCGGTGAGCGCGTCTGCTCTCGGCTGATTCACGCACCTCAAGGTGATGACGCCGGGACCGACGACGGTGGCTGCTGTCAGCATTAAAATTTCACGTTTCAAACCAATTGAATCATTATGTTGAAGCTTTAGAAAAAACAATATAAAAACATACATTTTAACTCTAAATTACACTAAGTAATGAAACTTAACATTACACACAAAGAAAACAAACTATCGCATATGAATAAGTAATAGGTGACTGTAGCCTACATCTTGAATAACATAGTTGTATACGAATAATATGTTTCTGTCGAAGGTGATAAGGCGAGAACGCGCAACTCTTACGCCTAACGTAACGCCTACGTAACATGGAATGGTTCTCGAGGACGTTGATCTCGCGCTTGACATTGATGCTAACTGGACTTCAATCGTGCAGAGAACGACGCACCTTTTCCTTTTGCCGTCGTAGCGAATCGGCGCGGTGGCTTATTAAAATTGAAAATGAAAAACAACCGTGTACGTCCGGCTGCGATGTCTACGTGAAAATAATTTCCCAACACGCCAGAGTACCACACGTTGTCCGGAAATTGTAGGAAATTGCAGGAGAAAATGAATCCGACGGCTCGCGAGGTCCGGCTCGGGCGGAGGCTCACTTGGAAGAGCCATTTAGGCTTTCGCGTGCGATGCGAAGCGTATTGCGGGCGTTATTATTTCGGCGCAGTGTTATGGAAAATACGGTCGCGAAGATGGCTCAGTGAAAAGCAACATTAAACGCAAAGAGGTCTCCATCAATCACAGCAACAGGGGCAGCGCTTCCGGAGGTGGCGCGGAGGAGCGAAACATTTCTTTGAATAATGAATAGTCAGGTAGGTGTAGGTAGGTATCGCGGCCCGTAACTGGACGTGATATACACCGTCGTCGACCGCATGCATAATTTCACTTACTTTATGTGGTTAATTGTCGAAAATGACCGCCAGTGAAATATATTACGGCGCTCCGACAACAACCCCGCCGTCGGCGGCTAATGTATTCCACGACTCGTACGTTCTTTGCCTTACCCTTCGTCTTTGTGTTGTGTTGTGTATTAGTGTACAATAGTAACCCACTTGCCACGAGCCGTATTATACGCCCCGTTACGAATAAATTACTAATGGACGATGCGACAGTATTTCAAACGAGGTGTTTATGTGTATCAAAATTCATTGTATTTAGTATTCATTGGCTGAAAATTCAGCGTGTCAAACTTTATCAATAAAACCTTGGGTTAGGAAATTGCAGAGTCTTTGCACAATGGCGAAGCATTACAATTTTTCAGTGGAGCACAAGTGACAGAGTGTAACAAAAGAAACTAGAGACGTAAACAAACGAGCTCTACAGTCAATGTGCTTAGCTCTTCTTCGGCAATAGCCTCCGCGTGGCATTTGTCGGTTGTTCGAAAAAAAAAAAAGTTTTGCAAGATTTGTGTAATAAAAAGAGACGTAGCAAAATACTACAAACTTTCTAGTAGAAAAAATCCGTTTGACACTGCACTGCTTTCTGTATTTAAATTAATGCAATTATTACCTTTTTTATATTATAAGAACAAATTCCACAGACTTTTCTGGACTTTTAAACTAACTTGTAATTGATTTGTTACTTTAAATAGTACTAGATTTTGCAGAAATCAATGAAAGTAAGTACCAAGAGAATTCACCCATTCAATAAACTATAAACAGTAAGCGACACTTAATAGGAATGGTGTCGCGCACTTTCCTTTCTTCCACACGATTGCGGCGAAACTTCAACCGATTTAACGCAGCGCACGCAACGGAAGCTCTCAAAAGATAAATATTCGATTGACTAGTTTTTGTCTCAATATATATTATCGGGCCTATAGATTTCCTCAATCAATATCAATTACTGCTCTCGGCGCGCTTAGCCGATCTGTGAATTTGACTTCAGTTGTTACCTTGCTTGAAATATTGTAATTACATAGAAGTAGGAGTATAACTTTGTTTCTTGTGATTCGATTGACGGATTTATTATTTATGCAATAATAATATTATGTAGTAAGTGCACAGATGTGGTTTAGTAATATGTATTCGCGTTGACACTAGTATTGTGACTTTTTTATCTCTATCATTAAGATAATTACAACCGAAATTCGTAACAGCAAATTAAGTTTTTTGAAACTCGCCCTTCGTTGCATAATAGAAAACACGTATAAATGCCTCGTCGTGAGTTAGGGCGTCTGTGAAGCTCAATTTTTCACATAAATTTTATGTAAATTGAGTGGAAAATGCACTACAAAAGGCGAACTCAATCTGTATAATGAAACTTTTAGACCGTGAGCGAATATTCAAAAGCCGTAGGTGTGTCGGTTTGTAAAACCGAATCTTTTCATTCGGGACGTGTTCAAGAGTACGGCATGAATGCGGGAAGATCGGGGCTCCGATACTGCGGACGGTCCGCGGCGAGGCGGTCGGCGGTCGCGCCACGCGCAAAAGGCTACGCTTTTCAATCTCACTTGCGAATCTGCTAATCTCTACATCTATTTTCCCTCATCTTATTTATGCTCGTTAGGTAAAATTTTGTGTATATTTATTCGGATTTCTCCATCGATTAACAGAGAAGGGTTATAAGTTAAAGCCGAATGTTTGGTTAATAAGAATTTTTAAGAGTATTTTTTGGTTTTCTTATTCAATTTACATTTCACAAGGTGTAAAAGAATTCAAAATGTCAGCAGGTAGGTTGTGAGGTATATAATATTCCGTCAAGATGTCGTTTGCGAAACTTTATCTGCTTTATTTTTCGTATCCAAATCAGGTTTATCGACCTAGGCCGTCGTGCACGTTGAAGTATGGTAACTCTACGGTACAGAATTATTTGGGTACAATTTAGTAGCAAACTTTTCCATACCATTGCATTATTTATTATTTTGGATACGCAAAAAAGTAAAATCAATTCAAGTTTAATAAATAAAAAATAAAAAAAACAAACAACAGATCATGCTAGAGAGATTGGTTTCCTTATTGTGTTTACTTAATTGAAAAGCCTATTTACCCAATTAAGACATTAAGTAAACAAAACTTTAATTTATTATATCCACGTATTTATTTTATTTGTAATGCTAATATTGGTAATACCAATAGAAGCTCGAGTAAATATTTCACGATCTAAATCCCTTTTAAACGGCTCATTATGCTCATAATTACAAAGACAATTGCGTTACTCACAATTTGTAATTTGAGATCTTTTCCGGCAGCGGAAGCCGCCGTGACCGAGGTTGTCACAGGCGACAACCACTGGTGCAGGTTGATGTAGCGTTTGGGTAAGAGTTTCAACGAGACGTCCGCTTGTGCATAAGCACGCTCCAGACAAGCTGCGGCCGCGCCGTCCAGGGCCAGAGCCGGCTCCAGGAGGGCTCCGCCGCCCTCGAGCACCACCATATCGTCCGAGCGTCTTGTCACCGGCACAAACACACCACGATACACTTCACGGTAGCGAGCGACGCCTCGGGTCGAAAGCTACATGTCTGGCGAGAGGGACGTGGAACGTGGAACGCGGTGGAGGATAGTCGCGGAACTGCCGCGGCGGGCGCGAGTCGCAGGTGAGCACGGTTTCCCGCGCCCGCACCCCGCGCGCGCCGCCCACCAGCTAGTCAACAAACACCGTTGTTGCAGCGGTCGACCTGCATCCGCGGAACCCGCCACCGCTTTCGTCCCACTTTCACGACCACAATGTCATGTAGATTATTGCTTATTTCGAGTATCGTCCGTTCACTCTACATTTCGTACCGCACGTAGCGTTCGATACATATTTATACTGGGCTCGATTAAACTTTTCACGACTTAAGTTTACGTTTCTTTGAACGAACGAGTCAAACGTCTACGCCTAATCTTGTCCCTCGAATAACAATTAGTGAACTTCGCTAACTGTCGAACGCAATGTCAGATAATTGACTTTTCATTAAAAATTTATACGTTAAATAAATAAACGTTAGTGTATACATATACTATGGATCAGCGCGCAAAATGTATCCAATCAATAAGAAAGGCCCCTCGAGAGACATAGTATGAAAACGATAAAACTTGAGAAAAAATAGTTCGAAACTATCATACGACATTTCTAAGTTATATCATAAACAGGTTATCGTCACCATAAGAATTATAAAACCCGATTCGGTGATCACTACCTTGACAACATACTAATGTAAATAAATACTCCCAGTATTATATCTACCCAATATTATCGACGTCGGCTATGAAGACAAATATTTTTATTAAGTTATTGTTATTTTTTGCTGTCGCTCGACGAAAATAATAGTTTTTTTTTACAAACGAATCATTTTATAAAATAAATTATAATACTTATGAGTAAAAAATTAATGATTTCGAATGGTTATGTCTAAAATAACAATTCGTTTGGATAAAAAATAGCATTATTGCATAGCATATATGGTTGTTAATTTTTATTGTATTCCGATGACGTCTTAGTATAAAAAATGACAAATAAACTTCTAAATAGCCATTAATAGTATTATTTAAAAAAAAAAACTTAAGAGTTCTTCGATGTCCTCGCGCAACATTCTTACGTTTACGCTTTTCTGACTATATAAATTGACTTCTTTTCTTTAACTTACAGTACACTTTAATTGTTTATTTAGATTATATTTATGTATACAGAGATACAATTTTTTTTGTCTGAACATGCTAATCTCTGAAACATTAAAAGTCGATCTAATATAAAAGTAATCTGCAACAGTAAAACTAATCCTTATAAAAAGGTGGCTGTTGCGTGATTTTAATGTAAAACCAATTATTGACACAGCAATCTACGGCGGACACACGTAACGATTAGTCCAGTATAAATATGCCAAAGTCAACGAGACAGGTGGACGGGGAAAGCATCGGCGCAATTATTCACACAGCACGGCCCCGCTTCGGCCGAATCATCCGCCAGCTGCCAAATTAAAAGTAAATAACGAAATGAAAACAAGCGCAGCCGCGAGGGACTCGCAAACCTTTTACTGCCGTCGGGTAAACAACTGCGGCTAAACGTACGATTATTTATCGGCTATCTGTTTGCCGATGCAGATAATATCCTTAGTGGGTGCGAAACGATTGTAAAACGGCGCTGCCGGTCGATAGAGACGCGAGTCGTTTTGTTTCTGCTAACGAGACTGTCTAAACCGCTATTGTACAAGTATCCGACGAATATTGAAAAATCCTACTAGATTGGCGAGAGCCGGCTTTTAGCAACAATAATAATAGATACGAAACACAGAGACCCGACCCATAGTGCTACTAGCAGCGCGGAGCAATTTCGGAGAACAATGAATCTAGATGAATGGCGCCGCAAAATATAAAGAGTCTATTTACTTCATGTGCATAATGTATTCCCAACAATAGAAAAAAATGCGAATTACATAGCTTATAAGCCGAGGAAGAAAGTCTGCGTCTCTACGGCGCTGTGTGCTTTAGCTAAAAATAAACGGCGGAATCATTAGTGACAAACGTCGGATGTTAACGAGGGACCACAATCATCGCGGGGTTCCAAGAGTAGCCCCTTAGCGAAAACTGTCGCGAAGCAAACAATATCGCAGGTCGCGTTATTTGTTTGACATAAAAATGTGATGCTCTGTCATTATAACTACAACTTATTAGGAGTTAACTTTACCGAATAAACATCGTTTTTTCCTCAGTCTTCATTCTCGTACACTAGCAATTTTATCAATTTAGATAATTCTTCTAACATTACTTCCTTGTAATGTGGACTTGTGTGTGTATATTCTGAAGTGCATATATCACGATGCATTGCTTTGTAGCTTGCAATGAAAGACACACATACAGTGGGTGCGTTTTAAGCTTTTATTTTTGTATATCGCAAGTTTTGCACGTGACCTTTTAAACTGTTATTTATAAAATTCTCTAATAGATCCTGTCCCGCGTAAGAATAAAACCAGTTTTTATTCTCAATGTCGGTGTTATTCGGCTAATAAATAAATACGATTTTGTAACAATCAAATTGTATGCTTTAAGATAGTTCTGTTATTATTATTCTTTAATAAATTTTGGTGGCGCCATACGTTTTTTTTTAAGCCGACACAAAATACATGTGCATGTATGAAAAAAAAAACTTTATTCTCTATAAAATTATAAACATTTAGATTCGTCAAAAAGAAAAAATATATATGGTTGTCTGTCCGTACGTCGTGATTCTACAGTGTTTAAAATAGCAACATAACCGAGAAGGACACCCGAGAAACTCAGTCTGGATTTTTTAACTTATTTATTTATCAAGAATAATAACGAAATCTTCCTTTTTCAATTGAGAAGTAGAAAATATAACTATTGTTAATTACGTAGTATTCGTAATGTAGGAAGTCATAAGCAATCAGTAAAATGATCTCGAGTTGAACGGCCCAGGATTCACCAGAGCGTGGCAATGGCATGACGATGAGGCGTGAGCTACGGCTCTCCAAGTTTCTATTCCTAAAGGCAGACGCAGAATTATATTCCACGTAGAAAATTAAGTAAACTTTGCAGAAGCCTACCTACGCAGCGAATCATCATTTGATCGCACAATGAAGGCAGATTATAGCAGGCGTCTTTTGGGATTTGTGTGACAAAGCGTTTTATGCACAACAAAACCGTCGATTTGAAAGAACAATTAGGGAGTCAAAGAAGGTATCCGAGTAAAGCGCGTCGAGATATTATAACAAATGCGGTGGTAACAAAGGAGGCTTTTCGCGGCCATTAGGACGAGGTGGTGCACGGCCGAAACACCGGGTGCGAGTTAAAGGAACAGGCCGGGCGATTAGTGTATGCGGTAGAAACTCACGCCGGTTGCGGGCGGCGGCCTCGCCTGCCCCTGGGACCCGACCAATTTACGATTGCCGCAAAGAATATCTTCCGCGTGGCAGTTTTGCGAGCCACCGGTGACCATCGACACTATCGATGTACACTAATAAGACCCCCGATAGTTGATTCATTTTATGCGTTCGGGCGCGTGCGTTGCTCGGGCAGTAATATACGTGAGCCAGTTTAAAGGAGGGTCCCCTTAATAAGGGCCACCATAAAACGTGGGATTAGGTAGCGGCGTCTTGCGGAGCGGCCGTAAATATCTCCATTCGGAAGTGCGGCGCGAGTCCCGCGGGAGGACGACACGTCCGCGGCGAGGCGGTCGGCGCTCGAGGACGTGTCGTGCGAATAAAAACATCTCACCTCGCGTGTCCCGCCTCGTAGAGCTCTCCAATCAATATTACTTAGCAATAACGTCGACCTCTCATATATGTGACCGTTACCTCAAGTTTTATGTGTCGTGCGCCTGAGTAACGACTACTCGTGTTTGCACATAAAGTATTCAACGAGCAAAAATACACATAACAGAGCAATGACGAACGTAGAAAAAGGTATCGACGAGAATTTGCGCCGTTTAGTATATTATCTCGAAGAGTGGTTACGTAGCTTTCTCGAGTCTAGCGCTGGAGAAACGTAATGGTTTCACTAGTGAAAAGTCAATTTGTACCGGCCGAGTCTTATTCGTCACTAATTGATATAGCGTAAGCGACGCTGAGACGCAATAACAGAGACGAAAAACTCCAAATAAACTGAAGACGCACGCAAAAACGTTTAGGCGTTGAAAAGTCAAAATCATCAAATCACTTTAGTGAAACACGAATGCAAACAAAGGGCGACCCTCAAAACGCTTGCCTTATTAAGCAGACCTTAAAACTTTCAGCGCGGTCTTGGTTTGCGGAGGTTGCGAAAGGTGAGTTTATTTAGTTAGTAATTTCCACAATGAGAAGTAGTGTGGAGCGCTCAGTCATAAACAGTCCAGGTAGGAGCAACTTCACGTTTACGTTTTGAATATACATATTTAAATAGCAAGCAAATCGTCGATACCTTTAACAATACGATTTCTTTACCAAACTTTTAAGTTAGATTATTTTTAGATTAGTGATGACAACTGAAAGATATTATATAGTTTTGTAACTTCAAATCAAATTAACAAATCAAACTTCAAACAAATCAAATTAAATCAAAATACAGATGGACCATTAAAACTCCATATGATATTTTTAAAATAAGGCGAAAGAGCGATCAAATTAGCCCGCCATCCCCGCGTTACGTTGCATATTGCACGAGCCATATTACACGAGGTAACGGTGTAGGGTCCCCGGCGCAGCGAGTAGCAATATACACTTGCTGCACGTCCATCACATGTCACTATCAATTACTCGCGCGACCCCGAGCGGCGTCGCGTCCTCCACCTCGCCCACATGATTGAGCTGCCGATTCCTGATGCTACTTATGATTTATCGTGCTAATTTTCTATCGCTCGCAGACGTTAAAACGGAACGTAATTTCGTTTCCGTAACGAAAGCAGTACTAACTCGGCTGAATTACAATCTGCGAGGCGGGTAAACGAATTTTGAATAAAAGCGGGGTCGAAGGCCGCGAACGAGCGGAGCGCGCTCCAAGTTTTGTCATTGTTTTCTATATTGCGCGAGGCAATTAGCGCGAGTCGGACGAGGCGCGATTCTTAGCGGCTCTCGGTCCATCCGCGGCCCCAATCAAATTACGGGGCTTCGCGGAGAAACAGCACTCACCCCACCGAACCATTAAACAAACCTTTTCCAATTTCATGTCGCAACATCAACACTCCAACTAATGGACAAAAGAAACGAGTTCTTCGTCATTTTTTGATTTCCAGCCTGTATTCGCCATTTAATTATGTACATAAATTAAAAATAATTTCATTTTTTCACTGCGATCTATGACGGAGCGCACATTTATTGTGCCACTGCATTTATTCCGCCGTTTTTACGTGCTATTGTTAAAATTTAAGTTTAAAAATAGAAGTCATTAGTCGTACTTGTACAAGAGCTTGCGTAATTCATGTTATACTATTTTTTTCAATGCAAATATTATGGACAAATAAATAGCTAAATGTGCCAAAGGATTTGAGCGAATTTATCTAGATAGTTGCCGGAAAAGCGTGCTTTGCGTGTAAGGCCCAGGCTCGCTACTCTTTGTTAGGTACAATTGTGGGGTGACGTTTGAGTAACATTTAGACAAACAGACAAGCATTAGGTGCGCTAGGTTAATTAGGGGAGGGCCTCGGCGTCGGCGGCGACATCGCCGGAGCTTACGGCCCTCCGTAATTACCACGCTCGAATGGGGGCGCGGGCGATCTCCTGTCGAGGATCGCGTGCCCGGTCCGACGCCACTATTAAATGCTAGCGAAGAACCCGCGCCCTATCTGATAACGTGCAATCAATTTCGCGATCTACATGCCTCTACGTCGGCACCGCCCACAGCGTTACGTCACTGCGCCGATAAGAACACAGTGCCAGCGATACTTCGGTACCAGACAATGCTTCGATTACAGTAATGGCTCCACGTTATGTTTACTCACATTACACGTTTTTAGGCCACCTATTATAAAAAGGGCGGTGGGAACGAGTCTAAAGGCACGAGAAAATGTAACGATTTCGCCAGCGTACATTATTCGGCTTAATCAAGGCGTTCACTAAGGCTAACAGTTCTTCGTCAAGTCACGCGATCGTTTTATCGCTCACCTTTTCCGTTTATAAAACAGATAGAGAACGGTGAAGTTTGTTTAAAAAAAGCTCGCTTGTCTTCGCTAAATAGATGTCCTTGTCGTGCGAGTGGTGTAACTTTCTACATAACGATATCGCGTTAATAAAAATCTCGAAACTGTAACATGTTAAAATGTTTCAATTTATAAATCAACCCTTTGCAGTTAAACCGATATAGAATGCCCGTTATGTTTCATAAATACAGGCATAAAAGAATAAGGCGCGAAATTGGGTAGCGTTGCAAAACCTTCAGTAGTCAATTTGGTATTACGTAGTAATGGAGAGTAACGGGCAAGATTTAGTGGAGCCGGGCCCCGACGGCGGCCGCGGCCCGGAACATCGGCCCGCTTGTTTTCGTGGGCATTGGGCAGGCCCAATTATCGGCCCGCCGGCGCACTCAATTACGGAGAGGAGAACCCGTGGGATTGCTCCTTCTAAAACTCTCTACTTATACTCTTCGGGCTAAATTATGTTTCCTACATGAACACGTGAAGAACTTGTATTTTTACACTTTTCATAAAACAGGGCACATGGGTGCCTGTATAAAAACAGAAACACCTATGTATTCTATTAAATGTGTGAGATATAAAATCAACAACAAATATACGGATGTAAATCGCAACTCTTACTATGACAACTAGAATGTAGAGTTTTTTAATAACACATCTATTCTACAATGACAATAGTTTATATGTTTGTTAGCTCACTGATTGTTCCGCTGTCGTACGCTGAATTTATGCCATGTTAGAATTGCATAGTACACACGTACTGTGAAAATGTGCAAGTAGTGTATAAGAATTTATATGTCGAAGGAAAGCGTCAGCTAAGATCCAAATTCCATTTCTCGGAATACGAGATGTTGAAAATGTTTCATTTAGTTATTCGGCAGCATAAACACCTAATTAAATGTAAGTTGTATTTCGAACACGAAAAAAGCGAGTAAAAAGATTCCGTCGATAGAACAAATCTGTTTGAGTGTGATCCGGTCGAGTGTCGCGTTTTAATTTGCGCGGCGACATGTGAGTGGAGTCCGTGCTTTGGTTTGCGGGCGGCGACGCGTCGAGTGCCCTGCTAATTGCGACACACGTTATCCTCAACCATCTCGCACTACCGGGCTCGATTATAAAATCACACGCGCGCTCATCGCAAACGAGAGATACGCGCCGGAGCTAAAACGGAATTATAAATATGAAATAAATAAAACGACGCACGCGACGCGACAAATCGGGCCCAAAGGACGCGCCCGATAAGCCCCGAACATCGCGTAATGATATCGGTCGAAACGTTAATTATTGCCAACGCCACCCGTGAATAATACGAGTCCCGGCTAATTATATGACGCTGTTTCTTCGCGCATAAAGGGAGCGAGCAGAAGGCCCAAGATCGTCGGGAGTAATTTCTGAAGAAACAAATGAAACGAAACGCTTTACAAACCGCGCGGCTCGTGTAATCGGATAATAAAAAGGGCAAACGCGGTAAATATTAGATGAGCAAGACAGTTTTACGAGTTGTAGCTAATTAAGTGGTGAGCCGAACAGAACACATCACTTAAAAGATATAAGAGTCGCTGTTGCAATGTGGTCAGTTTGGGATTAAAAAGATTTCCACGGATTGTACCGGGATACTTATACTCCTAATAGCATCATATTTATTAATATGATTGCATTTCTCACGAGTCATCTATAGTAGTGTTTCGCTTTACGTCGATATATGGACAATGAGTCATGATTCAGTTAAGAAATCAATTTAGTAAGTAATTATACCAAATCAGCGACTCTACATTTTTAAGTACCTGTAAGGTTTATCGTCGATCTTTAGTGAAATAATTTCAATGTTCTCACGGAAAACAGATTTAAATTAAATCGAGAACATGTACGAGAACACTTCACAGAAGTAAATTGTAAAGATAGACGTGAGTGCGCGCGCGTATATGCCAAGAAGCGGCGCGCGCGCACGATGGATATTTTTAAATTACAGGTAGAGTAGAGAAGTGTGCGGAATGCGACCTCACCTGAGTGCGTGTGATTCACTCGTTCTATATCAGTGCGTTCTAAATATTTTTCAGGTATCAATTCCTCAACACGCTACGTTTCAGCAAAGCTCTACCTACGATGCTGTTATTTGCGTAGTTTAATATTTATAATCTATTTTACGGCGGAGCCATTGGGAATATCGTTTAGTTGAGATTAGGTTTATTTTTCGGGCGATTTACGATTTATTTGTAGGCCTCAAACGATTCGAGGGGCGTAACCTTTAATTCTCTTCCGCGGCCGGGTCGCAGACGTGGGTCAGGCCCGAGGTGGTGATTCATTAGTTTGGACGCGTCAAAGCAAACAAATTA